TACATCATTACATAATCAAAAACATAAATTTACCATACTAGTCCTGAATTACTGTCTTCAAGTTTGAATGAAGATTTCTATTGGGCCTAACCCGAACAAACAATAAAAAAAAAACTAATGTAATGGTCCACATCCAATATAGACTTAGTAGTTATTTTATTTTAATTTCTATTTCCCCTTTTCACAAGCTATCATGAAAAACTACTAATACTAAAATTAAAATAAACTATAGGAAAAATGGGAACTAAAAATTAATGGAAAATAATAAAAAAAAATCAAAAAGAAGTACAAAGGAGAATAGAGATATCAAACGCCGTAACAATGATTGACAAAGAAAGTGGTCGAAAGGGACCCATAATGTGGGAGAAGTTGGGGGCCCATATGGACCAAAACCAAAGCACTCCAAAAAGCCCATATTCAGCTTGAAGAGTAGATCGTAAAATTGAATCTCACAGAGAGGAGTTCCCCATGTGCTTGCCCACGATGCCACCATAAAAGAACACTACAAATAATTTGTTTCATTGAGTTTTTTTTTTTTTCCCCTAATAAAAATAATAAATATAGGAATTGACAATAGCCCGAATGATTTTTATTGCTTAAATCTCCTTAAATATGATCGAGGGTTCAACTTCTACAATTGTTGTCGAGATTTATTACTAATATATTTCAAAGCTTGTTAAGATAAGATCGAGATAGAAAAAGAAAAAATTTTCTTACAATGGAACTGTGTTGAACCAAGCCAACTAACCACCTTAAACAATACTATGATACTATCGCTCGTTGGGGAAGTACTTTAGTGAAACTTTGGATGTTCGAATATGTGATACTAATAAAACAAAAATTTTCTCTAATTTGTTCATTTCTTTTCTTCGATTAACCGGTCATTAATTAAAATAGTTGTCACTACTTCAAAATATTGATGATGATAACAAGTAAACGAACCATATTGTCAATTAAAACTTAGAAATGGTCAAATTCACACGAAGTTTTTTTTTTTTTTTGTCTCTCTTTTGATGTTATATATGGTATTTAATAAGTTTAGAATTGAAGTCAGCATCTTCTTTACTATGCAACGTTGTTACACACATCCACTAAACACTATTCAATGATGTTGAGACATACAAGTGGATAAGCTTTTGTAATGTGCCATATTGCACTTTTATGGGGCTTCTTGTCTGCTATTATATTTGACAATCAAACATTTTTTTAAAAAAATAAAAATAAATTAACCATCAAAGAGACCTTTACTTCATATTCTACCTCATCAATAAATTGACACTTCCAATTTGATATGTAATAATCCGTGTTTGTTTATTCATTCAGCTACCTGCCAGTGGTTAGTCTCTTGTAGCAAGATTCAACTCGTAAGGTATGGAATACTGTTGGCAGCAAAGTAAGGGCATTTTTCTTCGTGAAGTCCTCTTTTTAGTGCAATCATTTTTGGACATGGAAGGTAGTAATATAATTACATCACGTAAATTATAAATGGGTGAAATAAATTGAATAGGTTTTTACGTAGAAAAAGAACCAATCAAGAAGAACATATATGATTAGGAAATATAGATTAAAAAATATATAATTTTATTTCTATTTTAATAATCCTCTTCATTATATTAAAGTGGCATGTACAATAATGGTGAACGTTAAAAATGGGATGTAAAGAGTAACAAACAAGGCCAAAATATAAAAGAAAAATACTCTCTCTGTTATAAAAGTATTATCCAATTTGAATTTTTATTTTTAGTACAATTTGAATTAATAATAAAAATTTAAACTGAAAAATTATTTCGGACCGTACCAGTTCTTCCCAACGTATAAATCTCTACCCTTGTCATGTTCAATCATCCACAGGAGCATGATTCTACATATTTTTAAAACTCCAATCATAATTTAAACCCTGACAGTAGGTGTTCGTGGCTTGAGGAAGTGTTGAAGTAGTAGTTTATTTACAAATCATGGGTTTAATTATCACAATTTTGGATTTAAAGAATTTCATATGGCGTTCGTGTAACAATCGAAATGAAACAAACTACAATTTCTTCATTGCCGTGTAAACACTTGAAGAGAGGTGTGGATTAATTATGCCAAAAGAATAAAAAAAAAAGAAAAAGAAAAAAAGAATTACCTCTTCCAAATGTCACTTAAGTTGACAAATAAGAAATTTCATGTAAGGTCACTAAAGTTGAAGTTTGGTTAAGTGAAAAATCATGCCAGATGAGTAGCATCTTTGATTCGTTGCTACTAACTGTTATACTTTCATTAAATCATGATATTGTAAGAATAATATATTACGAAGCGATTGTAAAATTATTATCGTCCCGTAACTTAAAAAGAAACAGAGAGAAGAACAACAAAATAGGGAACGATTCCCATATCTGTAACACCTAAAACATCTCTTCATTGGGACCTTTCCAATATCCAGTTTCTAATTTGATAAAGTTTGAGCTTCAAACAGAACCATAATCTGTGGACAAGAGGAATAAACCCTACGTAGTACGTACCAAGCCAACCAGCAACCTCCCATTTTATATCCTAGATAAGGTTCTACAAATGTATAATGCTTAAAAGTTTCTTATAAATCTTTTCTTTTCTTTTCGATAATAATTTCGATCCGCTTCATTAATTGGACGTAACATCTTCTTGTCTGATAAAGTAGTTTATATTGCTCGTATTATTAAGATATAATATCCTGCTTCTTTTGGTTATCTCCAAAGCGGTTGGAATAGGCTTTAAGATAAGGGGAGAAATAAAAAAAAAAAAAAAAAAGAATTGCCAGAGCTAAGATTTTGGGAAGAATATTCAGAACCAATAATACTGCTTTCAATTCCAACATAAGTGTCATCCTACACTTTGCATATAGTTTAAAAAACTCTTAAATAGATTAATAAAATTACTTGAATATCCTCAACCAACCCCATTAAAAAATGTCCACCAATAGTATTAATTCTTTTGAGGGTAATTTTGAAAATTTCGGACAAGAAGTGCATTGAAATGTGAGAACGACACTTATTTTGAAAATTTTCTATTTTTCTAAAATGACACTTATTTTAGAACGGAAGGAGTACTTAACTAAAATGGAGGTATGTACCCAGGCGCTCCAGTGCAAGCTCTAGATTGGAATAAAATAAAGCCAAATGTGGTTATTATACATAATTTATGATTTGTTTGGTTTTTTGTTTTTCATCAAGGGAGTATTGTAATATCTGTATTTATTATAATAACTTTTTGTATAGGGTTCGGTATTATCTATATATACTATGTATATTGTACATGACAACATATGAACAGAACATAATCCATATTATTCTATATAGCAGTAGCAGTATATGCTAGATAATCAAGAATATGTATAATATATATATATATATATGTAATTTACAAGAATTTCATCCATAATTAAGAGTCAAGAGACGTCTTTCTATTGATAAATCATTTATCCTCGCGTTAAATTTCCTTGTCAGTAATTTGACAACATGTTAGGAAGTTCTTAAGAACAGCCATAATTAGACAAGATAAATCCCTTTTACCCTATTAAAGCAGAATACATGATGTTGATGTGGCAACTTCTTATTAAAAAATTTTGGTTCCAAATGTACCATTTTGCATTAACTATTCTGCCACATGTCATCTCTTTTTAAAAGAACAAAAAAATAAACTTTTTATCCGGATAAACAAAAGCTACTTTACAAAAATATCTACACAATATTAACTCCTAACATTTATCATTTATCACTCAAATTAAGATAGCATTTAAATTTACTCATAAACTTATCCCCTTTATTACTCCACATTCTTTTGTATGATTTCTGCATCGTTGTACTTTTCAATATTTTTTCTCCTTTTACAGATGGTTTTTTTATTTTTATTTTTATTTTTAGCTAACAAAGGGGAAAAAACAAATGTGTAACTATTTTATTTTTTCCAAATCAAGAATTCATTTATCTATTAATACAAAATTAAAGTAGAGGGGGCGGCCGGGCATCTGCCCCGGCCAAGCATCTAATTGTACTTGTGATCAAAACAAATAGAAGGCTAAGAGTTAAAACGAAGGGATGAAAGCATAATTGACCGAAATTTCATGAACGAAGGGATTGAATTTTAGACCTAAATATTGTGAGGTCCTGAACAAGCTTTAATTTAAAAGCATGTACATTGATCACACTTAGCATATATTCTCAATCTTAAAAAGCATTTTTTTCAAAACGCGGGAAATTCTACAAGAATTGATACATTCAATCCCACTGCTTGCAAACTATACTAAGAGGTTTATCCTAAACAAGTTTAGAGTGACAATGCTACATGACGATTCTTATTATCGTGGAAGGTAAAAATGCTAGTTAAGTAGGATTATTCTTCAGTGTTTAGTATCACTAATTGATTCCTATCACTCAATTGCATTACTTGAAAAAGGAAATTGGAAATCGGTTACTATAAAATTCGATAATTGGGAGTCATTTTGATTGGTGATCAAATAAATAATAATCTTGAATCCAAATTTAAAAGTCCATTTCTTTTTATCTCTTTCTCCAATTATAATACGGAGTATGTAAGTTGAACAAATTCGGGCCACTACTAGTTAAAAATAAAAAAATAAAAAAAAAATACGCCAAAGAAAAAATAATAATTTCTTCCATTCAACGTATTCAATGTAATTAATCTACTTTTTTACTGTAGTCTACACTTGATGAATTTCTGTGGTTACTTGTGTTTTCTTGTAGTATTTGGAATTGGAAGTAAAACTGGTGATTAGTGATAACGGTTAGAGTTGGATACGATATGTGAAATTTAAAGAGATTGATGATCAAAATTGGTTAGGTTTGTCAAATAATGGGACATAATTTCACTTATAACAAATAATGATGCTTGCTAATTGAATAAGGGAAAAAAAAAAGAAAAAGACTAGAAAAGATTACAACCAAAGGCGTGAATTCTGCAGACTCGTAAACAAAAAGGCGTGATTGCTTGCAAAGTATAAAATGGAGGTTAACAAAAAAGACAGTGGAATTGGGAAGAGCAGAAATCAACAGAAGCGAAGAAGAAGAAAAGAATGGGAAGTACTGAGGAAGAGAGTGCCGTAAAGGAGCCGTTGGATCTCATCCGCCTCAGTCTCGACGAGCGCATCTACGTCAAGCTCCGCCATGACCGTGAGCTCCGCGGCAAACTTCATGTATGTCTTCGGGTTTTTTTTTTGTATTTTAATTTACCTTTTTCTCTGTGTATGTGTTTGTGTGTGTGTGTGTGTTTTAGGGCTTTATCTAATTCTTATCAATCTTTAAGTGCATTACCTTAGCTTTGTTCGGATTGAATTTTCGTTGCGTTTCTCTTTCCGTTTGGTGAATTCGGAATAAACCCTTTTGTTTTTAGTAGAAATTATTTGTAAACAAGCACGGTTAAGTCTTTATATAAAGGAAGGAAGAACGTCCTTCTGTCGTGTTTATTCATTAGTGCTCTTACCTCATGAGCTGTGTGTGTTACTCCTTATTAGGATTTCAGATTTCGATTTCTCTTGAATTCCTTTTTTCTTTCAGGTGCTTTACGCCCTGTTCTTGATAAATGATTTTGTATTTCGCAAGAAATTGTGTTTGCCTAATTCTTTGAATGATGAAATAAAGGGAATAAGTTATCAGGAAGTTCTCTTCTGCTGCACTGTATTAAGCTTTAGAAGAGGGGTTTTTTTTTTTTTTGGGGGTCAATTAGACATGTTTTCAGCTGTTTAGGTTTGCAAACCAGGGAGAGAACAGTAGGTCAACATAGTTGATAGAGTTCTTCCTGCCTTTTCCTGTCTTTCCTAGGCAGTGGTAGTTCTCTGTTACAGACTTGATAGAAAAAGAGGTCATTGTCTACATGTATGAAATCATTGTTTGTTTGTTTATCTGTGGGACATAACTGAGAAGGAACATTAGCGGATGGATGAAAAACAGATTTCACCTGTTTAGCTATGCTTTAACTTACGAAATGAAGTTTATTTGATGAGAAGTCTTCTAGTGCACTGACAATTACAATCTTTTGAGAACTTGAACTGAGTTAGTTAAGCTCTTAATTGAAATAGTTAAAGTGCTGGTTAAATTGGATAGACCTTGCAGTGATGAACGCTATTTTTTTATTACATTTGAAATTTCTGATTGACTGCTAAGTTCTTTGAGGAACAATGCACATCATGAAACACTCTGATTTGATGCTTGACTTACCAAAGAGATAATGATGTTACGTTGTTAATATCATGAGTACATAGCTACAGATTGTCCTCCCACTCATAGTTGCTAGAAGTTTGCAAAATTTTTCTGTGGTCTTTTGAATGAGATTAAAGGTTCTTCAATATTCATTACGAAGATCAGACTCTTTCTCTTTTGCTTTATCTTTTCCTTTTTTCGTTTTTGGTATGGATACTTTCCTCTTATTAGGAAGAATTAAGTTGTATCTTATGAAAATTATTTTTTCCAAATGGGTCATTTAAGTTCCTCTATTAAAATTTTGACTTTATGGAATATATCTCAGGCATATGATCAGCATCTGAACATGATTCTCGGTGACGTTGAAGAGATTGTTACAACTGTCGAGATTGATGATGAAACCTATGAGGAGATTGTCAGGGTACGCCAATGATTATACTCACTCCTATATTTCTACACTTGTTCTGTTTTGATGTCGTGCTCTTATGATGCATGGTGAGTTTGTCGACATATGGATTAAAGTTGTAGGGTAAGAAAGAGGTTACATAAGAAAAGGGAATCAGGGAACGCTGAGGTATGGTAAGTTGTGTTCACTAGAGAAAATAGTTGCAGATGTTGTCAGAGTAGATATAAGTTCTGTTCTTATCAGACCTAACTTGTGACTTGCCGCATTTACTGTACAGAAGCGATTTAAGTATGAATGCTTCATATGGATTATATCCACCTAGCAATGAATTTTGGTAGATTTTAATTTTTAAGGCTCCGGAAGTAGGACCTGATTATCTCACACACGGGTTGAACCTTTTCAACTCGTCATATGTCATTCCAAGAAAACCCATCAATAACTAAACGAGGTAGAGCTTGATAAAAGAAATACAAGTTTATAAATTGCAATAGGCATTTGCTGGGTTTAAATGTCAACTTTTGTACTGGAAAGATACTCTTTCTCACTGTTACTTGAGGATGAATCAAAATTGTCATTTGGGTCCTGGATTCAGTAGGGTTCGAATGAACAGTTTTTTTAAGTAATGATGAAAAGAAAAGGTGTAGGATGTCAAAAAGCTTTTATAACTAATCGTATAGGGGATTTTGGTTTATTATTAGGAATTTTGGGTTTTTTTTGAGGTAAAGGAAATCGCGTAGTTTTTTAAGTAATTGCTTTCCTCATGAATTTGGCCCCTGGGTGTTTGGCTATCATCCAGGATTTTAAACAGTATAGTAGGTAAATTCTTTTCTCAGTGTTGGAAAACACAGGTTTTTCAAACTTACTGCTGTGATAAATAATCTCTCATATTCCGTTTCTTTGACCCGTATCTTGTTTGATGCAGACAACAAGGCGCACGGTTCCATTTCTGTTTGTCAGAGGAGATGGAGTCATACTGGTTTCACCTCCGCTAAGAACAGCTTGATAGATAGACGCTTTCTCCTATCTTTACTTTCCTTAATAGTATGCGGTATTTGGCACAACTTTTTATCATTTGTTGCTTCAGAAAACTGACATGATTACATTATGAATGTAAGAGACTAAAATTTCACATCCTTTATTTCGGTACTAATTGTAGATTGTCAATTCTGTATGTCAATGATCCATTCTAATTGGTTTCCCGTAATCATTCATGGCTATTCGCATAGTTTCCATTGTCCTAGACAAGTCTATACGACTGTACGAGCACTGGGTGGTGTTTCTTTTCTTGTTCCAATGTCACTTCTTGTCTTGCTACCAGAACAGAAAAGAAATGTGTTACTATAATTTCCTTTTCATACTGATGATTCTTGTACAACTTCTTGAGTTTCTAGTTAAAATTAATAATTTATTATGCTTCATTGAAATTTAAAAATAAGAAATCAAAATGAAATTCACGTCTTTTTGAAACATCATGCACCAAATCTATAACAAAGAAAGAACACAAAAATTATGTCTAGCAGAACTTATGTCCAGTAATAAAAGTTTCGGATTTGATTGTTAAAACGAAAAAAAAAAAAGGAATTGATTTTGAATTTGTATTTACCTATCTTGCTTCATAAGTCATAACCATAACATATACAGAACTGAGTATAGATAATATTGAGTGTCTACAAGTTAAAACTATTCCTACTCCAACCCCGAAATAGATAACGATTACAACGTGGTGTGACTCGTCATTTTCCACAACATATCTACCTTCGGGAATCTACAAACTTTGAGAATACTAACATTTTATTTCGACTATATTTATTTGAGTAAGACTTGGAAATCCAAGATCGCAGGAATTTACTTACAATTTACCAATCAATGAGTTCAGAAAAAAGAAAAAACCAATAAGAACAAATGCAGACGTATACGCTTTACAAACAAGCTCTCTATAATGGATACTCCGTCTCGCAAATACAATGACCGCAAACAAGGCGTGTAAAGAAAATCAAATTTCTGAGACATGTAAGGCCTCTCTCCTCCATAAAGAATACAGTAACTGCTAGAATACAACAAATACAGAGTGAAAGAGAACGAATAAACAAAGAATTTGGATTTTATCTACGCCTGTGCCTAGAGAAACTTGGAGAACCAAAAGACTGAGAGCTTTTGTAACTTCTGCTGCTAGGAGAATCCATTCCTCGAAAGGAAGGCGAGTCCATCGATCCTCTGAAAGATGCATAAGCAACTTTTGCTGATTCTGGAACAGAGTCTAACGGGATGGACTCCACAAAACATGCTGTGTTGATGCGAGTCCTCTCCAGTTCGGTTTGAAGAAGCTCAGAACTGTATTGCTGGGCTAGTGCCTAAAATGAAGAAACAAACAGGGAAGAAAGCAAGGCATTACTGATACCATTCTTAGCAATTGAGCAAGAAGAGGAAGATTGTTGAAGTCTTCCCTGAATCATTACAGAAATTGCATTTACCAAAATGATATAAACTATTAACGACGACACTAAAGCTGCATTGGAAAATGTTTGAATTTTGAACACACAAAGCATCATGAGAAACCAGTTTTCAAGAGTTAAACTACTCGCAAATATGGAAAAACCATGCTAAAGAAAGATGAGGAGCAGTTTCTTACTAATAAGTCATCAGGGGAGACAGACATTCCTTGCCTCTCATCAGCTAGGACATCATCGCTTCCACGTGTAGGCCGCCGTTGATGACTTGGGGTTTCAATTGTCTCTGAGACACTCTCAGTTGCCTTCTCCAATAGGTCTCCTTGTAAAGACTTCAAAGATTCTCTTGCCTCAGAAGTGAAATATGGATTCAATATCGTCTCAAAATACTCAAGCTGCATAAAATTCAAGATAAAGTATTGATTCAGCAAGTCATTTGATGAGGGAAATGCATACCTCTGGAGTATATCATATTAAATATTACACAACATTAGGCAAAAGTTTTCTATAATAAGGTAACGTTATCTGTAATAAGTACAATGAAAACGTGTGTGAAAGCTTAACCTGCAGCCTATGTAACACTACCATATGTTCCTTAACACATCAACTCAGCTCAGAATGGAGATAAACATCTCAAAATCATATAGATCTGTAACTAAAAAAGTAAAACAATTGTTTTTGTAAGGTGTATATAAAGGCACACGGGAGAGCTGAAAAATATCTCTTCCTTCAGTTTTTGTTTTGGGATTTTCCCCATTGTTTTCATTCACTGTGGGTTCAAACCAAATCCTAAACAAGATACTAGTGGAAGTCATGTCTGGCACTTCTTTCCCTCCATATATTCTGTGTTTCACAACGGATGAGGATAAGCATCAACTCATTTACAGATATGGAGAAGCACAAACAGATGCAAATGATGAAAGGATAAAATGACAGTAACATGGGCTTGGCAACAGTCAACGTACCACAATAGCACTAAATGAGAAATGCAAAAAGTACGAAACACAATGCAATTTCTAGTATTTGCACTAAATGTAATAAAAAAACAAGACAAACTTCGCTTCACCTCAAGCATAAGTTGACAGAAACCATTCGCATCCAAAGCCCTAAGTTCTTTTGTTTCGTTTTCATGAAAAAGGCTCAGTAGAGTGTCGATCAGGCCTTCAACAAGGATGCCAAGTGTCTTATCCAACAAAGGCTTACAACCAGCAAAAACCTGCAATTAATAATTGAAAGAATGAGGAATGAAACAGAAACATTTCAAGAAAGTGGTACCAAATGTCTCCTTCACGTCCCCCAAAGAAATTGCACAGCTTATTAAGGTCTTTTACTTTCATAGTTGGTCAAATTCAGTAGAATCCATTAGCTAGAAAATCTTTCTTATATTTTCTCTAGAAAGCATCAGCTTGAAAGTATAGAGCAGGTAATCAGCCTGGTATAATATGTACCTCGGCATGCACTGCAACAAGAGTGTGCAGCAATTCCACAGTTGCATCTCGCACACCCTGCATAAACAATGACTTCAGAATGGAACAGCAGCAGTTTATATAAGGCAAACACAGAAATGAAACCAAAAACAAAAACGAAAAGAGCATAACAAGAAGAGACATATAGATAGCATTCACACTTTTACAGCAGGAGCCGCGCCCCATTGAATTCCAGCATCCAGCAAATAACTTACAGCAGCTGTTCTGATTAGATTTGTCTGCAAAGGGATAAAATAGAAGTTAAAATGCAGGAAGACACAAGTATGACAAAAGGACCAAATGGAGAACCAATAAGGAGTTCTTCAGCCTGACTGCCAGTCAAGGAAGAAATACAAAGGCTCATTTCAATGCTCATCTCAATTGTCCTCTCCCCAACATCTTATAAACGCCATTGTTTATCATTCTTCAAATATAAGCCTTAGATGCTTGAATTAGAATTTTGTAAAGTCTGGCCAAGTTTTCTTTAGAATTCTCAAAACTTCTTCAATAAGAGGTCAACTCCGGTTGCAAAAGATGATAACCGACTCAATTTTTATTGTAGGATAGTGCAAAAACCTACTGGACCACAATGCATTACTCAAGTAGACGATTGAAGATGATGCAAAAGCAATACTAAGACCCTAATAATTCAACGTTGTAGACAAGCATGTGTATCCATGATTCACAAAGTTGATTCCCCTTCATCCAGACTAACAGACAGCAATGCTCTTTAAAAGACTTCAGGAGTAATATGTACACGGCAGATGATAAGTTAAGTTGCCAGAAACCCTTTTTCTTGAGGGTACAACCATCATAATCGTGATATCAACAAACTGAAGAGTGAGATTGCAAGGTTAACTCCTTTAATCTTATTACGAAATCAAGAAACACAGTATAGGACAAGGGTCTCTAGAATCCAGTAGAAATGCTACATATTCCTTATATTCTATAGTCAGTTCTCTGACAGTTTCTCATTTCAAATCAAACTACCGGAAGGAAAAATGTTACAAATTTTTTTGTTCATACGAAAACAAGATGAGAAAGGGAAGAAAAGAAAGGAAACTCTACAGATGGATAAATCGAATGAAATTGTCAAAACAAACCTAAAAATATTAAAGTGCCCCGTCTCTCAATCAACCAAAAGGAATGAGGAAAAATAAAATACCACAAATTTCAGAAGTACTTTCACATCAACTATATGCTTTGCTTGTTCCTTAAGTACTATTCCACTGTCTTTTCTTCAAATTACCCAAAATCATACAATCAAGCCTTACGCAGTCAACATCCTCACTATAATTAACTTTAAGTGAGAAACAGGGTTCAATTAGAATATCTCAGAAAATAGATGCTAGACTATACCATGTTCCTATTCATAAGCAAATCAAGAAGCTCGACAGATATGAAGCCACACTCACCCAGATAGAGCAGTCACTTAAAATCTTCATTAAACGAAGGCATAAATGGGCTAACATGTAAATCCAGCCCTTTATGAAAGAATACACTAAGATTTAAGAGCACGGAATGCTGAACAAAGAGGCTGCTTCTAAGAGACTAATCACAAAGTAGTGCAAAGTATATCAAGTACTTTTACGAGTAACGTTTTTCATTTCTTAAAGTGCATGAAAATATGGCAAACCGTAACCATTATTTGTAATCTGTACCTTTGGAAGAGTGTACAGTTCAAGCACTTTTTCTTCAAGCCCCGAGAATGACATTATCAAATCTTGCATGTCCGTGTCCTCATCTTTCTCCCTAACATGAACACAGAGGGGAACACTTAGTCAGAATCGCATTCAGAGGTTTCATAAACACATCCAGTTTCTCCAAGCATCACCCAGAAGTTTCCCAAAATAACATTCATTACACAGTAGAAGTAGCAGCAGAATGCATTCATAAAATGATGGATCACTGTACATTCCTAAAGAAGAAACGAAATACTGTAACAATGCACCATCCACAGATTTGGCTTAATGCACATGGCCTAAAGCACCATGATTATTCCCAATAACAAGAAGTGCAAAGAAGCTGGTAGCTTATCTTCCCATTTAGCCAAAATGGTGGATGATTGCAAACAGCAGATGATAATAAAGAAAGTGAAACAGGGGATCCTCAATATAATTCAAGGTGGATCCGAGAAACAACTGCCTCAACCAATTAAATAAAAAAATTCAACTGAGATGCATAGTAAGTAAATCACAAGTCACACAATCACTTTTACCAGGGCATGAAAGTGATCTGGATTACTAATAAATTACGCTTATCAGTCGCTATAATCAAGTGACACAACATAACAAAACAGAGTTAAAACTAAAAAGTATTTGAAATGGACACATTAACTACCTTGATGTAAGCCATATATGTCGGTACTTTCTGTGCAATTCACGAGCTAATTCATCTTTACAATATCCAATATTACTCAAGACCATAAGCAACTGTTGATGTGGGTCAGTAACACTTCCGGGAAGGGGATCAAACGGCTTCTCTTGGAATTCATGAGAATAACCATTTTGATACATTGGACTTTCCTTTGTTGATTTAGTCTGATTCAGCTCACTGCCAAGTTGCTCAAGGTGACCTGATCAGTCAAGAAATACAATTCAGGATGTTATCCTTTAAGCCATAAGGAATAGACAATAAGACACCAGCTTAATTGCGTACCAGCAAAACCAAGCAAGCAGTTTAAAAAGGCAAGTCTAACAGACTCTTGGATTCGTTGAAGATGAACATAAATGTCTTCTGACTTCGCAGCCTCATTCCTTAAAGACTGGATCATCCTGATATGATAAAATTTCACCGCATCAGATGGAAAAAGATAGACCGAAAAAGCATACCTTATCGATAAAGTCTGAAGCCTATGAGACATTAGATTAAAAAATAAAATATTCATTAAGTAGCATAAAGACAGTAGTTCCATGCATTTATCATCAAGGTGCTGCCTACCAATATTTTCCCCATTACATTGCATTGAAAACAATTCAGTCACAAAGTCTCTGTGTATTTGTGTGTCCCCAAAACAATTATCTTTCCATAAACTTTCCGCTATCGGGAAAAGCTCTCAAATGGTTAAATATCACCAAGAGAAAACACGAAATCGGCCAATGATTTTTATTTACATGCAAGCATGTCACCTCATCAACTCTAAGATAAATCAGTCTCAGTTTACATCCATCTCTCATGGTTGAACAAATTTTTTTCCCCCTCTATTAAAACACAAAAAAAGTGATACCGTCATACTTACTGGTCGATCTGATCCATTGCTGACACAATAATTGCGCGAAATGCCAGAGGCAACGAAGAGATAGTGTAAGGAGATTTGTTCCTCTCCAAAATGGACACAGGAACCCAAGACTCATCTCTCGATATCTCTTCAGATGATAAACGCATCCATGAGCAAAGCCTTAGTATGTAAATCTTGGTAATTTCACACTGAAGGGTCCGAAGTGCTACAACTGTCAATCAATCGAATGATGGGTTAGAGAGCAACTTTAAAGATATTTAACTGTAGAAAAAGAAGGGCAGTTGGATACCAGCAACAGAAGGAGCTGATTCTTTCACTTCAAAGGCTTGACATGCTTTAGAAATCTCCTTTATAGAACCAATAATTGACGGACAAAGTACATTCGATTCTTCGAGGCCACGGAATGTGCTAAGAACCTAGGGAAAGCAGCTAAATCAATGAGACCTATTCTCAAGAGTCCAGAAAGGAGATGCTTAGAATTACAAGAGTTGAGAGCAAGGTACAACAAACTACCCTAAACAATAGAGATTAATAACAAACAACTGCCAGTTTCTTTTGAACAAAGGATCAATTCACAACCCTTTTCATTCCCCTTCTCCACTTTTTCTTCTCATCCCACCCTTGCTAAAAACGTTTTTACCCGAGAAGCTCTTCTCAAATTAGTGTAGGCCATAGTTAGCTGATAACAATCTGATTGTTGTCATTACTTTCATTCCCATTATTGGTTCGCTTTTGCTGTGTAAGAAGTACGGCAGCAAAGTAACATCACTGTTGCTTCTTAATCCATAAGTGCCTCCATAGAAAGGAAGCCAAACATTCAAATTTTTCCAAGTATGACAACAACATATCTTCAGTCAGTCACTGGAAGGAATCTTGTTGAAATCACTTGTTGCAACTTATGTTAGTTATCAAAAGTACTCTTCCTATAAGTGCTTGCATACAGCTTATCATCATACTGCCAAACATTTCCACTTTCCTAGAACATTAATCTTCCACAATGATAAATAAATATACAAAATAAGCTGAGGCACTATTTTGATACATAAATTGTAACAAATACATCATAAGTTAATTCAACAGTAGTTTATAACATATTCACATCCTAATGCTCTTTAAGTAACCTTCTGCACTTCCCATCATAGGATAATAGGCGTCCAGGAACAAAATGAGAGGGGGGGGGGGGTTGGGTGAGGAGGAAAGAATAGCACAATTTTCTTGAAAATTATTCATTTTCTTCAACCTGTCTAAGCGGTCAGATTGAAACCAACTACTCCATATAATCCAATTTCGCGACCACAGGTTGCCTTCAAGATATTGCATTTCTGCCCACCATGAATACCATTCTTTTGATTTACCCAAATAAGTTCAGTCCATTTCATTTTGCTTTCAATGCTGTAAACCCAGCAACAACTGCTGTTTTTTCTAAATCAATCAATAGCATACAACAGGTGCTGCATCCAGGGTGTTTGCAACTACCAGAAGAATGTTTCTCAACTGCAGCCACAGTTGTTTCTCTTCAATCTAATACTTAATGTTCCTTCAGTCTACCGAGCTTTTCTTCAATAAGATGATGAAATTCAGCCCTCATGAAACTTTACCTATAGCTTTCTTTTCCTTGATTTCCTTGTATGTTACTGCATGAGGAAATTACATACTGATAACATTCAAGGATCCCATTGGATTAGCTGCCTCCTCTTCATTTCGCTTTCGATGTTGTAAGACTTTATACTTTTTTAGTCAATTGCCAGCACATGAAGTGTGCCACATAGAGAATATTTTGCAAATACCAGAAGCATGTTTTTACTGCAATCACAATTATTTCTCTTCAACTGCATACTTGAATATTCCCCAGGTCTTTTTATCCTTCTCAGAAGGTCCTGTTCTACAATATTATGTTATACTGCCATCAACAAACTTTATCCATTTTATTTTCTCTGATTTCCCTCTATGTTCTCAGTGCCTAACATAAAAATAACATGCTATCCAAGTATCCATTCATGCCACATTTCTGAATCAAGTTAATGAAAATAAAATTTTTACCTTTGATTCATAAGCTGATAGAGTATCCTGTATCATTCCAGCAACCTCATCAAGGGAATGACTTGTAATTTTTCCATCGGCAACTTTTTCCTCAGTTTTGTTTCCATGTGCAGTAGCACTTGAATCAGAAGATACTTGAGAAGACTGGAAGTAAGAAACCAAATCAAATTACATTGAACCCCAATGGATGTACTATTACTATTTGATGAAAGAACATAACACATTTCCAATATTTGGATGAAAAAAGGGAAATTATGCACAAAAACAGCTGCAATAGCTATTCTATTTGAAGTGCTGTTTGAAATTGTATACCTTAAATAAATTTGGAATTCACACATTGTCTGAAGACTGATGGATCAAGAAGAAAGTAGTTGAAGTTTTCGGTCTTTAGGGCACCTTTCACGGGTTTCAGTATGGTACAGTTCCAGCGAGTTTATATAGCACATAGTACGTAGTAGGATACAAAATCTACAGGCTAGATGTTTTTCAAGAACTAAGTGAATACAAACAAATACTGCTACTACTAACAATAATAACAATGACGATATTACACACTCTATGACCCAAAATGATTGTCCTGTTTGTTGTATTAAAATAGTGCAGTAAACAGGAGAATCAATTTTGGACGGAGGGAGTAAACAGAACTTGCAACACATGAAAAATAAAAGTATTGGATAAAACAATTACCAGAAAGTCAGAAGTTATTCAAGAAGTCCAGAAGACAAGCCGCCAGTGCCTAAACTACCAGTATCAGGGGAAAGGTAAGTATGTACCTTCGCAAACTTCCCAGTAGAAACAGAGAGGGCTACTTTCCAGAAGGCTGGAACATGATGGATGAGTACAGCAGTTAATCTGCGAATGTATCTTCCCCTCAAGGCATCAACTTCTTCACCAGTCTGGCCTAGTGAATGCAGATCTTCCGGAAGTTGTGCCCCAAAAGCATGAGAGTCATCGACATCTAACTGACAGTCAGAGGGTCACAGGTCAGAAACATAGAATCACTGGTTACCGGGTAAATTGGCAAAAGGCATCAAATTTATATATAAAAAATAAAATAAAATAAAATAAAAATTCATCACTAGTGCACTCACAGACTGGTTCAGATCTGCTTGAATTCTCTTCCATTTTGCATCTAATAGAGCTTTTTCACGTGTTTCATTGCGCAAAGCTTCCATCCTCATGTCATGATCGACAGTACACTTCTCAAGCAAACCTCGAATTCTACGATTCTGACAAATTCAAAAAGAGCTCAAAAATATAACCACATTCAGCAAAAGAAATCTATTCCCATAATATTGAAAGAAATTCAAGAAAGCGTCTGCCAGTCTCATGCACATAACAAAAGGCATACAGTACTATTAAGTCAAGGTGGGTAATTCAAATACTGTGGATTCTGAAGCACAGATTTTCACGCAATAAGTTCATAAAACAACTAACAGGAAAGTTATGATAACATATTTCCTCCTTTGCAGTTCTATGTGGCCAACTGGCCATTTGCCGAAAATTTTTTCATTTGGTTTCCTATCTCGTCCAATAAAAACAAATAGAGATGGAGGGTAATTGGTACTGATCAAAGAGACACTAAAGAAAAACAACTGTAGGAGCTGAACACAATTCATTCATGGTTTGCATCAATGTTACATGGGCTTATAGTTAAGCTAGTGCTGCTTGACAAGATTTTTAAGGATTGTTAAAGATTGTTTTCACAAAAATTTGTTGCAATCGTGGTCACAAATTCGCCTCAGCTTGAGAATCATGCAAAGTTCACAACCGTTAGTACAAAATAACATTAAGATGTAAGTTTTATGGCATTGAAGCACAAGCAGAACATAACCCTCCACATTCCATGACAACATAATTATATATTTCATAACCTGAAATTCTCCCACAAGAGGTTCGTTTCTAAGAGTGAGAAGGGGAAGAATATCAATGGAAACTTTGTCATCCAGCAGGTTTTATTGAAATTGGCATGCCAAGTCTATTTCCATGAAGGATGGGCTCATAGAACAAATCAAAAGAACTGTTCATAGGTCCTATATTGGGATTTTCCCTCTAGAAAGACGTGTACTACATATTCTCGGAATGAGCTGAAAGAATCCCAATTTAAGCAACGAGAATATTTGAAATTCCTTTCCACTATTTCCAAAAATAAAAATAAAAATTCATTTCCTTTGTGGCACTACCAGACAGCTAGTTTGGAAAAGCACAGCTACAAAATCATGGATAGTAGAAACTGGAGGAGAAAACACTGACCTGCATGCTAAGGTAATGCCATACGGGATCAGAATCTGGTTCCAACTCCACTAAAAGCCTGACAATGTTTTCAAGCTACAAAGTGTGCCCAATCCACCATCCAAGAAAGAAAGAAAAAACAGTAAGTAACAGTTGAAAGTGAACCATAATTGACAATGCATTTGAATGGTCAAACTAATTTTGCCAAGTCGCCTAGGCACGTTCATATAATGTATAATCACCAAATGGGGGGAGAGAAAACAGCACAAAAAGAACATAGAAGGACAAACAAAAGGAATACATAGATCCCTATGCAGTCCCACCAACCACGCGCGCACACACACACACAAATAAAAGGGGGAGAGAAAAAAATACAAAAAGGAATACTCTATGTAAAGAATACAAAGGAATACATAGAAGAAGGCAAGATAAACTAGCACACAAATCATTCGGTTCCCAGAAAAGGAATGTATGGAAGTCTGCAAGGGACCCAAAATGTAAAACATACTAAAAATTCTGTCTCACTGTGTAATATTGCATGTGAACAGCTTTCATCTAGTAACAATAATTTGAGATTTTGTTAGTCCCGGGTTAGAGGCATGTATATCTTGTATTCTTTTCTTTCCTTCTATTGAATATTAATATGAATGTCGCCTTAAGAAGAATATATTTTCCCGAGTTAGAGGCATGTATATCTTGTATTCTTTTCTTTCCTTCTATTGAATATTAATATGAATGTCGCCTTAAGAAGAATATATTTCAATAATTCCCCAATCTGTTCCTATAATAATGAAGAATAGGACACTGGAAAGAATAGGAATTCCGTCGAAAATAGGAAATCCCATAATCAGTTCACTTGTGACTCTTTTACAAAAAGAACATTTTATCCATAACAGCTGGCACGAAATTGCAAGTCAGTGTACAACACTGAGTCCATTAAGCCGACATGGACACTGGAAAGAGTTAAGGGACAGCATTACAGATTTATTAGGTGAAACTAATAAGCACAACAGATTGCAAACGTCTTGCCTGTTCGACCAGATAATCAAATTGTTTTGAGTTTTGATATGTCCATTGACCTGGAACTACAGAGTTACAAGTCTCATGTAACACATACTAATCCTATAGAAATTACCAACTTGCATTCTATATGACTCTTCGAAGTAAAACAGACTAAACAGTAACCATAAACATCCGTAAGACATTAAAGGTATCTTTTCAAGGGAAGCAGCAAACACAGAAACCACATACCATGTTTGAGTTTCATCAATAATTTCCAATGTGATTTCTTTCGTTGCAATGAGTAAACCAAATTCAGTATTGGAGTAAAAGATGAATTCTTGATCAGCAGTTTTTTCTCATTTTAAAATCATGTACACCACGAGAAATCTCCTCCTAAGTTGAAGATATTGATTTGAGGTGATAAGTTTTAATTAGCACGTTCACCATTCCGGCTATAAATATTGGTGGCGTATGTGCAATACTACCCGGAAACAAAGACTCCCTTAAAACTGGACAGGTTCATTCTTGTAGTGTTCTTTGGAGAAAACAAACAGGAGATAGAATCACAAAACTTTCCAAGCAACTCAACCAATAGATGTCAAGTTAATACATTAATATCACTTTTCTTTTGCTAGATCCATATAGAAGAAACCAGTCACTAAATTCCAATGCACATATTTGCTGCAAGATTTTATCACATTTTATCATATTTAATTTTCAAGGAGGAGTCTCTAAAACCCACCGGTTTCTGAACATTCCTGTAACTGCTAGTATTTTGATCGAAGTCCTTACACTTCATTTTCTGGTCCACTAAAGGTGTCAAGCACACCAACCTGGTCTAAGTTTGTCCCTTTCCCAAAGAGAGACAGAAGAGTTGTTCACACACATTTAGCAAGACTTTGCACATAAAAATTGAGAATATCAATACGCACCCAAGCTTGCAGGTAATTGGTATTTCAAAATCATTCACTATCTTTGGATGGCATTAAATATGAGTTTAGCTGATGCAAGTAAAAAGAAGCCAGCTCTCTTACTAAACGGGAGACCCTAAAATTTTGTACTTTTAGCCATATGTTGGTTAAGCCACAAAATATTCACTACCAAGTGAAAACCGAAAGCTCCTTTTGAGTGATTGAGTATCTATTGTTATAAAACAAATGAAAGCATTTACTATATTAATCAAATTCTTGTGGACCAAGAAGATACGCCATTTTTAATGATAAATTCAAACTAAAATAGAAGCAACAAGTTTTCCAGGTATACAACTCCTAAAAGTCCCAAGAAACTTTTGTAGACCAAGCTTTCTAATATTAGCATCAAAGCATGAGGAATTATGCCAGTGCAGTCCAATGTAGAGGCGATAATTAAATCAGTATGATTCACTAATCTTTTGCAAAATAATTTTAGAATAAGGGCAAAGGAGCATTACATTTGTCAGTTCAATATGTGGATCTTCCATAGACTTATACAGCATGGCTTTGAACTCTTGCATTACTTTCTCAACCTCCTCCAAGACACGTTTCAGAATCCCCACCTGAATTGGATGCATTAGATTAGTGGGCAACAGGTTCTTGTGCACATAAAAAAAATATTACAATCATCTTGAGTTAAAATGTCATATTAATGTTACATGAACATGGTACTCATGGAGTACACAGAAACCGCAAACATACCCCAGGCAACAATGATAATTCAGAACAATGCCTTGTTTCATCACTAATAAGATACATCCCACAACGCCTTACAAGCAAGAAACCTTGGGGTATTACGAATTTAGCTGATACAATGACTCTAAACGACGTAAAACAGCGTTACAAGCAATAGCAAACTGAACCATGAATAACATGCAATTCTTAAGGCACGCTAATGAAAGATAAATTAATTGAACAAAAGAAGGCCAATATTGTATGACTGACAGCAATATCAAACCAGAAAATGTTAATTTATAGTGATTTTATGATTCAACATAGGTGTTAAACAGTTGCTTAAAGATTATCTTTTACCATTAACATCCCCCTTCATCAGGGAACAACTTAAGCCCATCCAACCTCAGCATATATGGCATTCTACCCAGCCCTCAAACATCCCTCCGGGCATTGATTATGATGATATGATTTTGGTATTCTACCCAGCCCTCTTTGGGTTCTTTACCACTCAAAAGAAACGAATACTTATTATCATTATTATCATGATAAGTTATTTACATACAAATAAATGTGTCTAATCCAACATTTTGCCATTATTTGAGAGATGCAATAGAATGAATGACATGAGTAGTGAACTGTCAAAAATATAGAATAATGCTATAGACAGCCAATGTTTAGCATGTTTCCTAGAGTAGTTCAAATTGAAATGCTTCTGCAGCCTCGAGGCAATCTTGTGCTTTGAAAAATACAAGCATCATCAAATAAAGATGAAACAGAAGCCAAAAAGAAAGAACATGTAAACATGGAGGCGATTTTCTACTCAAAACATAACAAGATGAGAAATAGAAAAGGCAATGAGAAAATGCTTTTGAGATCTTACATGAGATGGCAGCACGATGGATTTAGCTTTCCTGTACTCCCTGACTGCCAGGTCATATTCACCCTTACTGATGTTCCCACGAATTGTGCTTGGCAAGTTGAAGAGGGTCCGAAATCTCTGAAGCATTCCTTGCACAGACCTTATCTTTTCTGCTTGCGCCTGTATTATATAAATTAATTAAAAGTAGATAAATTAAGCTTCATAATGAGAAACATAAAGGAACATAGTTTTGAGGGGAAAAAAGATCAAAAATATTCAATCAAATTCGAGGCAATAAAGTTAAACATCCCGCAAATATTTGCATATCCTACTAACCTGCCTCTCAAATAAAGACTCAAAAGCACGATTAGCAATTGAATTGACTCCTTGAATGCAATTAAACAAGTGAGTCGTCCCAGAACCCTCAGGGTCATCCTCAATCCGTTTTAACTTTGATTCGATATCTATAAGGAACAAATCATCGTCAGCAACTTCGAATTTATTTTACAGTTATGTTTCTCAATAACAAGGTGAAAATGATAGCTCACCATCAATAGTTGTTTTACAAGAAACAAAACAATCAAAATTTTCCTTCACCAACTGCTTTTTTGCTTGAGTCCGTCCTTTCAGATCAGTTTTCAAAGCAAGACCACCAGCTTCCAAATTTGCTGCAGTAGTATCATAGTGCACCCGAGAAAGGAAGAGCTTCGCATCGAATTTCTCGGAGTAATAATTTAACTTTTCTGGGGGAAAACAAATGAAGGAAATTAGCGCCTCGCATCCAACTAGGTTTTTCTTCAAGCACTAGTGCATGCAAGTCCCAAGATAGCAGGGTGTCTGATATCAGGATATTAGCGCCTGGTATAAACCTAAACCTCAAGCTCTCAAGAAAGGTGACCAACTCATTCCTCAAACCTCTCAGTTAATTTGTTAATCTACATTTAAATCAACTGTTTCAAATCATTCCAGATAACAAAAATGTGAAATCAGAGATCTAGGGTCAGGAACTGGGCCATGGATTTCTTGATCGTCCAATTCCTTTTTAATATTAGAGTTACAATCTCAGAAAATCATGCTCCATATCTTATTACAAGGAAAGTAAAAATGATATGAAACAATTATGAACTTCTTAAGAAAAGATATCTTCAAAGTATGTACAGAAGTTTTACCAGATATGTTTAATTCTCAGATATGAATAAAAGTTCATTGGTTAGATTCAGAAAATAATGTTACAGTAAAGCAGCATACCACGAGCATTGGCATCTAAAGGTTCTTTTTCAATCAACGAAGGGACTGGTCCTGAATCACTCATCAACCTGAATGTTTTGTGGTCAATTATCCTGGAAAATGAAAACCATGTGAGCAGGAATGTAAGAACCAGAAATTGTCTGAAGCAATGAAGCTTCACCAGATAACAACAGATTACCCCAATCCAAGAGGATCTATCCATTCCATGCCACGAGGAAGAGACTGCAAACTACTAAGCCCCTTTTTAGCTAATGCAGCTGCCTCAATCTTTGGAACCAATGGAACAGCTCGCGATTCTCTCATCTCACGAACCCTTCGTCCAAGCTGCCCAAAAAATTTTCACATCAGTTTGTTATTGCCCCAGTGTAACTAGGAGTAAGATAGAGCTTTTCTTCATCCACCAACATTTCAAACAACAGCTAGTCAAACTCAATAATTTAAGAGTAGTATCCAAGAACCCCAATCGACAAAGGCAAACATGATACAAATATTTCCATATCGGGAATAGGGGGTCAAAAGAGAAAAGAAGAAAAATTAAGCCACAGCCTCACAGGTATCCTCATTTTATAACCTCCTTAACAAAAGGCTAAGCATCGAGATCACTCAAAAGAAACACATTGTGAACATAAATACAAACCTAAGAAACTCCAAGCTCCACAAACATCCTAAAACCAAAATGCAAGCTTCAAAAAAATAAAAACGAAAAAAAATTTAAGGCAACCAAAGACTTCAAGAATGCAGGGTCACATGTTTACATCATCCAATGTAACCATGCAGGTATTACACATATGCATATGGTTCCAAAAGCAAAAACCCCGTCAGTTATCTACTTTAAAATCTACAACTTATAATCACAGAGGACATTAAACCAAAGTATATTTTCTCGCACTAGTAGGATATGCGAATATGTGATAACCTAAATATGTGAGCTCACTCGAATAGAAGTCACTGAAAAATTATACCTCAGATTCGTCAACATGCTTCCAGCAATCAGGCTCACCTCCGTCCCAACCTTTATCGTCATCCCTACCTCCCCTCCCTCCACCACTCGCCGCCCTTCCCTTTGACCCAGCCCCATACTTGGCCCTATCCTTGGACGAAAATTCCTCATCCCCAGACGAAATACTCAACATTTCCACCTCCGAATCATCATCATCCTCCACTACCTTTCTTTGCTGCTGCTGCTGGTGATTGATCCTACTCCTATCACTGTTACTACTCCCGCTCTTCTTCTGCTGCACCGCTGCCGCACTTGAATTGGAGTTCCTCGCCGGAGTTCCTCCACCGCGGCGCGGCGCCGGAGGCTGGACGTAATTCCGAACAGGCTTGGACGGCTGTTGCTGAGATGGCTTCCGGTAATTGAGATCCCGCTCGGCCTGCTCCTTCAATGCCATCTGCAGCAGCTCATCTTCATCGTCACTGTCGCTCGACATTCCTTAACCGCGTTGTAGAATTAGGAGAAACCACAATTTCTCTGTATAATTTTGATCAAGGTGTTTTCAGAAGATATTAAAGTCTGGGTAAATGTATATGTGAAACACGCAGTAAAAGGTGTTGTGTGTGAGATTTGCTGATAAATTTGGATCTGTGATGATAATTATTAGAGAAGTTTTTTTAATTAATTTATAAAAAGGGCCGGAGGGAGAAATTATGCTGGCGTGGGGAAGGAGGGAAGATGATGCAAGAGGAGGGATCTGGTGTGCCTCATCAGAATTTTCTATATATGCACCTGTGGGCTCTTTTTATGCCACGTGGCCTCTCAAAAAGTAACTTTCAGGGAGGGTTTTGGGTTTTGCCAGGGAATTTTTTTTTTCCTTAAATTGTAAAAATCAAGTTAAAAGGGAAAATTACTAAGCCGAGTTACAACAAGAATGAGAATCAATTAGTTGTTTTTAATTTTGTAGAAACTACTTACAAAGAAAATATCAATGAGCCAAATATCAAAAAACAAATTTTGTCACGGATTCATAACATTAATAATTTCGAAATGTGTATATTATATCATGATCTAACTATCGAAACTTCTAAATAAAGTGTGATCATTGCTATCGAATTCTATTAAATGTTCGGGTAAAGTAAAAACTTGTGTTATATTTGTATAAATAGAGATGATTTCCCTTCATTTTTGTGCTAAAACAAAAACAGTCTACAGATGGACTATTCGTCCTTAAGAAACGAGTGGACTTTTCAATCAAATGTATTGACCTCCTTCATTCAAATTGCAGTAAGGAAGTTTGGGAATCAGTATTTAACTAATGAAAAATTGAAGGGTGGATAAAGATTCAACATCCTATCAGAAAGAAAATTCTACCAGATCCAACTTAGCAACGTTACATTAGAAATTTCATCATCAGGTGGTAAAGGAAAGCTGGATAGAAATGATTGGTTGAATCTAAAACGCTCATTTCAGTAAAATGTATAATGATGTATGCATTCTGGAACCATATATTTGTTGGGACAACCATTGCAATATTGACAACATTTTATCAACATTCATCAGTAATCTGAGTTCCCAGAAAATCAGAATGAACAATTCGTTTGCTGGAAGTAATTAGCAGTAAGGACCTCTGAATCTGCAAAGGCGTCATTCTACATACTTATTCCTTCTGCTGTTCGGCATACAATGCCTTGATAGCCTCAACATCATCATAGCTGCCGAGAAATATTGGTGATCGCTCGTGAATCTTCTTCGGCACTAGATCAAGAGCCTGCGAAGAAGAAAATTCCTCACATTATTTTTCTTCCATCAACTTGTGCTATATATCAATAACATCAGGGGCATCAGGGACAACTCAACATAAAAAATGTAATAGAATTTTTTCAGGGAAGGATGATAAGGTTCATGTAGAAGAAACTTTCTCTTTTCTGCATCTTTTCAGATTCCCACGGAGACCAATTAGATTGCTTGCAGAAACTAAAAAAGCAGTTATCATACCCGCTCCTTTCCTGTAAATGCCTGCCCTCCAGCTTGTTCCATCAAGAAAGACATGGGGAAGACCTCATATAGAACTCTGTTACATAAGAACCATATTTATTGGTTCAATCTCACTCAAAATGTTAGGATCTGGCTGCAGTGAATTTTAGACTCAAGGGACCACACCACTTACCGCAATTTCCCGTTGGGGCTTTTCTTATCAGCAGGGTACAAGAAGATACCACCATAAAGTAAAGTGCGATGAACATCAGCCACCATACTGCAATATGAGAAGCAAGGAGAAAGATGACATAAAATGTAGCCATCAACTAACCACATAAAGAATACAGATTAAGCAACTTGACACTTCCTTAAAAGGGCAATGGTGTTAACACTTTTCAATCCTTATGGGAGAGGAAGAAGGGAAGATATGGTAGGCTTTAAGTTGCATTTTCAGAACAACTGACAGCAGTAAAACTTTTCTCTGTATCAATGAAGATCAAGAAGCTAGTTTATCATGCTACAGAAGCAATGAAGAATTGTCGTAATGATTCCCAAGGACCATCATTGTACTTTAGGATGTTTATAACAACAACCAACATTGCTTTTATCTCCCCCAGGTTCAGCCCCAGACCCAAACCATAGTGCGAGACACTGTAACTTGAATGCTAAAAGGTTTGAATATCAACCATAAGTTAGAATCTTACTGTATATTTATTTCTGTGGAAAGAAGACACTACATTAAGCACTGCCATAATGCCGTACTAAACAGGGTCCTTGAAATATTCACTTTGACATACTAGACATTATGAATTCACACATACACAGAAGTAAGCACAAAACAAAAAAACAATTTTATCCCGTAAGTTTTTCTTACATGCATAAACGTAAGTAAACACATAAACTTATCTATGAACTCTATGACCTAAAACTTCTCTAGTTCTAGAATTAGATTGGACTTTGAACCATCTGTTCAGATTAGAGACTCAATATGTCATGGTTACATCAATTAGTGATCTAATTATTAAATTTGTTTGTTGTTATCTGGCAAATGTTATCACTAGTTTACTGATACCATCCAGTTGTTTGTTATGCATTGCTCAAGCAGTTCTTTCAAACAGAGATGAAAAAGTTAAATACTTTCAACATTGGTGCTTTATTACCTTCCAATGTATCTTAGTGATTTAGCTGGAGAACCATCTTTTGGAAACTTGCACTTCTCCACAAATCTGGAATTCAGAGTCATTTAGACCCAAGAGGTAATATCAGATATGTACGGAAAAAGAAATCACTGTAGCTTTTGAACATACTTAGCTGTTGCAACATCCCAATTTGAAGCATTCCCCTCGTTGACAGAGTAAATCTTGCCTTTTTTGGGAACCTATAAGCCAGTTTCACAGAGAAGAGGAAAGAGAGACCACCGAAAGTTAACCACATGAGAAGGCAATGGCTATACTTATTTCTGGGGAAAAAAGAAGGCAGAGGCTATAATATCCACCGGCTCCTTTACCTTAATATCTGGATGGGTCAATATGAACTCTCCAAGTGATGGATCAAGAGTAAATCCGTTAACACCCCTTCCAGTACTCAAAACGAGCTGAAAATTACCAAACACAAGAATGAGCGCTGGTAAAATTACCTGGTAGGTATCATAAAAATATCTAAGATTGAACTAGACACATTTTCATAGTGTTAACTAAAACTAAGGCCACTTCTAAAGCATTTCTAATTGCACTGAGAAAAAGAGAGCGATGTGCATGATCGGGACATACTAAAGAGACATGCTTACATTGCAAGAGCTGCCATACATGCAATAGCCAGCGGCAACCATATTCTTCCCAGGCTGCAGTACATCTTCTAATTTTGGCTCACCATCATCTTTCATCATGTAAATCCCAAAGATCTAGAAAAACGAGATGATTTTCAATGATCACTGAAAACCTTTGTAAAACTAGACAAATATTAAAGATTCCACAGTATATAGTGGCAAACATACAGTTCCAATTGAAACTCCACAGTCAATGTTGGAGGATCCATCCAAGGGGTCAAACACAACGGCATACCTTTTACAAAGAAAAGTGACATAATTTAGATTTAAGAAATTAAGAGGAAAAATAAAACACACACAAGGAAGGCATGAATAGAAGAGGGATATAGTACTGAGCCAAAGAAGATGTACACAAATTTCCACTCACTTTCCCCGTTTTGATGGCTCCACAAATGTTGCCTCTTCATCTTCTTCAGAGACAAGAATGCACTGTCAAAAAATTCAAGGGCTGAGAATAAACATATAGTTCACTCTTCAAGGACATTTTATGTTAGTAGGACAAACAAAAGGTAAATGTGGCTTACTGTTCGGCCGCTGCTGACCAATGCTTTGACGAAAACTTCATTTGACAGAACATCAAGTTTCTTTTGCTCTTCGCCCTTTAATTAATAATAAGAAGCCAAATAGCTTGTCAATAGAAACAATTTCAGTATAAGGCAAGCAGGCAGTCATGAATATGAACCAGAATCACTGTCGACTTGCCTGCACATTCGTCTCACCAGCTAGCCCAATGAGCTTGGCCAAGCCTGCCTGCAAAGTTTACACTTCGATAAGATAGAGCAGAAACAGGAAATCTGGATTTAGACCAAAATGTGGGACTCTATGGACCAACCCATTCTGATTCTGTAATTGACACCCATGATCCAAACTAAGGCATCTATACCTTTAATCAAGAACATAATGTAGGCATCCATGTTTTGGCACTGTCAAAAAAGTTGTGATGCAGAGCACTATTTACTCAAATAAATCAATTATACATGGGGCATATCCACTTGGAATATTAATACATACCATCCCCAATTAGAAGAATTAGAGTGATAATAATAATCTTGTATTAGGAGAATTAGAAAATCAATACCAGATTAGATGATAGTATCATGGTATTACAATACACTAATACAGAGTATAGTGTACTCTTTATGGGGAATATTTCATTTCATCATGTATTAAGTATTAACCATCATTCAATTGAAAACACCCAAAATCAGGTCACAAAAAATCGTTCAATATCATAGTCTCAAACCAATTGGAAGTACCACGCTAAAATCATGCACAACAACTTCAAACCCAAATCAGAACAGACAGAGAAGATTTACAAAACAGTGAAAAAAATATATATATATATTCCCCACAAGAAACAGACCTTGTTAACAGCAGAGCAAACGAACTTGCAGCCGAGAACAATGTGATTGAGCAAGATAGTGAAATCCCCGCGAGACTCAGGATGTTTGGACTGCTCGTTCAACACATACCTTGTTATGGTCATCAAATCAGTCCGATGTGCATCCGCTGAATGATCCATTTTCGATTCCTTTTTTTCTTTTTCCTCCGATCAACCCAAGTCCCAAAAAAAAACTCTGTAGGATGAGAAAAGCCCAAAAGGGGTGCTAAATTTATATGGGGATTAGGAATGATTATCGTCCACCGGCAGATGAGACAAGAAGGGTTATCAGGTACTAGTGTAATGTATCAAGAACGGGACAAGGAAAGGAAATTGAGGTACTCAATTCGAGGCGAGAAAGAGGCCCCAAGGGAATGGAAGGTCATGACACGAAAGAAAATCGGATAGAGATCCTCCATGCATATTTATATGTACTACTACTGTACTCAGGTAAAGAAAGTATTATAAAGATAAGATTGTGACGGTGAAATAAAATACAATAACATAAGTCAGACTCCAACTTGGTTGACCATTTAAAAAAATAATCATGTTGGATCGTTTTTTTAATGTATTTTTAGGTATTTTTTGTATTAAAAATAAAAAAAAAATACATTAAAAATGTAAAAAGGTATATTGGGATGGGACAGTTATTATTTAATTAAAAAAACCATAAAAAAAAACCTTCCAAACAGAGCCATAGATACTTATTTTTCTTCCATATCAAAAGGGAAACTGAAATATTAACTCTACTAATGGAATTCCTTCACTGATTTGTAAAAATATCTATACATGGAATTACTTTTTATTTTATTTTTTGTTACATAGATATAGTCAAACATCAGATTTCTCTTTCAATTTTCACTCCTCATTTATGTTGGGGGAGAAAATAACAAAGTCAAAACATTGATGTATGATGTGAATATTACTGGCCTCCCTCTTAGACTATTATCCAGCTAATCATAATTAGATAACTCATCCAGCTAATCATAACACAGGATAAGTCAACTTTTGCAAAAGATTAAGTTATTAATAAGTTTTATAATAATACATACATATAGAGGATAAGTATTACACTGATTTTTATTCATATGGAAAAGAGAAAGCTTGAGGATGACATTTCCAATAATATTAGAAATGAAAAAATAATTATTTTTGTTTAATCATATTAGTATTGTTGTTTGGCCCAAGTGCATATTTTTTTCTCCATCACAGAGTGTCTATCTTTATAAAATATATATCTTGCTATATTAGAAACAAAAATCACACTTAAGAGAAAGCACCACCATTTGCCATGTGTCATTTCCACATCATATTTTTAAAATAAATTTTATTTCCACATTTCCTAAACTTAAAAGGCAAATGCAGTCCAAATTTATTTCCACCTCCTATTTTCGTTAAAACAAAAAAAAAACCACGGGTTCATAAAAAACCCAAATCCTTATCCCCATCACCACGACAATCGACTCCTTAATCAATCCCTTCTCCACAATAAAAAAAAAAAAAAATTCCTCATCAATCATCAATTGAGAATATGTGGTGAAATATACTCCTTTCCTATTAGCATGTTCAATCTTTTCATTAGTGATGATCAACTACATCCTAATCGGATAAAATTTTAACTTCAAAAAATATTTTCTTTACCTCTCTATATAAACACAAAGGAAAAAAAAAATTTCTCATTGATCTTACTTCGGCCGTTGTGGTGGTGCCATTACAAGTATTAAAATTTAAATGATTTTATTTCCACAAATAATTGGTTTGGCTTTTATTATTTTTTATTTTTTCCGTTCAAGAATAATGTTATTACTATTATTTTTATGCGTCCATCCGTTACAGCTACCGGAGCTGTTGTCAGGTAGTATGATGTGATTTCTTATTTGGTTAGTTAGTCTAAAATTTTTGTATGATTTTAGTTATGTTTGGATTGAATTGATTGATTGGGTTTTTGTTACAAAGTAAGGTTTTTTAAATTTGTTTTTTATGTTTCATTTAATTAGAGTGGTTTTTTTTTTTTAATTATGGAGTCTCAGGTTTTTTTTCGTATATGTCCAGTTATGAAGTGTGTTTTTTCTTTGTTTAATTGCTTTTGATTTCATACTTCCAGTTGACCAATTATTATTATTATTATTATTATTATTATTATTATTATTTTATTTGCAAATGAAGCACGTTTTTTTTTTGTGTTCGGGGTTTCAAGAATATACTTTTTTGGATTTGGTTTTTGAACTTTTTTTAGTTCCTCATCATATAAATAGTTCAGGTCTTTTCTTTTAACTAATTTATGGGGAAGCTTTTTATGAATTTGAGGTGGAGAGGGAAGGAATGATGTTTCTACGTCTATTTGTGTTTTTATACATCATTTTTACCTACAGAAAAAAAAAATTCTCAAAATTTTAATGGGCTATCTTTTACTTTTTTTTTTTATTTGCCATGGTGAGGTGAGTTCTTTTTTGCTATATCTTGAAACCTATGCAAATTTACATTATTTTCATTCTCATATTTGTGATCAATCAGTTTCAACAATTAACCAGTATCAAAATCATATTTTTGATATTTTACTACCTATAAACTTTTGGAAGAAATAGTTCCAACAATTAAGCATATACCCTTTGGAGTAAGCTAACTACAAGGCTATTACAAATCTCCAAAACTAAGTATTGATTTGGCACAACCAATGTAGAACATCAATAAATTATCTTACTAATATTTAAAATTATTAGGATGCTTTTATATTTTTTCTAGCATTTACTTCAAGACATATATTTGATCAAGTTTATTTATATTTAAGAAGTAACACTTATAAAACATTTTTAAAATCTTCAAACATTTCTAAAACGTACCGGGCCAAATACAATTTATTTTTATGCCAAATACAAACATCACACTTATAAAACATTTCTAAAATTCTTCAAATATTTCTAAAATATATCGGGTCAAATACAAAATATTTTTTTTCTAAATACAAATATTTCTAAGATCTACAGATATATTGGGCCAGGATCGCGCATTGCGCGACCAGACATCACTAGTATATATATATATATATATATATCAATTTGTTGAATTGTAAACACCTCTATTGATAACATAAATACAAGTAGTAAATAAAAAGAGATTATCGAAATTAAATGATAAAAAATGTTGGCCAAATTAATGTTGCACTTGATAGTTGATAAGGTAATTCATGTCATGTTGAGTCCTTTGAAATGTTAGTTTTTTCTGAGGCAACTTTAAGTTTTCTGTCACCTATTTATATCAAACGTGATTCCCAAATAACAAATTTGCTACACTATGATAGTATGAGTCGGTTTTTAGTCGGCAATATTTATTTATAAATTCTTTAAAAAGAAAACGATATTTATTACAAATGCTAAACAATGGATCAATTTACAACGATCTTTTTTAGTTTGGTTTTGATTGTAACATATTTTCTTCGGAAGAAGCACTTATTTTGAACATATGCTAAATGAGTTTTTACAAAAATACTTGATGTTGTAGACATAATATGATATTAATAATGACACCAGGATTGTATGTAGGTTAATGGAAAAACATACTCCACTACTAAAAATATTTGAGTTCAATTTTGCCTAATGCAAACTAGTCGATACTAGTAAAACTTGATTTCGCCAAACCTAGAACGTTAAGTGGTTAACACAATTATTTTGAAAATAATATTCCTTCCGTCTCATAATCATTGTCCAGTTTGGATTTTTATTTCTAATTCAATTTATACTAAAAGTGAAATCTTAAATTGTATAATAATTTTGGAACAGAGAGAGTAATTCATTCCATTACCCCAAAAATAAAGAAGTACTATTACTATTTTTTTTTTCCGAAAGAAAAAGAGCAAAATCAACATGTTATAGTTGTATTCTAGCTTCGATAAATAGAGACAAATTTTTTATACTGGTACTAGTATTATGTATGGGGAAAAAAATGGGAAAGCAAAATTCATAGGTATTGAAGATAGTGATGGGGATGAGGCTATCTAATGTAAATGGAAGTTTCAGATAGCACGTGGCGGCGTTACGGAGATTCACGAATCTCGGTAGTCAGTGGTTGTTAATATGTCACAGAAGATAACGTCCCCGGTCCTTTCTCCTCCTAAATTTTCTCCAGTTTTTGGGATCTAGCGATATATCTGACGCCGTTAAGCCGTCAAATAAAACCGTTTCAATTATTGACGTCGTTTTCATGTACTCACGGACGGACGGGACGACACCTCCCAGTGACGGCTGCCGACGTCGACGGAGTCAGTCGGGCACATCCGAGGTTATTGATTTCTGTGCTTTTATTGTAATTCATTTATTTCCTTCAAATCATAGGAATTCAGGTACCAGTAACGTCATTGTCCGTGCCAAAATCATTTCTTCCTATTCTTTTAGTGGAAATAAGTTTTGTTTTTGCCCTTAGTTTTTTCATCCTATTAGTCAAAACAATAATTTATTTTTCCCTTCTGATTTTTTTTGTTTAATTTTTATTTTTTGAAGCCAAAATTCTGAAAGTTAATTGCAACCAGCCCTGCTCAAATCTTATACTTATAATAGTCTTTTGATTGCGGTTGGAGGTTTGATCAAGGAGACTCCACAATGATGATTAATCCTGCTCTAGGAAGTGGACTAATACAATTAGGACATTCAGTGACTAATACCTTGTTTGGACAACTTTTTTGTTTGTGTTTTGGCTCATTTTACCTCTTAAATACAAATCTCAATGAAAAATAAAACACCATCCAAACATCAATTGTACTTATCTTTTAAAAAATATTTTAAACATTATTTTTAAATAATTTTTGTCAACCACCACCGGACTACCTCCACTACCGACCACCACCGCTGGATCGTCGCCGACCGGCCGGCCGAATTTCGGCCAACTTCCGACGGTGGTCCGACGGCGGCGGCGACAGTCGATGGTGAGAGAAAAATTAGTGTTAATGGTTACTAAATTATTGTAAAGTCTTTACTTTGATCACTGAACTATTTTAATTTCATAAATGGTCACTATACTATAATACTATCCAAATCAAAAACTAAACTACTTTTTAAGTCTCCTCCCAAATCCAAATAAAAAACTAAAATAAAATACTGTCCAAACAAACACTAATACTCCCTTCTAATACTTGTTAGTTTTATACTACCTCTATAACAAAATAGACTACATTGGGCTTTTCATATTTGTCTTATTTTTAGTATAAATTAAATTTATCGTAGATTGTTTTTTTAGGACAGATATAATGTCATCCAAAAATATCTATTGGAGATCTAAAATTAAGAATGATATTTCTTATGCAATACCATCTTATGCTAAGGCAATGTAATTCTATCGATTAGAATATTTCAAGCAAAGTTCATAAAATGATTTTTTTCCAAAATAAAAATAAGGGCAAATATGTACAATTGTGTTGATGATCTCTCAATTTCCTATGGACAAAGGCAAAAGACGAAATTCATGACTCCTTCAAAAACTCAGCCCAGTTCTTTTGGTGGTTTTGGTCCAAGTTTTCTCTTGCGTGTTTCTTTGTCCAGCTTATTATATTTATCGGGTTGGGCTTTGATATAGAAATTTCCTTTCCATCATTGATAATTCTGAAAAATATTCTCCAACGAGTACTAAAAATTTTGAAGAATATGTACCTCACAATTGTTATGACAAAGTAATGTTTAAATTATACACTTGGAACGATGATCCGAGTTAAATGGGTTTTGTTCCCGCTATGTGCCCGTTGATTTTTCTTTAAAAAAAAATTATGAAGAATTATTTCGCCGTTTCCACCAACAAATTTTATACCCCTCTTTTATTACTGGAAGTTTCACCCGCACATGTGTGGGTGTGATAAACTCTCGTCTAAATTGTAATATAAATAAAATTCTATTCAAAAATCGAACATCATGTAAATTAAAGAAATATTTACATGGGATCCAAATTTCAACGCAAAAATTACACAATCGGTTTTCTTCTCCATATAGTTCCTCACCATTACCGCATGCTTATTCCAGAGGGTTACCTAGAGTATGTTATTTCTGTAAAAAATTGTGAAGAAAATCGTAACAATAAAATCATTAAAATTAGAATAAATTCAACACTATAATATAAATAATATGGTTTCCTCACTCCAAATCTTCCAGCTCGATGTCAAAATTCTTTCTATTCGATTCTTCTTTGATTTCCGTCCCCCTCACAATCTCACCAAATACATCTACATTCAACAATAAACCTATTTTGAACAATAAATATGAAATGCAAGTAGAGTTTAACTGCACAAATTTTATGCATACGTACCTATGAGATAGTCATTTTCAATATGATTCATGTTCAGGGATGGACTCAATCGTGCAGGGTTCCACCCTTGTGTTGCGCATGAAAATGAACTTGTAAGGATGCTTGTTTGACTTGTAATTTCTCGTGTATTCAGCTAAATCAAAGTTAGTTATTTGTTTGCTCTCTCCCTCTCCAACTTCAAGAAACTTTTGAAATTTTCACATGAATTTTTTATGGACAGAAACTTGAATCTTTTGACCCTGCCAATTCATATATAAAAAAACAACAATTGTAATCACTGGGACTCCGACGATAAAATTATCCCGTAATTTTATGAAGATGGACTCAATCGTACAGGGTTCCACCCTTGTGTCGCGCATGAAAGTGAACTTGTAGGGATACTTGTTTGACTTGTAGTTTCTTGTGTATTCAGCTAAATCAAAGTTAGTTATTTGTTTGCTCTCTCCCTCTCCAACTTCAAGAAACTTTTAAAATTTTCACATGAATTTTTTATGGACAGAAACTTAAATCTTTTGACCCTGCCAATTCATATATAAAAAAAACAACAATTGTAATCATTGGGACTCCGACGATAAAATTATCCCGCAATTTTATGAAGATTTAATTTAAAGTTTTATAAATACTAAAATCTGTTGGTAACCTTTTCGTCAATAAGCAAAGTTTCGACAGATAAGTTTGCCCCAGAAGTTGATGTCCATACATTGAGGATTCGATCATTGACTTTCCAGTTAGACTTGACAACCATGGGTGTTAAGTCTTTTATGAAATCGATAGTGTTATTGCTACTGGAGGTCGACATCGGTCGAGGTGCTTGAGGTTGTTTGTACCAATGAAGGGAAGGAATGAGAGTTTTTTATCTTGTACATGCGGATTATGGGTTTTCTGTCAACATATATAATATTTTCATAGAGTGATTTCCCATCATTGATTATATCTTCATATCTTAGTTGCAATTATGGGATTTGCTGATTTTTTGGATTTGATGATTAATGGCTGGCACATCAATTTTAGAAGATCATTTCTACAGAGAATTAAAGGCAAAAAGAATCACCGATGATTTTGTATTAATTATTTTTGAATTTTAAAAAATCATTAATATTGTTTAATGATCAAATCAATATGTAATGACATTATTCAAGGCAATCAGAAAATCTTTTCAAATCAATTAGCTTTAATATTGAATATAATAAATATTTACTTTTTTATATGACACACAATGAAAAAACTATTAATTTTATTTTTATAAATTACACTTTTCTCCCGAGTTTTGGCCCTATCTACCAAAAATCACCTGAGTTTTAGTAATATTATCATATACCCCCTTGACTAATAGTCAACTTACCAGATGCCCCCTTAACCTATTAACACCATCATGCAATTTTTGTAAATGGTCAATCAGGGAGTTTTAATAATACTACTATATATCCCCTGGATAGGGGGTTAAATATTAAATGACTAAACTAACTATTGTTTACATTACACTTTATTTTCTTTTATTTTTTTCACTTTGTTTTTATTTGTTTTTTCTCATGAAAAATTCTTAATTTATTTTACCTTTAATCATAACATAATGAATAAAAGTTAATCCATCATTAATAATGCAAGTTTATTATATTTCAAAAAAATAATTAATGAAGATTATTTTATTTCAAAAGACATAATATAGTTAATTTCAAAAACAATTATTATCTAAGTGCATTAATATAAAATGATTAATATGGAGTATATTTTTTTAACTTAATTTATGATATATATTTTTAAATTATATTAATATTTTTAAAAATATATATCATAAATTAAGTTAAAAAAATATACTCCATATTAATCATTTTATATTAATATATTTTTAAAAATATATATCATAAATTAAGTTAAAAAAATATACTCCATATTAATCATTTTATATTAATGCACTTAGATAATAATTGTTTTTGAAATTAACTATATTATGTCTTTTGAAATAAAATAATCTTCATTAATTATTTTTTTGAAATATAATAAACTTGCATTATTAATGATGGATTAACTTTTAGTCATTATGTTATGATTAAAGGTAAAATAAATTAAGAATTTTTCATGAGAAAAAACAAATAAAAACAAAGTGAAAAAAATAAAAGAAAATAAAGTGTAATGTAAACAATAGTTAGTTTAGTCATTTAATATTTAACCCCCTATCCAGGGGATATATGGTAGTATTATTAAAACTCAGGGAGTTATGGTAGATGGAGCAAAAACGGGAGGGGGGAGAAATGTAGTTCGCCCTATTTTTATGTCAACCTATTGGAAAATGACACATATGATTTTGTCATGTGTCAACGTAAGAAGAAATTTGATTTCTTCTCGCTGGTTTCTCTCTTAGTATATAATATAATATATTATAGAATATTGATTATTGAAGAAGCGAAAAAGCAACTATATATATATATACTTTTTTTTTAAAAAAAAACAACTATCAAATAATATTAAGGGATCCAAAACATGTCTTATTTGGATGGCCATATTTACTGATTTAAATATTGTAATACAGATTATTTTTCTCATAAGAGGAAAAATGTTTAATTTTGCATCGGTCGTAATAAAAAAATTTAAGAGGTTCACATTCATCCAATCCATCACTCTCTTCTTTTTTTCCCCCCTTTTCCCCCTCTACTTTTGTTTTCTTTTTGAGGAGCCAATCAACATACTCTTCAATCTTCGTTCATGCGATTATATGGCCTTGGAGAATACGTTATTGGTTTCCTCTAGATAAAAGGCAAGGATCAATGCCCTCGTACAATTTACCACATTACCAGCACTTCTTCGACTTCACTTCTAGGGTTACAATCGTCTTTTCGAACATTGCCCCGCCCCCGGATGAACTCTTTGAGTGAAACGACACCGTTCGTTTTCTCACTCCCGATTTCCTTTTCCGGACCAAAAAATATCGAGACCCAGGTTCTAAGGGCCTTGTGCATATAAATATGCAAAAAATAAAATAGCGCAAAAAAGACACACCGATGCAATTGAGAGTAATTATGATCTTACTCAAATTCAAATTCTTGTGTATGAATCTTTGTAGAGCAAGAACAGTTGTTTGATTTTCTTGTTAGTTAATTTAGCTGCTGTATCGTCTTTTTTTGTATGTAAATTTCAGACTAAAATAGAAAAGAATCATAAAACCCTTATTCTTTTTTCTTTGGGTGAATTGAATTCGATTAAACCCTAATTCCCGGGGTTTCCCGTCTGATCGGGACGTACATTATTTTGCCCGCATTTTTTTTGTATGTGCTGTGTGATTTGAGTAATTTAATGGCGAATCAAGAGGATGAGGATTTGAAGATGGCGTTGAGGATGAGCATGCAGCACGAGTCACCGGAGCCGAAGCGGAGTAGACCTGGAGGGAGTAATACACCGCCTGGGGCAGGCTGTGGTGCGGAGGAATCGCCGGAGACGAGGAATCGGAGGCTCCAGCGTGAGTTGATGGCTGCGGCTGCTGAGAAGCGGATGATGGCTGCGAAGAATGTGGCTCCAGTGACCACAGCGGTGGCAATGGAGGTCGAGAAGAGTGTTGGTAAGGAGAGCTGCGGTGGTGGAGAGCCGGTAGCTGAGATTAGCTTGGAGAGTGTGGGGAAAAATGTCTACCCGGTGAATCCAGGGAAGGAACTGTCCGCAGAGGACGCTCAGCAATTGTTCTCTATCATTTTTGGAGACGAAGTGACGAAAGATATACTTGCCCAGTGGAGTAATCAAGGCATCAGGTAACGTCATGTGTTCTGTTCTCTTAGTTCAGTTTTTTGCTGAAGAAAGTTTGAATTTTTACAGTGTTCTTTAGCTTCAGTTGACTGTGGGTTTCCAGGATTGTTATTTGTCCCTTGCTCTGAGTTTTTTTTTATTTTTTTATTTTTATTTTTATGATGATATAGCATAACTTCTGAAGGTGTTGCTGCAGTGAACATCTGTGCTTTTTTAATTTTTTTTTGGTTCTAATTATATGTGGCTCGGTTTGATGTTTTAGTGGTGTGGCCAAGGTCTTAATTGATGGTGAAAACACATATGTAGGTCAAATCATGCTATTTAATGGTTTCCTTCGGTTGGAGGAGATGTTTTCCAAAACCAAAAATCGGAGTTACATTAACCAGTCATTTAGTAATTCAATTGAAATCCATTAGATCGATGTCCATTAAAGGCAATAAGAATGCCAAATGATTCAAGTCAGCAACCGCTCAAAAGAAATTCTCTTCATTTTTAACAAACCTTTAATAGATGGCCCCACATTTATCTGAGAAAAATCCCTGCATTGATGTAATTGTATTGTTACTTTTTTATTCTTCCCACTCTTAGATATGAATAAATGGCATTCTATTTTTTTGGAAATTTAATAATGAGTGGGGCAAGCTCGGCGGGAAGATTACAGTTGATAAAATTGTATAATGTCTAAAAGTCGATGATATTTATGAGTTATTTGCTGAGCTTAGTTTGTCGGGAACCATTTCATATAGTCTCTAAACATCTTCTGATAACTTATTTATCGTGGATCTTACTAGCCCGCAAAAGAGAGAATAATCCCTGCCATTTATTTTGAAGTTAAAATATGCAAAGCAATTATCTGATTCCTCAATCACACGCCGACAAAGTGTAGTTAGTTGTATATTTAATGGTCATAGGCAACTATTTAGAGCTTCTTCTAGTCGGACTGATGTTGCAAATAAGTATAGGGTACAATATCTGTTACTTCTGATTAAGTAAGACTGCTTGGTGGATTGCTCGTTTTAATGACTAGGCCTCTGCCTTAGAATTTTTTATATTTATTAGTTCAATACAAAAGGCCTGGGTAAAGAAAAGGAGAGGGATTCTTGAATTTCTTGAAGTATATGTTGCTTTCATTTTCTCAAACGGCTGTATTAGAATGTTGAAGAAATTCTTCTCTTCAGGTTTAGCCCTGATTCAGAAACATCCATGGGATTAGTGCAGCATGAAGGTGGTCCATGTGGTGTGTTAGCTACCTTACAGGTAATAATTGTTTTTTGCCCACCTATATGTTCGAAGCGTTTGTTTATTTGTTGGGGGGTGTGGGTGTGGTTGTGTTTGTTTGGGGGGTTGTTCTGCAATAACTTCAAGATTAAGTACTGAAGTTCTTCTTCGCATATTGTTACATTTGCATTAGTAGTTTAATCTTCTTCTGGATTTCTCATGGATCAAAATGTCATACGTTGACACCATTAGCTTCTTATTTGTTCAAGTTCCGCAAGGCCTGATTTTGGGGTTTTGGAGAGCTTTAAGAAAAGAAACATATAGACAGAAAAGAGAGAAGTGAAAGTTTAGGTTATAAGACAAAAAAGATGGAATACATTTTCTTTATGTGTTCTGTTATTCTTTGGGAGTTGTTGAAAGAGAAGGTCAAGACTGATTGTTACTTTTTTCCTTTCTGTAACCTATTCTCTACTTAATTTCACATGATTTTTTCCTGGGGAGAAGAATATATGCAATTAATCTTTCGTTTTGCCTCAGAATCAAATTTGAAATCTAAATTTCCTTTGACATTTTCATGTGTAGTGAGAAAATCTCTCCCAATGCTCCTTGTAATGTTCCTGGGAAAGAAATCACCTGCATCAAGTTCATGCCTATTCCACTTCTTAAGATTTTGTTTATTTATTTATTTTGAGAAAATTAGAGAGAAACAAATATATTTTGGGACTAAATGGTAAATAAAATTATTCACGCCAAGAAACAAAAAAGATAATTTTTTTTTTTGGGTACTCTATTCCAAACAAAGCTTTTGGTAACAGTTGCCCATTCTCTGTAAACGCTATGGTAATGGATTTAATTGGAATGGAGTCAAATGAGGTCTCAAATAGTCTCATTTATTTGGCTTTATTCCTGAAATTTAAGTTATCATTCCAAAAGCATCATGCTCAAATTATGAAACCAACATATACCGAATCCCCCTATTAGTGTTTTGATACTACTTTTGACCCATTCTTTCCTTGTATGAGGACAAAAAGGAGGAAAGAGGTTGAAAGTCTTGTTTTTTGAAACTTTGAAGGTGTAGGGATTTAGTTTTCTCTTCTTTTCTTTTTTAGAGCTGTTAATTTTCAGAAGTCCACCTTAGGTTTCTCTTTTTTCTATTGCATCCAAACAGGTACAAACATTTTACACGCTTCATTACAGACAATACTATTGCAGTAGTGGTTCACCAATTTCTTTCCTGGTCTTGATGATTGAATCTGTTGTTCAACTTAGAATTTAATTATAGAATGCCAAAGCTTAAATAGATAACTTGAAATTGTTTGATCTCTATATTAGAGACTTAGAGTAGCTGTCGATTGAAATGAAGATAAAGTGGCGGGAAAGTGTGTTGGATTTGTCTTGGATTTCCATGTAGGAGTTTTGATTTTAATGAATTATGTCAGAAACCTAATTGAATCTGATTAGGACACAACAGAGCACTGGGAAATCCACAATGAGGATCCCTAATAAGGATTAACCATGCCCAAGTTTTATGTGGATCCAATGAAGAAAGCGATATGTTGAATAACTAACTGAGTTATTTGAATAGTTTTCGAAACTGGAACATAAGTCACCGTCATTTGATTAGAGTTTTTATTGTCAATCTAACTTTTCGAAAACTGCTGCTTTTCACAAATTCCTCGTATCTTGGTTTCTGGTTTTGATTCTTTGTTTTTGGAATTTTATTCAGTGACATGTTCCATTTTAGCAATAGATAAGAATATCAGTTTCCACTTTGAGAGGAGAACTTAGATTGGAATGAAATTCCTGCGACAGCTGGGTGTCTTTAAAGGTCCCTAGCTGTCCCTAGCTGCGACGCCTAACCATGAAGGAGCGAGTCCTAGAGAAATTCAATGTTGTATAGCTATGTAGCACAGTTTCATATCTCTTATTCTTAAACTTAGTTCTTGCTTCCTGATAGCCTGGGAAGACTGTCCAAGATTTTTCTAGTTGAAATAACTGCCTGTACTGCATCAGATCCCATTCATGGTAGGAGTTAAAGAAGTTATAAATCTAAGCTGCTTTGGTTCCCTGAAATGAGTTTAGTTTGTTCCATTTGTAGTTTATTTTGCAGTTCATATGGAACACAAACCATTGCATAAGAGCAAAAGTAAAAGCTGCACCCGATGTGTTCTCAAAATATATTCTCTTTTATACAAGTTTTTTTACCCCCCGCCTGACCACTTTCTCTGAGATATACGCAGGCTGGTTACAAAAATGTAAGTCGCATGTTATGACTTTGCAATTCTTGATCCTGCAGGCTTTTGTTCTCAAATACCTGTTATTTATTCCGGAGGTATCAGGTATTGTTGTACCTGCCTTGGCAAGAAATATGGATTTAAGACGGTGCTCCCGAAGTGAGTGCACTGCGGCAGATATTGTTTCTTCACTGACAGAAGAGAGAAAATCTAGGTGGCTTCTCTTTTTTTGCTTTGCCTTAGTTATCCATTTCTTCTGTCTGCTCCATGCCTTTCATCCTTCTGTTTAAGCTTTCCCGTCTGTTCATTTGATTTCTTATGAAGAGATTTTATGGCAATTAGACTTATGTTTTTCTGATCGAAGTTGATTACCTTGTGTTGTCATGTATATACTGTAGACAACTTGTGATGATATTACATCTTTTCTTTGTTGCACGTTCTATTGTGATCAATGACAGAATGCTTAATGGTACGGGATTATATTCTTAACTAGTTGAATTTCTAGTTAAACGAATTGTCCGAAGTAAACAAATAAACCTTAAAAAGCCCTCTTTGATGCTAGCGATGTCTTCTTAAAATTTCGCCTATAATGGTTGTTTGGGCAGCCATCAAAGCATTCCTTTAAAGTTCAATTTCTTGCAGACCACTTATATTGGAGGGTCACTATCCTAATGTTTACTCAACTTCAATATTTAGGTTAATATCGATGGTGTTTGAGGATATATTGATCCTAACTCTCAGGATTTAATAAAGTTCGATAGTTGATTTATAGTCTTTGATAAGTAATTGGTAAAGTGTTAAGTCATGTAAATATCACTTTTTTTCTTCCCTTCTAAATAACTTTGTTCAAGTAGTCACCAACATATTCTGCTGTCACAGAGCTTTGGTGAGTAGCATGTGTGAGATTCTCTTTCTGTGTGGAGACAATGAAAGAGCTGTGCTTGCATCCATTGGAGTTCTTCACGGTGATGACAGAAGTCCTGAAGACAATTCAAAAGATGATGTGAGGTTTATTTATTTAATCATTTGAATTTAAACTAACTTCTTCTTAATGTATGTTCTTGAACTGGAAACTGTGAGCAGTATTAAGGTCTTGGTCGATCTCATTTTCTCAAGCTCCTGATGATGGTTTTCACATATGCTGTTTTTACTTTATAAGTCTTTTCTCATTACTCTTGTTCACTATCTGGTGCAGGTAATTGCAAAATTACTTGAAGGAGTTGCAATTGAATCAGGGCCTGACCTGCAGAAGGTCCTGAGGGTTGAAGTGCATACTTCAAAGATTAGTGCAAGTCAAAGACTCGAAGCAATGCTTCCTATTTTCCGAAGCCGTATGGGAGCAATCCTATTCTTGATATCTGCTTTGCTTTCTCGTGGAGTGGTATGTTGTGTTGTCTTATGATAAGATTTTTATCTCTGTATTTTTCCTCTTAAATACTCGGAAAGAAAATTAAGTGTTGTGTCATTTGATTGAGGCTTTGTTGATTTTTATGCTGGGATAAGACTGTGGTATCCAAATTGATGTTTTTGATTTATAAGCCAGACATTTGATTTTATGAATATAAAATCATCACTTTTGAGATGATTTGAGTTTTCATACCATTATGGATTTGGGATTAATCACACACTGTCTGACAAATGTTGAATACACAAAAAAATGTTTTCTGCAATCTCTTAAAAGGACTTCTGTTTATTTACTTTTGTTCTGGGTTCTGGATGAAATCTTTAATATTGGAGTTGGGTCCACATATTGATGTTTTCTGGAACATTGGGTGTTAACAGTTTGCATTGTCAATGAATCTTTACTTTATGATATCTAGTGGCGCATCTTCTCAAGTCATCTTAAAACCTACTTTAATATACTGGGTAATCTAGTTGAGATGTAGACATTGTATATCCAGAAATGTATGTTGACAAGTTCCAGTTTCTATTGGTGAAGTTCTTATCACTATTATAGGATGCCCTTTTGTACATTACTGTCTTTCCTCTCTCAGAAATGTATGTAGATGAGTTCCAGTTTCTATTGCTGAAGTTCTTATCATTATTGTAGGAAGCCCTTTTGTACATTGCTGTATGTGGCTAATTTTTGTAGGTGTAGATGTAACTAGGTAAAAGAGCTGATGTCTGATAAATTAGCAGGAATTTTTCTTCTTGTTGTGAATACATCCTTGATTGTCCTCAGTGCTGAGATACCTAAGAGAATTATAATGCAAAAGAAGAAACTTGTTGTCTTTAGCATGAAATAATCTGAGATGAAATACAATACTAGTTTTAATGCCTAAGTAGTATCATCAGGAAGTGGCACTAGAAGCACATTAGTCCTGATTAATATAGTGAATATTACAGCAATTGGTGTAATTATTTATTTATTGTGACAGGAATCTGTGCAAGGAGATAGGGATGACCCTAGTCAGCCATTGGTCACTGCTCCATTTGGGCATGCCTCCCAAGTAAGTTGAGTTCATTTCCCCTGTGAACTTTCTGTGTCTTTCCTTGTCTGCATGAAGCACCTTGTTTATTTGCATTTTTGTGATACTAAGTTTTCTATCCTTTTTTGCCTTTCTTGACCAGGAAATTGTGAACCTTCTGCTTTCTGGGAAGGCAGTAGCTAACGTTTTTGATGGAAGTATGGACCTTGGGGGTGGGATGTTTGTTAAAGGCATTTCATCACCCGTAGAAGTTGGTTTCCTGACTTTGCTCGAGTCTCTAAACTTCTGTAAAGTTGGCCAGCATTTAAAATGCCCAAAATGGCCAATATGGGTTGTTGGAAGTGAATCTCATTATACCGTTCTATTTGCTCTTGACACCAAGGTTCAGGAGGAAAATGAATATGAAAGCAGAGAAACACAAATCAGGAGGGCTTTTGATGCCCAAGATCAAAGCGGCGGTGGTGGGTTCATTAGTGTTGATGGCTTTCATCAAGTTCTCAGGGACACTGGCGTTAACCTTCCTGCTGAGAAGGTCAACCACCTTTGCAGTACTGGTTTTATCGTTTGGAGTGAATTCTGGCAAGTTCTTTTGGATTTGGACAAGAGCTTAGGAGGGTTGAAAGATGCAACTGGCTTGATGGGCAAGAAGGTATTTGACCTTTACCATTTTAATGGAATTGCAAAGTCAGTCATTAATGGGAGCCACTTAAATTTTGGTATTGAAAACCCAGTACAAAGACCAAGGCTTACAAAATTGAGGGTCTCAGTTCCTCCAAAGTGGACACCGGAGGAGTTTATGTCGAACGTAGCAGTGTCCTCCAGCACCGGAAATAATGAAACTGGTGGAAAGAATGTCGATGTGGAGGAAGTGTCTAAACCTGAGCCTTCACAGCACGCGCCCCTGGTTGACTGCATCAGGACGCGTTGGGCACGTGCTACCTGCAACTGGGACGGGGATGCACCTAGTATTGTTTAATGTGGTTAGGTAAATGCGTCACTTCAGTAGACTTGTCTTGTGCCATGTCAAGGATGTTGAGGCTTACGTCCAAAGTAACATGCAGCGATAGAAGAGAATGAAACTCAGAAACTGGAAATGAACCCAGATTTTAGAGGGGAATGCTCATTGCTCAACGCCGCAATTTCCCCCATTCGGCAATACAGCTAGACTGTTTTTCAACTGTGATATATAATTGTGACTTTTAGATTCTTATATGTTTTGGAGCATTTCTTCCATTTGGAGTGTGAGTATAAAAGAAACGTTTGACATTAGTATATCGAATCTCTGAGTCTCAGCCACTGAGAAACCAATTCTTTTTATTTATTTATTTTTTTTTTGGTCAATGGGGTTTAGCCAGTAATAATTTACATTGACTAGGTTGGTTTCATTTCATTGCTGTCTCAATGTTGCAAAACTTAGGCTTCCCCGTCAATATGGATGTACATCATTGAATTTAGATGCTTGATTTTTATACCCTTTTTTTTCCCCTTTTGTCTTAGACTTAGAGAATGGTAAGATAATTACATCGTACTTCAATGGTTTGACCTAATGATGGGTTTAAGGATATGCGACAAGAGAGAATAAAAATAGAATTATTAGAAATTTGGAAGTAAAAGTTTTGGGGCATTCAACCAGAGGCGATTTTATTTTATTTTTTTAATCTCTTCTGCCTGTCAATTTCTTTATAAACTAGTGCATGACTGTGGCTCAGTCTATCTATAGATTTTAGAAATATTTATATCTGAAAGAAAAAATATTTTTTATTTGAGCTTATATATTTTAGAAATATTTGAAGAATTTAGAACTATTTTTTTAAGTGTGATCATAAAAATGTTCGTATTTGGAAAAAAAAAATTGTATTTCACCAAGTATGTTTTATAAATATTTTATAAGTGTTACTTACTAAATATAAATAAACTTGATCGAATACATGTCTTGTTCAAGTAAATGTTAGGCAAAATATAAAAGCACCCTAATATATTTAAATATTAGTACGATGATTTATTGACGTTCTCCATTAGTCGTGTGAAATCAATACTTAGTTTTGGAGATTTTTAATAGCTTTGAAATAAGTTTGCTACGAAGGGTATACACTTAAAAAAAAAAAAAAAGAATCACACGTTTTAACAAAAACCTAATTGATCAATTCAATTGAGACTCCATAATTAAGAAAAAAAAAACTGCTCTAATTTAATGAAACATAAAAAGAAATTTTAAAAATAACACTTTGTAACAAAAACCTAATTGATAAATTCAATCCAAATAGTACGAAAATGATACAAAAATTCTAGGGTAAGTAATCATAGAAGAAATCACATCATATTATCTTGCAACAGCTACGGTAACTTTAAGGGGTGGACGCATAAAAATAATAGTAATAACATTATTCTTGATCCGGAAAAGAAGAAAATAATAAAAGCCAAACAAATAACATGTGGAAATAAAATCATTTAAATTTTAATACCTGTAATGGCACCACCACAACGGCCGAAGCAAGATCAATGAGAATTTTCTTTTTTTCCTTTGCGTTTATATAGAGAGATAAATAGAATATTTTTTGAAGCTAAAATTTTATCCGATTAAGATGTTGTTTATCATCACTAATGAAAAGATTTAACATGCTAATAATGTATAAAAAAATATGATGTGGAAAGATTGATCATTACTAATGTGTAAATAAAAAAATATTCGCTTAAGTAAAGATAGATTATTTTTTGAGTGGTAGAAATAAATTATTTAGATATTATGGTACGAATTAAAGGAGGAAAAAAAAAAGAGTAAAGGAATTTAAAAAGGTAAAGGGAGCAAATGATCTTTGGTTAGTGCTTATAAATTATTTGGTTAGTGCTTATATAGTTCAACCCAGTTTTTTTTATTATTAGCTGTTAATCCTTTCTTGTTTGTAGGATTCTTCTGTTTTAAGCGAATTGATTATAAAGAACTGAGCTTTCCATTGTAGGATTGTAGTGGTGGTGGAAGTTTAAATAAATTTTACTTATGGGCATCGACTCTGTTTTGTAGAGATGGTGTGATGTCAACCTGTGATCACGCTTGATTGTTTAACTCTTAAGTCTTGCTGCTATGAATGAATGAACTTGCATTTTTTGATGTAAAGAAAAAGGGCAATTTAGTAATTTAAACTTACCATGTGACAATTGTAGGTGTTGTTTGAAAGGAGGGTTTTTTGTTTCTTATATAGTAGGATATATACGAATCATCAATTTTCAAAATGAACTACATAAACGGGATACTACAAATTAAATCCGGTACTTAAACATCAAAACTAAGTTCCATTTCATGATGGGAAATTAATTGATTATGAGGACTTCCAAAAATTTATCATTTTACGTGGAATGTTGTTATCAGATTATCATATCTCAAAATGAGAAGAATCTAACTGTGGAATGTTGTTAAGTTATATTGCTCGCTAACTAAATTTTCACAGGCTCTGATTGGATGCGACGGATTAAATTCTAAAGTGGCAGATTATCTTGGATTGAAACCTGCATCTTTGTTTACTCTTGGTGGAGTCAGAGGCCTGACAAATTATCTGGATGGTCACTGCTATCCTCCTAAATTTTTTCGGTTGAGAAGTAATCAGGGTGATTTGAATTTTATTGAATTTTTGGAGGGATTACGAAAATCTGTGAATTTTTAATGCTAATTAATGGCAATTAATGAAGTGAAAATGGCACGTGGCAATTGAAGAGGAGCTCTTTAAAGTATGGTTTTTGTTTCTATATATAAATATATATATATAGTAAGATATCAATGATAATATTGTCACAGAAAATCCTTGACAATTAAAGAGAAAAATTATTGAAAAAAGAAAAAAAAAAACAAAAACAAAAACAAAAGAATAAAACGACACTTTTTTTGCCCTTTTCACCGCTTTCTCTGTTCCAGGTTTCCAGCTTCCAGTTTTCTGGGTTTTCAAATGGAAGTTAGTGGGGGTAATCAGTACTTCCTGAGGCTGGCTGAGCTCGAAAATTAGTCCGCCGTTCCGACTTTCAGGGTCAGGTCATCGCCGGAATTGCCGAATTGACAGAGTATACTTACTTCTCTATTTCTGAGTCCGAGAATCAGGCGAACAGGTAAGCTGCATTTCTTACAAAGTGTGGAATGTGAACTCCTCCATTTTTTCTTTCTTTTTTTTTTTTGTTTGGTTTATGATTTTATACACTTGAAACATTGGTCCTTTATGGATGGTTTTGATGGCAATATATTCCTTTTTTGTTATCAATTTTTTTAGGTGATTGCAATGTTTTTTGTTGTTGGTTCTCTGATAATGAATTTTGGATGCTTTGTAAGTTTTTCTATCGATTACGTTTGGCAGAGTGTGACACTCTTTAAATTTTTCCAAATTTCAAATATCAACTTTAAGAGAGGAGACGACAAATTTATATGCAATTTGAAAAGCTTTATGGAAGGAGTATTGTAGTAGTTTTCTCATGACGTTTTGGGTGAGATGTGCATACTTGTTTTGAAAAAATCCAAACAGGGTGGGTCTTGTTGCTGAGAAGTTCTTGGAGGTACTAAAGCTTGCTGTTTGCCTTCGGTTAGTTTAGTTTGTGAGGTTTTGAACATTGAGGTGCAGATAATGCCTAGGCTAAAAGTTGGGAACTTTGTGTATCACAAAAATGGGTAAAACTTTGCTCCATCGCTGACACAAAGAAAAATCTTTACTCTGCTTTGCTTGTTCTACCCCACCTTTTACATTCTTGATCTTTGACGATAAAGAAAGTAAAATAATTTAATTCATAGTTTTGGTATTTTCGTTGGGTTATTTTCTCAGTCAGTTAGCTTGAATTCTTGTGCATGGTTGACTCATAGGCATGTTGTTATTTTGGAGGTTGTGACTAGAATTCTCTGACTCTTTCAGTTTTTTATTTCGAATTTTTGAATACCTTTCCACCTGGGTAGCTTTATATTGCTACAGTGAGAATGCATAATGAGCAGCAAAGTTCTAAGTTTTAGCCTAATGAAGTTACAGAAAGGCCAAGTTTTGCTTGGTTCTGCTTCTCTCTTTAATTTGATTAAGACCTAAGCTTGTAATTTCTGTATAGGAATTGAATCACAAGGGTGAGTTGCTAATGTTGACACAAAACTGAAACTTGTTAGATTCATTCTAATATGTGCTTCTTTGTTTGACCAATGTTGTGTTTCGTATGGAAGTTCAGCATTTCCTGGTATATATTTTCATTCATTTTTGTTTTCCTTTTCTCAGTGATTACTGATGTGAATTGAAGTTATACGAAGGAGCTAACTCCAGGATGGCCATTGCCAAGCTTCTAGGAAAATATGCATTATTTTGGAATCCTGGCAGGGTTGCTGGACCTTTTAGTTTCCATTTTAATAGAAGATTGTCACTCTGGTCAATGAAGAAAGATCCAGATCTTGAATCTGCTTTATCCCGTAACCGTAGATGGATAGTAAATAATCAGATAAAAAATATCATTATTCGGTGCCCAAACCAGGTGGCTTCAGTAAATTTCCTTCAGGAAAAGTTCAAGACTCTTGATCTACAAGGCAATGCTCTCAATTGGCTAAAAAAATATCCCTGTTGCTTTGAAGTATTCCTGGAGAATGATGAGCGGTATTGTAGGCTAACTAAAAGAATGACGGTTTTGGTTGAGGAGGAAGAGTCTTTGAAGGACAATCAGGTACCGGTATTCGCTGAACGATTGGCAAAGTTGTTGATGATGAGCTCAAACCAAAGGCTTAATGTCACAAAGCTTAATGAATTGAAGCGAAACTTTGGTTTTCCCGATGACTACCTGATAAGAATCGTGCCAAAGTACCCTGAAATGTTTAGAATTGTTAATCATACTGGGAGGCGAAGTTCAGTGGAGATTGAGCTCATGACTTGGAAACCTGATTTAGCGGTTTCTGCCATTGAAAATGCAGCGCTAAAGGAAGGACGAAATCCAAGCTTTTCTTGTTCATTGCCTTCTTCTTGGATAAAATCGTGGGAAAGGTTTGAGGAATTTAATTCAACACCTTATGTCTCACCGTATATCAACCCTGGTGCTTTGGTGGAGGGATCGAAGGAAATGGACAAAAGAACGGTTGGTTTGGTACATGAACTACTATCATTGTCTTTGTGGAAGAAAATGTCAATTCTCAAGCTGAGTCATTTCAGGAAAGAATTTTGTTTACCAGAAAAGTTAAACATTTTACTACTTAAACATCCTGGTGTCTTCTATGTCTCAAACAGATACCAGATTTACACAGTTCTTCTCAGAGAAGGATACAAGGGATCTGAATTGATTGACAAGGATCCTTTAGTGATATTGAAGGATAAATATGGAGAATTGATGCAGGAGGGACTTCACGAGTATAACAGAAGGCATTATTTGGTAAACCTTGAAAAGAAGCGAAAGAAAGGTGTGATCACACCGAGACATGAAAAGAAGCACAACTTATGCAGTGAAATGCCTGAACAAGAAGAAGGTGGAGATCTTGGTGGCATATTTGATGCTGAAGAACGAAGACGATTTTACAGAATTCTCTTTGGTGACAGTGCTCCATGAGATGCTATATTGAACGGATCTTTCCACATATAATCGAACATATGGTTACTGGTAAATTATTTCTTTCTATTTCATTGCGTAATAATCTGCAAAACCATCAGTTCAGCCAATTCTCTGTTTAAAATTTGTTTTCTCCATGAGCGTTCATTTCATCTTGCCAGTGTTCCCCTTATCTTTTGCAATTTTTTTTTTTTTTTACTGAGCAGAAGATTTGGACTTTTCTATCTACTGAGATATTTTAAGTTGATTAATTGGGGTGATGATAAACCCCCATGAGGTGCAAAGTCAAATGGGTGGACTACTTTGAGGCAGATACCGAGAGAGATGTTCTGAAGTCTAAGAAGATCTGGGACCTGCTGAAAATATTTGCAAGTTTCTGCATGGTATGCATCTGGCAATATCCTAGCTACTTTGTTAGACTTGTTTGGATATTCTATTGATTTATTATGACAAATTATTTTTCGTGATAACATACAGCCCTTCAAGTTAGGTCTGAATAATGTGTTTCTTTGAGTTTAAAGAAAGCTCGTGTTACAGTTTCTCTGAACTTTTTGGATTATTAAATATGGAAGTGAAATTATGTATGCTCAAGTTGTTTGTTTGCATCTCATGCATTGTTTCTTGGTCTGGATTAAAAGTAAAGAGTGCATTTCGCTATTTGAACTCTTGATTGCCTTAAAGATCTAAGCAAAGTGTTGTCTGTTACATTCAACACTTGATGATACACTTTCATTCTAGAGATTTCACATCTGACTTGTCTGAAGTCTAAAGCTGTTACTTTTAGAAACATTCCAAACTTCCTTATTAGGTCTTGATAAATGTTTGTGTAGCTAGCTTAAAGCACAGATTCTATTTCTTCAGGATAGATATTTTTGTTATGAGTGACTGCAGTGCTGTCATCCATATTTTGTAGGATGATACCAATTACCAATACCAGCTGTGCTGGATTACAGTTCTGATTGCTTTTGATCTCTTTAGAGGCATCTTTGGGTTTGGGTCTTTCCCTTATTTTCCTTAAAAAACTACTCCTTGCTGAATGAACTTTTTGGTGAACATTTATTGAATGGTAAAAGATCAGCTTCTCTCATTTTCCCTTGTTACATTCTATCGGTGAAGGAAGTGTGGAGGTGGCCTGTGTGAACCGGCAGAAAATATAATAGAAGTGCATTTTTTTTTATCTAGTAATTTAGGGATTGCCAGCAGTCATGCTCTGGTGCCTTTCTTAAGATTGGGCATAGGTAATAGGTTGCGCATGTTTGAAAACCCACTTAAAGAGGTTACCCACTGAACAGTGAGTCTTTGATGGTTATCGTAAATGTTTTTCTGAAAATAAAGTTGGAGTACATTTCACTGGTGATTGAAAATAATATAACCAGAACTTTTCTCCATGAAGGAAAACACATTAAATATGCTATTGGCACTATGCTAGCAGTTTTACTGATAATTGAAATGAAAAGTAGAATGCTATAAAGTAAGAATAAAAGAAGCCTTCCCATTTGTTTTGCATCTGTTGGATAATTCCATTAGTAATGCCCAGTATCTGATTGTTGCGCATCTATGTATGAAGCAGCGCACGTATTGTCTACACCTAGAGAGGCACACAAAAGTCAAATAGAAAAACATCTTGTTGGCTAGCTAGATCCCTGATTGAATTTGTGTCGAAAACTTTATTGCAGAAATCTGGATGCTATCATGAGAAGAACATCTGGTGTCACGTATAGTTAGCTGATGCCCAGCTCAAGATCCGTCCATCTCGCTCTTGAAAGCGACGTATCAACTTGTATTATGTGTTAGGTTTTTGAGCTCCCACCTATATGTCAAAAGTCCATGGAGAAAGCCCAGTTGTTGGTTAATGTTTTTTTCGCCCATTTGACTACTTAACAGGGCAAGAGAGAGCAGCAGATTGTGGCTGTACAATCATGTGTTTTGCCCCTTTTTTGAGAGCCAAAGAGAGAGAAGCCTGAAATATTCCAACAAGGTTTTCTCTGTGCAGCAGTTTAGATTCTGCCACGATCAGAGGTGCTACGGTTGTCCGATCGGTTTTAAATTTTAATTGGTGGTAGAAGACTCACAAGGCTTCATTCTGACTGAAGGATCTTAGATTTCAATAGTTAGATTTTTCAGTTAAAATTTTCCAAATAGACTGCTGTATTTTGTGGCATTTTTGCCTCTTTGAAGCTGTATTGTGATAGTAGTGCCTTCGTAGACCGTGTAAGGGTTAGATATCACTTGTGTATTACTGGCTCCTGTATGCCTCTTGTTGGTCTTGGTGATTTTTACCTCTCCACACCGAAGGGGTTTTCCAACGTAAATCGGTGTGTTCTTGCTGTTCTTGTTCGCTTGTTCTTGTTTCATTGGTGATTACTTCCACTTTAGTGTTGGTAACATTCATGCTCCTAATAGGTTATTGCAAATCATGAAGACTTTTGAGTTTGTTTCCAATTTTGCTTTACATAGCACACTTTGTGTAGCTAGTTTGGTTTGTTTTGGTCCTCGCCTCCCAACAGAGTGGTATCAGAGCCACGGTTGGTGGCTTTGATTTGCTAGAAATATGGACATAACTACTTCCAAGATGATTTCTTTGAATGGCATCAATTATTATAAATGGAAACGGTAAAATGAAGGATATTTTATTTATGAAAGTATGCACTTAACTGTTTGTGATTTGTGGTTTCTGGTTTCATTAGAATGTGGTTGGAAGATGATGTTCGTGATCTTGTAGCTGATGAATCAAATGCGAAAAAATTTTGGGATGCATTTGAGAAGTTGTTTGTATCCAGGACGATGAACAACAAGTTGTTTTTACTTAAGCAATTGATGAATTTGAAATACATTGAGGGAACACTAATCTCTCATTATGTGAATGAGTTTCAAGGTGTTTTGGATCAACAATATAATGTTGGAGTAAAATTTAAAGATAAGATATTTGGTTTGTGGTTGCTTAATACCTTGCCTAACTCTTGGGAGATATTTCGGGTCTCATGTACTAATTCTACTTCTAGTGGCATTATGTCATTTGATTATGCTAAAACTGGTATTCTCAACGAGGAGATGAGGAAAAAAAAACTCAAGATTTGGATTCACCGAGTGGGATCTTGGTTAGAGAGTAGAAGGGAAGACATCAAGATAGAGGTCATGGTGACAAAAAAAGAGGTAAAAGCAAATCCATGTATTCATATATTGTTTACTGTAAAGAAACAGATCACATCAAGAAGAATTATTGAAAATTAAAGAAAAAGAATAGGGAAATAAATGACAAGTTAGAAAAGTCTGAAGATGGTAGTAGTAATGTTAGCACTAGTATGTATAAAGACCTAGTTTTTAATCTTAATGACGTTGTCCTTGACGAGGTTTCTTCTGATATGAGTTGGGTGGGTGCTTTTGGTGCTGATGTCCATGTTACACCAAGGAGAGTTTTTCTCTCTATGTATACCAAGGGAGACTTTGGTTATTTGACAATGGAGTTTCTAAGGTGATTGGCATCGGGGATGTTTCTTTGAGAATGAGCAATGGCTTTACACTACAGTTTAGAGATGTCAGACATGCCCCTGATGTTCGGTTGAATTTGATTTTCATTGGCAAAGTTGATGGTGAAGGTTATGATAACAGTTTTGGTGACGGTAAATGGAAAATCAGCAATGGGTCCCTCGTTATAGCTCGAGGTTTGAAATTGAAGGAGAATATGTTTCCGCTGCAAGCTTCAATTTCAGGTATCACTGTTGATTTGGTTAACAAGAATTGCTCTTCGGAGATGTTGAGCATGAGTCACGTTGGTGCTGAGGGACTTTGTACTTTGGAGAAGAGAAATATTCTTCTAGATACAATATGTGCCAACGTTGAGAATGATTCTCAGATTTTGGAGAGAGAGATTTCTCGAGTGTTTTTCAAACTTGATCCTCCTCAGCGGGAACCGGATGTGTTATGCCTTGCTTAATTGGATCTTCATGATCATTTGGATGCACAACACCTGGTGGAGGAGTTGATATTGGTGTGCAGTAGGTTGGAAGTGCTAATGTTCAGCATGTTTTTGATGGTCAACTTATAATGGATCTATGCGAACCAGGTAGAAGTTCTACTAGTGCTGGACTGTCGTCTATTAGTTGCTCTCAAGATGACCGCGTGCTCTTAATTGATGGAGAAGTGATTGAATGATTGTGTAAAGCTGTGTCATTTGGTTCGTGTTGTAAAGGATAGGATAAATTCCTTGCACGATGATTGCACCGTTGAGTTGGTGAAGTCGCCCAAGGGCAAAAAGGGTTCGAATGGGATCTATAGAGTGGAAAGTGTGTTAATCAAGGATTTGATGCATTGCTCCATCGTCGAAATGGGAAGTTCTTTCACATAGTCGGGAGGGGTAGATTTGTTGGGTTTTTTGCTGCATTTTTTGAGAGACAAAAAAAAAAAAAAAAGAAGCGTGAAAAATTCCAGCAAGGTTTTCCCTGTGTAACAGTTTAGATTTTGTCATGATTGAGGTGTTACGGTTCTCCAATCGGCTTAAAATTTTAACTAGCGGTAGAAGACTCACAAAACTTCATTCTGACCGAAGATCCTTAAAAATTTTAAAGGTTAGATTTTTAGTTAAAAATTTTCAAACAGACTGATGTATTTTGTGGCGTTTTTGCCTCTTTGGAGTTGTATTATAATACTAGTACCTTCGTAGACTTTGTAGATTTTAAACCAAAGAGTCACGTAGTTTTATCAATTCACATTAAGGAGGTTTTCCACATAAATCGTTGTATTCTTTCCCTTTCACTTTAGTAAGAGATTCAAATAAAGTATTGAGTTAGTAGTATCAAACCAGTGTCTCAAGTTTAAGAACCAACAAAAGAAATGCAATTAGAATCATCATCAGAAACCCAATTTACCAGCAAATGTCAGATTCGAGGACCAACATTCTAAAAACTTGATTTCAATTTAATCACTGAAAGTTCCAATCTTACAATAGATATCATATTCAACTACATCTAAATTCCCATAGCAACAAGCATTGAAGTAATAAAGTGGGCACAAAAGAACATATGAAGTACGAGTTCTACAACCCTAACAAACAGTAATTTCCCTAAAAATTCCATAATAAGATTACTAAAACTAAACCCAGATGATCTAATTACTCAAGCCCTTTCACCCCTGATTCTCCTGGCCAACTGAATGTCCTTGGGCATGATGGTGACCCTCTTGGCATGAATGGCGCAGAGATTGGTATCCTCAAAAAGACCCACCAAGTAAGCCTCGGCAGCCTCCTGGAGAGCAGCAACGGCACTGCTCTGGAACCTCAGATCTGTCTTGAAATCCTGAGCGATTTCCCTCACCAGCCTCTGAAAGGGAAGCTTCCTGATGAGCAGTTCAGTACTCTTCTGATACTTTCTGATTTCCCTCAGAGCAACTGTTCCAGGACGGAATCTGTGGGGCTTCTTCACTCCTCCGGTGGCCGGAGCTGATTTCCTGGCAGCCTTGGTGGCCAGCTGCTTCCTGGGTGCCTTTCCTCCGGTGGATTTGCGGGCTGTTTGCTTAGTTCTGGCCATGGCGATTGAGAAATTCTTCAAATCCTAGAGAATTGATGGTGTTGTGAAAATTGCAGAGAGGGAATTTGGAATGGGAAATTTCGATTTGGGGTGAATTTGAGAATGGGGAGTAAAAGGGTTTTTATAGGAGGAGCAGGTGAAAGGACGGGGAATGAAAATTTGAAATATTTGGGGGAAAAGTTTGGCGGGGCTCGTTATGGAGCGTTGGATTTCGTTTTCTAATGGACGGTCAAGATTCGGATTATGGGTGCTTGTGCGGATTATGATCCGCGGCTACTTTGCTTGGGCGGGGACTGATTTTGTTTTTAACCGCTTAAAGAAAAGAGCGGGGTTCTGCCTTGCCTTTTGGAAAATATACAGTGAAAACATTAGGCTATGTTTGGTTGGTTTTTTTGTTAGTTTTTTCAGAATTTTTAATTAATATATATTTTATTGCAGTATACTTTTTTACATTTTCGATGTACTTTTTTACATTTTCAATAAAAAAAACACATTCAAAAAACGATCCAAACATAACCTTAATTTTTGGTGTTTTTTTTCCTCCCAAATACAGTACAGTATTATGTCAGAAATAAAAAGGAATAATAAAAGTAAAAAAATTTCTTTAAGGGAGAAAAGGATTTATTAACTTTATTTATTATTAGTATTGTGCAATTTTATTTTTTTTTTACAAAATTTGACAAAAAGGGTTTTTTTTTTTTTTTTTCAAATGGGTTCTTGATGTTGCTCAAGGGGATAATCTTCATAATACGAAAAGTAAGTGAGAATAATTTCGTGTTAAGATTCAAGACTATGAAGGGGAAAAAAGAGGAAGAAGAAGAAGAAGAAGAGTAAAATATGTAACGTAAAGCACCTAACTAAAATAAAAATAAAAATTCATAGAGTACGTGACATAACGTTTGTGCATTAATCATGTCCAATAAATAGTATGCACATTTTTGTTCTTCGTCTCATTTTCCTTTAATTTGTTTTTAAATTTATTGCTCTACTGGAAAAGATTACATGGATGAAAGAGATGTCATGATGACTTGAGGAAGAAGAAATTTGAAAGGAAAGATGACATAGTAGAATGTCCAACCTACTTGTCTCCGTGACGGAAAGGGTTGGCCAAATCACGAAAAGAACAATAACATATTCCTCAAAAGAGACCAAAAAAAAAAAAAAGGGTCTCTATGACTAAACCACTCACCAAATCACCATGAGTGCAATGCCAAGATTCAAAGCTAATGTAACATTACATTCCAAAGCCTCACAAAAAAAAAAAAAAAAAAATCAGAGGAAAAAGGACACCCCAGAGCTAATAAAATGAAAAAAGAATGTGATTTCCCACAAACTCATATCAAAACCCTGTTCTATGTATAGATACAATCTAATAAAGTAAAAGATCTTCAAAACTTCAAGCCAATCCAAGCTACCAATATCATCTTTGCTTCGTACATAAAATATATATATATATATATATATATATATATATATATATATATATGATTCGGCACACGACCTAGCCTGAAATACAAAGTATACAAAAGTAGATGAGTCCGTCAGATATTCAACCATTTTTTTCATGCAAACCACAATCGTCTATAACCTAACAAGCTTCGTCCCCAAGGACATAACTTTTATTTAGAAGGTGGGAAGGGGTAGCATCAAGAAAGTGAAACAACAATTAGACACAGATCAACAGAAGTATATATATTTCTTTCACTAGGATAAATACTTCAGCATTCTGTAGCTAAATAATGTGATGAATGAATGCCCACAAAGTAGAAAAGCAGCACTAACCACGAGATAAGCGCCAACAACCTAGAAGCACTTCCTATGAACTATTGCGGGACCAGACTCGTCATACTCGGCCTTTGAAATCCACATCTGCATGATTCAACATCATAAACCAGTAGCATCAAGCATCACTTTGGTATTCTCGAATCAACAGCAATAGCATTACAACAGCATTAACCTAAATGGCCCACATAGACGTTTCCTACTTTTTTACACTCAGTTGCTCATGGTTATTACTTGCTCAAAAGTCAACTGAGTATAGTTCACTTTATTGCAGTGAGGGGAAGGAACTGCAAAAGAAAGCAAAGAAAAAGATTACCTGCTGGAAAGTACTCAAGGATGCTAAGATGGAGCCTCCAATCCAGACACTGTACTTCCTTTCAGGTGGCGCAACCACCTTGATCTTCATGCTGCTCGGTGCCAGAGCTGTAATTTCCTTGCTCATACGATCTGCAATACCTGGGAACATAGTTGAGCCACCACTGAGCACAATGTTTCCATAGAGATCCTTCCTGATATCGACGTCACACTTCATGATAGAATTATAGGTTGTTTCATGAATTCCAGCAGCTTCCATTCCAATGAAAGAGGGCTGGAACAGGACCTCAGGACAACGGAACCTCTCAGCACCTATGGTTATCACCTGTCCATCAGGTAGTTCGTAACTCTTTTCAATGGAAGAACTGTTCTTTGCCGTCTCCGATTCCTGTTCGAAATCTAAAGCAACGTAAGCAAGTTTCTCCTTTACATCGCGGACAATTTCCCGTTCTGCAGTTGTGGTGAACATGTAACCTCTTTCTGTGAGGATCTTCATGAGATAATCAGTGAGATCACGACCGGCAAGATCCAAACGCAAAATGGCATGTGGAAGTGCATATCCCTCATAAATTGGGACAGTGTGGCTGACACCATCACCAGAATCAAGAACAATACCTGCCAAGACATATTACTCAATTACTCATTCCATGAAGCAACTGACGACGTCAAGACTTTCAAATCTATAGGTTTGACGTTATACATACCAGTTGTACGACCACTAGCATAGAGAGAAAGGACAGCTTGAATAGCTACATACATGGCTGGCACATTGAATGTTTCAAACATAATCTGGGTCATTTTCTCTCTGTTTGCCTTGGGGTTCAAAGGTGCCTCTGTGAGAAGAACAGGATGTTCTTCTGGAGCAACACGGAGCTCATTATAGAAAGTATGATGCCAAATCTTCTCCATGTCATCCCAATTGCTGACTATACCATGCTCGATAGGGTATTTCAAGGTCAGGATACCTCTTTTAGACTGGGCTTCATCCCCAACATAGGCATCTTTCTGCCCCATACCAACCATCACACCAGTGTGCCTTGGGCGTCCGACAATACTAGGGAAAACTGCCCTCGGAGCATCATCACCAGCAAATCCAGCCTATGGTTTTATAAAAGTAGTGGTCAGTGGAATTAACAGGTAAAAATGGTGAAAATACTGATGAGCAAGAAAGGTAAATCTTAAGATAAAAATAACAGAACAGACATGCAGACCTTGACCATTCCAGTTCCATTGTCAACAACAAGGGGTTGAATATCCTCTCCCTCAGCCATCTTAGTTTAGCCTGTGCATAAGACAAACAAGTTAAAAGAAATCTCTAAAATACTTTTGTGAGGATCAAATGATGATAGTGAACATATAACATTGCTATGAACTACTTGCTGAGATGCTGCATGGTAATAATTATTTATTGTGAACTCCAATAAAGGCAAAAAGGTGATTCAGTTTCAGAAAGAAAATCAAAGCCAAGAAACAGCAGAGTACCACATAAGCCAAAAGTTTCCAAATCACAAGAGATGTACAATGCCATACACCAATCAGGCAGAAGATTGTAATTAAACACGCAGAACCTTGGTTCCCTTTTTCCATTTTACAAGTGTATATTCAAGTTATTCTGATAACTTTTTTCTACCAAATCTAACCGAACAGCCACTCAAATCGATTAGGACACTTGAAAGTTGAAACCTGAGTGGGAACCATAATATTACCTAACTCATATCAAATGTGAAAATTTTCCCCTTTTAATGAAAATAGATAAGACACACTCCAAACAGCCATCATTTCTTTACACTATAGCAGCCCTCCAAACAAAACAGGATGGAAAACATGCCAACAAATTAAGGAAACTCAAAATCCAAGAATCACAAAGCCCAGAAAGAGTTAAACTAGTAAAAGCTTTTGATGACAATCATTGAATAACAAGTACGACTGACTTGAAAAGCCAAAATTATGCTCCCAAAAAAAAAAAAAAAACCTATCTAGAAGTTCAAATTTCACATTAAAAAAAAAAAAATAGCACTATATGATAAGCTCAGGCACTAAGAAAACAAGATGCAAAACTCAGATAAGCACCTTCAAAGAAGAGCTCAACACCAGTAGGCAGAGCTCATCAAGTAATCCCAAAGTTCCAAAAACATAAAAAATTGAAAATTCAAAGTATATAATACGCATGCAGATCGGAATCGTAAACATCGTCAACAAATTCGATCACCAACACATCATCAATAAGGTGCAAGTTACAACGATCAAGGCGCAAAAATCATAGAACTATCAAAGCTAAAACGAACTAAATTAATCCAAGTTGAGAAAAAAATAAAAAAGCAAACAGACCGAAGATCAACCTTTCAAAATCACCATCACCAAATCAACAACAGCAGCAGCAAGAAGAACAAGAACTAGTCGTTTGAATCAATTAAAACAAAAAATTCTGATCAAACCCATACGAAATCACTAGCTTACCTTGACAAAAAGCAAAGTTCTTTGGTGCGTTCAAATTGGAATTAGGCAATATGTTGCTTTACTTTCTGCAAAGCGAGAGTTTCGGTGGGCTTTAATATATGGAGAGAAAGCAAGAACACAGTAAAAACAGTGGCAAGAATAATTCGCTTTTATTTCGGCCAAATGAAATTAAATATTCATTTTTTTAAAATGCAAATTAGACCTCTTTTTTTTTTCCTAATTTTCCATTAATGCCTAACCTGGCTGGCTTGACTTTTGAGTTTACACTAAATGGTCCCATTTCTTATTAACTAGAACCTTCTTTTCTTTAACTTATTGAGCTGAGTTTTCACTGTTTATATTCATTCATGTCTTAATATTGTAAAACGTTCGATCTAAATTTAATTGATGATACAGATAAAAGAATGAAACAAGATTTATAGCAAACAAGTTATTCCTCGACGTTGCTATACTAAAAAAATCATATCATGTTCCTGGCTACTGAAATCCTAGTGTGGAAATAAGTTGATCAATTGATTTATTATTGTATACACTATTAAGGCATTAAAAAAAATTCAATTGACAATTAAGTTAGATTATGACATGCAACATTATACAAAGTGATAATTTGTTGACTGAAGGTTGCGTATTTGAAACATTGAGGAGTATTTCTGTACAGTATTGGCAAACGTTCCAAAAGACTTGGAATAAAATATGATATCTTTTTCCTCAGAAAAAGAAGAACAGCTTCACGCCATCTTAAAAGAAAAGGAATGGGAAAGACAACAAAAAAAAAAAAAAAAAAGGCAAAAAAAAGGGAACATTATAATCCTGTTTAAATGTTCTGAAAAATAATATGGGGATGACTTGATTAGCACATGTATCACGTTGAATGTTGTATTCTTAGATTTGGACAAGCAATACAAGATTATGCCAAATATTTCATACACCAAAGAAATTATTCAGTGCAACTGCTTTACCACGTAAGATTGTGCAGCCAGACACAATAATAAGAGTAAAGTAATAATTTTGGGGGGAGAGAAATAATTTCTACGGGAGTTATACCACCAAAATAGAGGTGCTAGTACTTGCTGTATTAGAAACCAGGATACAACAGCTGTACCCAATAATTTTCCCATACACCAATAATCACAAATTTTGTTTTGAGGTTATCATCTTATATTTTGTTTTTAATGAAAAACTGTTGTACAAAATTTGTGATTTATGAAGAGAAGATTACCAATTGGGAAAGACTCTACACATATGGCTCTTGCTGTCCTCATTGATTGATGAAATGTTTGGATACTGTTCTATGCTGAAACAGTTTCTGGATTCTCTTTATTCAAAAGAATAAAAAGACACAAAAAAAAAAAAAAACCAATTGAGTTCTTATTAACTAGACAGGCAAGTTTATTTGAACTTTAATATTCTCTTTTTTGTTATAGTGAGACCCAAAATAATTTACTGCCGAAAGGGATGAGACTGAACCATGAAATGATTCCCTAATAATTTATTATTTTGATATTTAGTGAGTCAGAAAATAGGTGGAAAGTCGGCTGCTGATTCAACTAGAGCCAACCTTCGATCTCATTACACAAAAAGAAAGCAAGCAGCCAAGTTGGTCGTATCTGGAAAGTCGGTTACGTTATCAAATCAGCATGTGGATGGCTTCAAAAGTGTAGATTACAGTACACCAAATTGTGCTTCTTTTCCCTGTCAAGAATCAAAGAGGCTGGCTTGCTTTTTTATACTTTCAGCCGACCAAAAGAAATTCAGTACCTTCTGTTTCTCTATTCAATATGATCACTTCCCTAGTCTACGAACTTTTTACATCTCTTACAAACTACATATTCCTTCCATAATTACTCCAAAGAAACAATTATTGAACAGAGCAATCAAGAGGGCCATCTAATCTAAATTTTATTTCTTCATTTAGACAATCTGTACCATGCATGGAAACTCTGCAGAATAGCTTCAAGACGTGATCAAGTGGTTTTCAATAACCCACGGATATTTACAGTCACCATTGCAGACTTACCCCAGGAATTCGCATTCATTCTGTAATGCTCCTTGGCAATTTCAGTCCCTAGGCAAAAGCTCTGACTTCAGAATCATTACCGGTTCAGACTCCCGATAGTAGCAATCAAGTAGCAGTGAAGAACTTCCCCTCAAGAATCTTAAATCGTGTCGTGTGCAGTTGACATTCCCAGTAACCCCTGCATATAACACGCCAATGAGCTTAAGTACTGCAGTGAAAGGAGGCAGCCACTTGCAGCAAAATAAAATACCGATAGGCTGCTGCATGTGAAAACTAATTCTACGTCCTAATCTGGGGAATATCCTATTTGATATTACTACTTAAATGGTTGGTCCAAATTCAGATTGCAGTTTATAGAAGTAAACCAAACCAGGTCTTGAGAAAAATAAACAAGTGAGTTCATGAGATGTCACAAAAGATAGAAAGGGGAAGAATGGTGTGGAAGGAGACATTACAAAACAAGAGTGACTGAGGAAGACTGAAAATTGACAACAAACTTAAAGCATACCAAATAATATTACTAGCCAAACTTACAAGTAGGAAAAGTTTCGGATCCGAAGGTCTTCCAAATTGATTAGTTAGCCTCCAAGAACCTAACCCACCCATAATCTATGGGGTATGGGCATAATAACCGCAGTTGTCTGGGAGAACTTGCTTCCTAGAGTAGTTGTATGTGAGCTTCATAGCAAGAATGTAGAGCATATAACAATCAATTTGATAGCTGCCAAACGTTAGACCCTGACAAGAAGAATCAGACATCAAACCTGTTTCCAGTTAAAGTAACAGACCCAACTCATAAATACTCGCATATGATTTTCCAAACAATTTTTTTGATTTGGGCAGCCGATGCATTCATAGATTGAATAGTAACCATATCTTAGTGAATATGCGAAGTTACTGATGCCTGATAAACTGTCTAGTTGGCATTGACAACACAGTTCTTATGACATAGTCGTATAGACAGAGATAACACTCCACATCTGTACTCAACAAATTCAAATATCATCAATCAGGACGCCCCCCCTGTGAAATGCAGGATAACATCAAACCCACAGTAATAATTCATAAAATGCAGAACAAGTTCGATATCCTATCAGTAGCGGAGACAGATAGAAAGAAAAATCAGATAGTACATAACAAGCATAAAACACTAGTCCTTATTTTTATGAGCATAATTGAAAAAGATGTTTTTCGAAGTATTAAGAGAAAGACCCTACTAGCGGCACGTGTTAAGGACTTTAAATAAGATTAACCCAACATCAGAAGAACTGACCTGCAAAGTCCCCTGGCACTTTTGGATTGCATTCCCCGTGGAACAGGAACTATTACATGTAAACTCTCGATCAACTTATCTAAATTTTGCAGTTTGTCCATCTCTCCTATCTGAAGTAAACACCTCTCCAGCATCCTATACGTTGGCTCACTCATATGCCTTCCTCTCTCCAGCATTTGCTTAGAACAATCGAAAGCTTCCTCAAATTTTCCTCTGGAGCATAATCCAGTCACAAGAAGGTCCAGAGCATGACTGTGTGGACAGTGTCCTTTCTCCAGCAGATAATTCCACAAATCCAACCCCAAATCCAGTCCGTTGTTCTCACAGAAGAACTTGGTCAGCATAACAACGGTTCGAGTCATGGGCACAAAATTTCTACTTATCATCTTGTGGTATAGAGCAAATACAAGATCAAGACGCTTTGCTTTCATTAATCCTAAATAGATGGTGTGATAAGTTACATTGTCAACTACAAGTTTCTCCTCCATTTCATTCAATAAAGCAGTAGCAGAACTCAGATCTCTGCATTTGATAAACGCACTCAAGAGGGCATTATAAGCTCCAATGTCAGCTTCCAAATTTCTCCTCGAAATTTCATCAAAAAAATGTTTTGCCTTTCCCACATTTCGAGCAACTCCAGCACCATGGATCAAAGTTGTGATTGTCTGCAATGTGGGCACTACATTACTCAGCTCCATTTCTTCGAATATCCTCATAGCCTCACCAAAACAACGTCTCTTACAATAAGCATCAATTCTGATATTATAAGTAACAACATCAGGTTTAAAACCTCTTCGAATCATCTCATGATAGAACAAATCAACTGAAGTTACATCTCCCGATTCTTTGAATCCCAAGAGCAAAATATTCATAGTTTTGGTATTTGGAGAAAATTGTGTGTACAGCTTGTTGAAAACTGATCGAGCTTCTTTCATCTGCCTTTGTGTAGAAAAAGCTCGAAGAAGGATGTTAAATTCTTCAGTGCCAAATACCTTTCCCACGAATATATCCTTCTCCATTCTCTCAAAAGCACAAAGAGTTTCTTCATATGACCGGAATCTGGCAATTCTAGCTATCATAATGCTAATTGACTTAAGGGTAAGAAGGGATGGGTTTTGATCCCTGATAGTTTCCAGAAGTTCCCAAGCTTTGTCAAAGTAGCGCATTCGAGTAAGTATGTGGAGTGTCTTCTCAAAAGCATCTGAACTTGGAACATACTCCGGTTGACGAAGGCAGAACATGAAAAACTCATACGCTTTAATGCCATTTGCATGAGCACCAAACAGGTGACCAAGTACCTTTTCAACGAGTTCAGGAGATAGACTGATTGGATGGATTTCTTGGAGGAGTCTCGAGTGTGCTTGCTGATCAGTAAATGGATAATCATTTATAACTCTTGCAATTCTTGATACTATGGCTTCTGATCCTGAGGAATAATGAAGACAGCTAATTGATCTAAGGCCGCATTTTAGGTTCTGATGAATGCGAGACGGCCGCGATTTAATCAGAACAGACATGTTCTAATCTTTTACAGTAAGAAACAGAAACTGATCCCGGCAACACAACCAGAGTTTTTTGGTCAAGCAGCCCTGTTCAATTAAACGTATAGCAACTTCAATAATCTTGTAGATAAAAATTCCAAATCTTTAAATCATTCACATCCAAATTCCTACTCACCGTGCACAATATTACACTAATGTACTCGGGAGAAAAGAGTTGGTAGAAATAACAAGGCTTCACCTTAAAAAGGGGTTTTTTCCCCCCATATTCAAGTCCATTGCATCCAGAATTACGCTCAGGATTACTAATTAAGTGGATAAGCTCAAGTGGAAGAGCAAAACATAACCTCAAATAGGTAGCCAAAAATAATTTGAATGGACTTGTAAATATGAATTTGAAATAAGCAAGAATCTTTACAAATTACAATGATAATGATACGAAAAATTATTACAGAGCATATAGAAGGTATCAAATTAAAGGTTCTGTTTTAAATTAATTCGACCGCAGCAAGAACACAGGCTGAAGATCAAAATTATTGAATGGCAAAAGGTTTAATATCAAATGAAGCCAGAGAATATCAGTACCAACCAGAAAATAGGCTTTCAATTCTCCGATGCTCAGAAGGAGGAGGCGGCAGCAAAGTAAAGCCGCACAGAAAGCAGAAACTCAGTCGCCGGAATTGGGAGGAAAACGGCGGACTTGCGGTGGAGCTCAATAACATGGAGGGAGTTGAGTGGAAACTGTAATTAGCAAAGGACAAATTTCATTTTGACCACAAAACTTTGGCATATTTCAAAATTATGTCATCAAGAGAAATTAATTGTAGATTTTTACCACCATGAAAAAATGTAGGAGTATTCAACTCTTAAGAGTAAAGGCGTGATTCTTCTTCTGCTAACAAAAATTCACCATCACTGAAGGCGTGAAATCGTTTAACCAAGGCGCACTTTGGCAAAACACACGTCTTAAAATTTTATTTTTTATTTTTTATATATATTTTTTGAAAGTGTGTCTTAAAAAGTTTAATAGAACGAGAAAAGATAATTTGATAAATATTTAAACTTGATGAATAGAAGAAACTTGGCTTCATGGCTAACCAAAAATCAATATGTAGCACTACTTCATTAAAAGTGACTTGTGATCTTCTAGCTAGTGATGAGAGAATAATATATCTTAGGTCTCCGAGGCAACAAAAAATAAAAAATAAAAAATTCTAAATGCAATGCATTAGTCATCTCGGAAGGCATCATGAAGCTGTGTTTTCAAAACCTCATAGGCCTGGGCGGTCTAATCGGTTAGTCCCAGGAACCGGAAGCCTTATCGGTCCGGTTCCCATAAAAACTAGATTCTATATAATCTGGTCAAACTCGGTTAAATTTGGGTAAAACCGTGGTTTGATCGAAAACCGGTATCTGTTGAACCGATTTTTGCATATATTTTTTAAAAATTAATTTTTAAATATTTTTTTAATATTATTTTAACCGGTTTTCACTAATTTCGAAGAACAAATTAACCCGTTAACCCGATAAACCCACCAACCCGGTCACGCTAACGGTTCACCTTCCGATCTGGTTTTGAAAACATAGTCATGAAAAGAAGGCATATCGACATTTGACAACCATATTAATCCCATAAAATTTGTTCATTTAATCTGATAACAATCACTCGTAAATTTGTGAATTTATTAAATGTTATTAAAAAATTAATCTTACCAAGTTATTGAAGATTAAGTAACCATCAAATTAATTAATCTATTAGGACGGTAATAGTAAGAACAGTACTGTTAAAAAGATTAGTAACAATTAATTTTTCCACAAATAGTTGATAAGTTATTCATAATTGTTACATGCGCCATTTGTATTGAAATCCAACTCTCTTAGTATGCATATATCATATGATTATTGCGCGTATGACAACCAGGACAAAGAAGTTCCACTTCTGCGAATGTATCATTTGATTGGGAGTTGTAAAGATTTCACATTAAACTCCGTCAGGATACCGACTTCAAAACTTTCCTCGTTTGTTGTTGCATTTCTGTTAACTCGATTGGGAGTTGTAATGCTTCCAGTGTCTCTGGTCGCAACTCTACCAAAAAGGTTAACTTGTGTCGGCAAAAATGCTCGTGTCTTTTATGATCAAGCTCATTCATGACTTTCTCTCGCTTCCCGAGGGAAACTCCCACACTTGGCCTCCTGCATTCATGACAATATATAGTCCTTGCAAAATTTCCTGACTTAATTTCATCCAGGTCTCTTACTATTTAATGGATTTCCGTGCGAGAAAACGCTCGCGGGCTGCTTGAATCTTGTTATCCCGGTCATCTGGAAGCTGAGCGAGACTAATACTTGTAGTTGTTGAGCTGCTGTTTTCTACTTCAGAAACCTTCTCAGGCTCAGAAAATCGACCACCGCTGAAAATGAAAAGAGAGTCAGCCAGGTGAAATGATCCGTTACGGCTCAAATGGGAGAAGCGCGAAAAATTACACGTAAAACTCCACTTATTACCTGAGTTTCTTGATATTCAGGTTTTCTAGCTTTCTTATTATGGGTAACACCCATGACATCTCGACCGCACATACATTGCGCATGTAAGGACGTGAAGTGGCAATGAGTTCGTGATATACTACATAATTAGGAAGCATTCCATCATCATCCGTCTTCAGCACAGAGGATGGGTGCACCTGGAGATTAGAAAGCCATTGGTTGCAAGGATAAGTTAAAAACATACGCAGGAAGGTTTGAAATCTCAAATAGAGCAACAACTAAAACACTTTATCAATGACCACAATAACTGAAAATGTCATCAACTATATACCTATATGCTAGAGTAAACATTATTCACTATCCACCAAGCATTTAAACATTGCCTAGAGATACCAAGGCTTCATCTTGTCATTTAAGCAACACGTTGACTGACTAGAACCAAAAATCGAATTACATATAAGGGTAACCATTACAGGAGATCATTACCTGAACAAGTTGAGACTTGAAACCAAGAGTTTGGTAGCCATTATGACGAAGCATTCTCTCAGCAAGTTGATTTGCATAGCCAACACATAAAGACTTCCTCAAATTCTTATACTCTTGCTCATTAGTTCTCCACCTTTTCATTGTTTGAACCTCCAATGACTCTGAATAATTACACACAATGACGAAAAACCCAAGTTAGGAACGTCAATCTTAAATAATAACATAGTGACAAGTTGAAGCCACATAAAGAATAACGATAGCTTGTATAAATGGTCTACAAATAAAGGATAATAGCAAATAAAAACTCCATCAATGATGGAAACATCAAAGGCAATTTTCAGCTGTCAACATAACACAACTGAGGATTTTCTATGATAGTTTTAAACAAAAGCCATTGTCATTAATGAATCCAGAATCCAAACCTTTAGCACTTCTCAGCATAATCTGAGATAACTGCTTTCTAACATCTTTAACAAACAGCATCCCTCGCACCTGAAACCAGAAATTTTATCTATAAGTTTTGCAACATCAACATAAGAATGTAATAAGGATATCACAAGTACAAACTGGTGTTTCATTTTTTAAGCAACAACCAAACAAATTCTTGAAAACCCAGAAGGATTATGGTTTACTTTCTTCAGTTCTTTCTTCTTTCTAAGAAGAATCTTCTTTAAACTAAAGCGATGACAAGAAGGTTTCAAAAGGTATTGCTGGATAATATTTCTCATTCGAGTACATATGAAAAACACGGAATACGTAGCACATAATTGAATTTAACAAGCATACATCCTTAACATGATATTTCAAGATTAAGAAACAGAAAAGTGCCTGCAAGTTGTTATCTTTACACCAGTCTAGGTTGTATTCCGTCTGATGCCATTGCTCGTATATTTGAAGCAATTGAATATGATCGCCCAAACCATAACCATCAGGAAGGTTTGAAGGTGTGTGTTTCCTCTTCTTGTCAAAACTTTTGCTGCAAGATAAAGATAAGTCTATGATTAAGAAATAAAATTGAAAAAATTATATGTGGGCTTTGTTTTAAAGAATCTGATATTTATAGACCCCGTCTCAAGCTTTTCAAAAGCCGGTAACTTTATCCAGTTAGGTCTATGAGATAGGGGCTACCATTCTTCATTAGTTTTACCCGTTTGACCCATTCACGAAGCTAACAAAGAAGGAGAGAAAGAAAGAACCTTAATACCACAAGAATCAACAAGAGAGAAATGATTTCTATCCTTATAGGAAATTTCCCATACTGAAGATACTCTACACTTTACACAGTTACATAAACATTTTGGTATCTAACAAAACTGAGATACTTGATACAACAATGTAAACAAGGAAGAAAAAGCAAGATACCTTGGGCCAGGAAGCAATGATGTTTCTGCAGATAACATTGCAACAACTGTCAAAGCTTGAGACAAACAGCCACAATCATTGGCCTCCAACAAGGTCCTCGAAAGAGAGGGCTCCAAAGGAAGCTCTGCATTAACAATAAATATTCAATTGAAGCTATGCGGGATTGAGACCATTTCTCTGCCTAAACTTCAAAACTCAAATTCGCCACCTTAAACAGTACAAGATTGAAAATAACCACTAGAATACTTCCACAAAGAATCTACAGCTTGTCAACTCCAAACATAAAGCTTTTATGTTTCTGGGAAATCGCACTCCCTTTTCTTTCATCTTTCATATCGTAAATGGTCACTGTTTATTGTTGTGTAAGTAAATAGGAGAAGACCTAGGTCATAAAACTAACCAGCCATTGTTCGCCCAAGACTCGTAATTGAACCGTGTTCATCAATAGCATCAATGAGAAAGAGTTGCTTCAGAGCATCTTCTAAAGACTCAGCTGCAGTGATAGAACTAAGGTTAGCCAAGAAAGATGGATAATTTTTTATGAAAACAATTATAAAAAATAAAAATAGAAGAGAATGAACAGCACATGAGGGAGGGTCAAGGAAATCAAACTTCAGGATATCAATATCAGGCAGGTCCAGCGACTTCAAATAAAGAACACTTCCCGCAAGAGATGATCTTTGTATTTCAGGAATTGTAACATCCAAGAAATCATCCTGATAAACAATTGAAGGATATAAGCGAAAGCATTTTCCTGGGCGTGTTCTTCCAGCTCGTCCAGCACGTTGATTGGCCTGCACCCTACACTCACAGAAAAGGCCAAATTATCACCTTTGCATGTATATTGATAAAATGCTAAAGTGGGAAAGAAAAAGAAGAGGATAGAGCAAAATTGTTCAGTTCATACTTGCTAATCTGCACAACATCAAGAGAATACATGCCCGTTGAGGGGTTGTAATGCCGCTGCTTCACATAGCCAGAATCAATGACATACCTGACATTTGAAGTAAAAATTAGCAAGAGAGTGCAACAACTTAAAATTACCACACATCAACAGGCATCATTCACATTTGCATGTAAATCAGTACATCAAATAACTTACCGAAAATAAAGTACAGTAGTAGAGAAAGAAGCAGGAGAAATTAGAGCTCATATGATAGCTGAACCAAATTACTAAGTAATTAATTTCTAAAAATATTATCTCTTGCATATGATACATGCAATCCCACATATATAAATCAGAACCTTGGCTAGTGAAAATATTCTCAACTATTGGGTCCATGCAGATTTATGCAGATTTGCTATCACTGATAGTAGGCAGAGGGGAATAAAAGCTGAAAGTGACACTATTGTTAAAGCAGGTACTAACATTCAAACAACTCCTGGTTTCTAATCTCTTTATAGATAGAAAATTTACAATACTAAAATGATTGATAAAAGAGGGGTGGGATAAGCAGCAATAGGTTAACATTTACAATTGAAGTAGTCTAAAGAACAGTAGAGCAACACATGATGGCCAACTACGAGCAGAGTGATGCTAGCTACACTCTTCCTCTGGCCTGTTTGGGAAATATACAGATGGGGGAGTCTTGAAATATAAAAAATTCCCCATCAGGAAGACTAAATACTGCTAAAGAAAAACCTTTACATAACTTCCTAACAAGAGACACATAAATCATCCAGCTCCACATTATCTATCAAATATAGGAAAAATATTCAACAATAAGGACCTAAAACCAAACTAAAATAGATGAACATGTTTTAATATGTTATAGGCTTACACAACACCATCAACAGTCAATGAAGTTTCTGCAATGTTTGTGGCCACTATAAATCTTCGACAATTTGGCGGCGGACGACTAAAGACACGAACCTGTAAAAAAAGAAGGAAAAATCAGGACAAAAGCTTTAGATTTAATGCAACAAAAAATAGAAGTCCAAATTTCAGTAACCAATAACTACAGATTCCGAATCACAGTAACCAATAACTACAGATTCGCTCACACATGAAAACAAAGGGGAAGTTTTGAGTTTAGAAAAGCAAAAAAGAATTTTAGTAATCTCTACAACATATTAACTCTCCTGATTAGCGGGCTAAAGCAGCGAAAATGATGAAAATAAAAATGGATTTGAATAGCTTTCCTGCAATTCAGGTGGCAAAGACCCGTGAAGTGGAAGAACGATTGCATCCATGCAAGATCCTTCCTCAAGGCCTTGAATCCTCTCCTCCAACTTTCTCACAAGCTTCTCAATATCATCCTACAGGATTCATTTCACTTTATAAACAGGGAACAACAACAAAAAGGCACAGACAGAAACGAAAATAAACAGAAGTATACTGCGGTTGAATGATAGACCTTAGACAGAAAAGATAGCAACCTGTCCAGTCATGAATATCAGGATATCACCTTCGGGTTCCTTGACATGTATATCTGCCAATGAAAGCTAATTAGAAAGACATAGCAATTTTAAATGGCAAATTTTTGAAGACAGTGTTCCATGTAACACAAGACATAAAAGCCAAGCATTGAAGCACTAAAAATCCAGTATAGTGAATGGAAAAATAAACAGAGTAGTACCAATAGCCATTTTGAGACAAGCATCCAAGTAACTTTTGGGCGGCTCTGAGCTATGCAGTATTTCCACAGGAAATAACTTCCCAGGGACATTTAGGATGGGGCAACTGGAGAAGAATCTTGAGACTTTATCACCATCAAGAGTGGCAGATGTGATTAGGACCTTTAAGTTCGATGCCCGTAACCTGATCAAACGTTTCATCAAACCCAACAATATATCCCTGAAGAAAGATAGTTTGCAAAATTTGTCACAGATGGGTAAAGCAAGAATAGAGTGTTTGAGAGTAAAAATTGTCACAGATAAGTACAGCAAAAATAGATGGTTTGAGAGTAAACATTGTCACTGATGGGTAAAGCAAGAATAGAAAATTAAGACATAAGTGTGGCTGATAAAGAACTCAAAGGTACATTTCAAACTAAAAAGATCTAATGATTGGATCCCATTAAGTGGTCACAACAGAGAAGCAGATAGCTTACGTATTCAAGCTCCTCTCATGAGCTTCATCCAATATTATCACGGAGTATTGACTAAGCTCTGGATTGGACAAGCTTTCACGAAGGAGAACTCCATCAGTAAGGTATCTGCAAATATACAAATATATGATTCTTCCGGTTTATAACCTGTTAGTCACAAAAGATAATACTTTTACAGGCAAGGCATATTACTTGATACGCGTGCTTGCTGAAGTTCTGTCTTCAAAGCGTATTGCATAACCCACTTCCTCGCCAAGTTGAACACCAAGCTCCTGGGCAACACGGCTGGTAAGACAACATGCAGACAATACAGGGAGAGGATAAGAAGGTATAAAAGGAAAAGATCAGAGAAAGAAAAAATGGGTCACGCAGAAAAGACAGGATCCTTCGATATATATGCAATGCACAAGGAGGTTAGTTCTAATCCAATGGCTTCGACAGTCATAAGAATCAAAAGCCTTCTACATGAATCACTACTGTGTATATGTTATGACCTGGCCAAAATTTAAGTTCCGATGGTGATGAAAGACGTATATTTTTCTTCCACATGGGAAAGACAACCATCACTCTGCCAAAATAAAGTTGAATTTATCCTCTACAACTTGGTTAGCGCAGGTTTCCAATTTCAATAAGATTTGGCTTTTGGTATTTCTGACTGAGGATGAATAGACACTTGCGACCAATTTCAAGATTATAAAAATAGCATAGATTTTGCACCATCATCTCTAGTTAAACAATCTAACTATATATATTTTGAAAGTTAGGACGCCTACAGATTAGTTATAAACTACCGGATCAAAACCATATCCTGAGAAGAGAGATTGGACCCTAGTAGGTTAGCCTCATAGATATCAGGATGACTTTGGTGCTCTCTCTGGCCCATAATTATAGACTTGTTGCACAAAAAGAGAACAACATACAGGACAATAATTTTGGGAGAGTGTTTCTCCAAACTAAAATGTTCTCTGCAAGGCAATGTCTCTTCCTTAAATTGCCAGACAACTTCGTCAGAAGTCATCCTGCCTCACATCTGCACACAATGATCTGACTAGGCATCTTTTTCCCAAGTGTTTGTATCCAATAGAGTGTGTCCAAGGGGCTAGGAGAGGCTTAGCTACAACTGAAGGATGAGATTCTAGAATGAATCACAGTTCAACACCATAGTCATGGTCATGGTCATAGTCAAATTCATGCAAGTTTCTGCATTTGAAAGGCACAAAAGGAAAGAATAGAGAATCGTTGCTCTCAGGTTCTTTTGAAGTACGGGCTATTATTTAAACTAAAGAGTGAACTTTAACAGAGACCCAGACTTTCTATTGCCATAAGTGACAAAATGACAGCAACAAATCACTCCAACTAAACAATGTAAAAGTTTTGAACTCACGATAGAATAATACTCCCTCGTCTCACAAAAATATGAATTTGTAAATCGAAATAAAAAAAATACATGCTGCCTGGCGTCTTATCTCTACATGATCAATATAAATCTAATTAGAATTATAGTAATGCAGCTCATTGGAATACATTAAACAAAAAAAGGAAGAAAAACGCTGAGATTTTAAATATATCAAATAAAATTAGTAGGGTTCTAAGCAAACATATATTGGGACTGAATTGGGATAAGAATCGAACAACCGAAAAGAAGATTAAAGAACTGACCGAGCGACAGAGACTGCAGCAACACGGCGGGGCTGAGTAACGGCAATGATTCCAGATTTAGAGTAACCTTTCCGGTGAAGGATTTGAGAAAGTTGAGTACTTTTACCGGAGCCGGTTTCACCGATTATAACAGCAACCGGATTCTTATCGACCAGTTCCACTATTTTCTCCTCGAATTGAAGTATCGGGAGGTGCGACATTTTCTCCGAGTCCAATATCATCTTCTTCCGGTGATTTGCATTTGAGGAACAAGGTTTTTGCTCGGAGGAGGAGGAAGAAGAAGAAGAGGGATAGGAATTTTTAAAAAGCTGCGGTTTTTATTTAGCCGTGAATAGTCAAAAGCGGGAAATCGGTTGTTTCTACTCAGCCTAAAGAATCACGCCTTTGGAGTGCTTGTTTTACAAAGGCGCAAGTTTAAGCTCACAAATTACAGGCGCCTTTCCATCCTGGATAGGAAATATTTTACCAAAATACACAATTGTTAACCAATGGTAATAAAATAGGAAAATGATATATATAGTGAATAAAAATAGTGCCAAAACATAGTGACTGTTGTGGATTAATCGTGGCTCTTAGTTTTTTGCCACTTTCCCGTTGAAGTTTTATTCTTTCCCGAAAATTATATTTTTATCCTTAATTAATAATTAGACATGTTTAGTAAGTGTGTGGTGTTTTTGTCTTTTCATTTGTCACTATCCAAATTCACTATAATTTTTCACTATCTGATTCATTGCTTAATAAAATAATAAGGGACAAAACTTGAGGAAAAGAAATATCATTAAAATAGTCCATAATAGTTGGCCAAAAAAAAAAAAAAGAGAAATGGCACGACCAATATTTAGTTTTCTAAAACATGTTTTCTTTACTTTATTTTTTTTTTCTGGGTACAAAATTGTTGATCCTCCTTAATGGCCAGAAACTTTAACGCAAAATGTTTGTACAGTGTTACTCCTCGACTAATGTAACCTGGTGAATTAATCTACGCAACCATTTTTATTATTATGAATTCAAATTTTATCCTTTGCTGAAAATTATCAGTTGGATGCCTTGATGCCGTTTATATATTGATAGTAGTAGTAGTAGTTGAAAACAATCATCAAAAACTCAAAACAAAAGTATCAAATAATCGTCAAAAACTCAAAATAAAAGTATTAAAAAGTTTTTAATAAATTATATTTATTGCGTACACACCAAATTATGCTTTCCATTTCCTCGTGGTTGGTAGACCGTCAATATGAACTACACTCATCTTAAAAATTCATAATCGATCGAAGTTAAGAATTTTAAGCTTTAATTTGGTCACTTGGCAATTGGCAAGATCGATGCCAATTGGCAATGTTTAATCATTAGTATTCCCGATTAGCAGGAGCATTTACCTCAGGTTGAGGGGTCTCCGATTTTTTAACATGTTTTGTGGTTGAAGGATGACCAAAAGCAGTCGAAAACAATGTGCTAAAAAACGAAAATTAAATGGAGAATCAAACTCGACATATACGGTCTCTTGCTTGCTTAGCGCGTACTATAAGCAAGGTTTAAAAAGAAAAGGACTAGATGTTGAGAAGAAACAACCCATCTGAATGCATTGCAAGCTAATGTTGTGAATATTTTTAGGATTTTTTTTTTCAATTGAAAAAAAATACGATATGAATTTTACAACAAATCAAAATATTTTATAATAAGCACGGGAAGGAATATTAGTTAATGAGCTCCCCTTGTTAGATTATTTATTAAGGTTTTATTTTTTCATCCTTTTGTGCTATCTTACGTGACGTCATTGGTATACAATAGATAATGTCCTTGTAAGCTAGATGGTATAGACTCAACGTGATCAGTAGAAAGCATATTGCTATAATGTTTTGAATGATGTTCCTTTTAGGCCAGTATCAGCAACTAACCAAACTCTTCGATGATTTGGCAATAGTTTTGGTTCTCTTTATAATGGCTTGACCTTCTCGCGACCAGTTCCTAATGGTTTTGGTTCGTTTGATGCCGGAAAATCCCATTGAATTTGTCTAAGTCGATGACGAATTCGATGCGAGAAAAATTGAGTTTTCTTCTGCTTTTGAATCAAAAAATTCAGTTGACTCTTACATAACTCCATATTTGTGGGAATCTAATAAATAAGTTGATGGGGTTGAGGGATTATCAAAAGATAAAGTGGATAAATAAAGAGTAAAATTTAAAAATAATATTTATTGAAATTAATCCTAAAAAAGAAACTGAAAATAATACTTTTTATCAATATTTTTATTTTATTTTTGAAATTTAAAAATTCAAAATTCAATATTTGAAAAGACCAAAATACCCCTTAGTCAACACACGTGTCTTTCACGTGAAAAAATGGATTCACCGTTACTTTTTGGATGAAACCGTAACAGAAAATCGACAGGTGACACTCTTTAACTTTCTAGTGGCTTGTAGTCTGTTTTTAAACATTTAGTATCAAACGAAGACAATGAGCAACTTTTTAGTACTTTTGCTGTCATTTTGGTCATTGTCATTGATTGTCTAATTCAATTGATGTTAAGTCTATGCATGATACTTTTCTGTCTTGCCACTCTACTTTTTTTTTTAAAAAAAAAATCCAAAATTACAAAAATAAAAAGGTTCAAGTTAACTATCAGGTTTTTTTTCTCTCTCCTCGTAACTGCGGGTGATTTCACGTTTAGTGCGTGCAAATCGAATCTTCATTTCTAGCGTGCAATTCAGCGCGCCAATGATGGTAGGAAAAACGAAGAAGAGGGGAAAAGCTACGGCAGAAGAGTTGATGCAACCTGAAGAGGAAAGAACAAGCCTTGCAGTAAGAATCATAGCTAATTCACCAGTTAAGGTCAATACTTCAAAACCTAATTTGAATGGTTCTCCAACAGAAAATTTGGAGAAATTGTGTAACCAGAAAGTGATGCAAATAGGAGAAACATCGAATTGTAAAGAAGAGTCCAGAACTGAATTGAAGAATGAATTTAGGGTTTCTGCAAACTCAGGGAATTGGGGCAAAAACGATACTGTGAAATTGTTGGGAATGGATAGGAAGCTTGAATACATAGAGCCAAACCTAATTTAGAATAAGCTTGTAGCAAAGATTAAGAAAGATGAATTTCAGGAAGCCATTGACTATTGGAGATCTTTTATAATCTGCTACGTGCTTGGTGCAAGTCCCCCTTTCTTTGTTATCAATGGTTATCTTAGAAGGATTTGGAGGAAATTAGGATTGGATAAAATACTGCTGCTGGATAATGGAGTATTTATTGTTCGATTTAACTCCGTCTTTGCCAAAGAGGAAGTCCTCTAGAACAATGTACTCCATTTTGATAATAGGCCCCCTGATTGTAAAAGAGTGGGACGCTGAAAAAGGTTTCAAACTTGAAGATAGCAAATCAGTTCTGGTTTGGGTGCAACTACCAAAATTGTAATTAAGGTACTGGACAACCAAGACTTTGAGCAGAATTGTGAGTCATTGGGGAAACCACTGGAAATGGATGAGATAACATCCATGAGAAATAGAACTAGGTACGCAAGGGTATTGGTAGAAATGAAGATTGAAGAGAAAATGCCTTATATGGTTCGAAGATGAGCATGGTATCTTATAGGAGCAAAAAGTAAAGTACGAATGGATGCTGGTAAAATGCTCTAATTGCAAAGGCTACGGGGGTGAAACAATATCCTACAGGAAACCAGTAGTTAAAGCCTGGCATGAAAAGCAAGATCAAACTAAGAGTCCTCAAGGAATTGAAGGAAAACAGCTAGTAAATGAAAAGAAAGAATCAGGAATCAAATCAGAGGAATCGGCACCAGTTACAAATATTGAACCTCATGCTCAGCAAGGAGAAGATGAAAACATGATGCAAGAAAGCAATGCAAATAATCAAGTAAAGGTTGGCACTCAAATCTTGATCCGAAGGGAGAACAAGCTCACAGATGTCAGAAACACCACAAGGCAAAAGGTAGCAGGAAAGACCAATAGTAATAATACTAGATCCCCCATCACAGGGATTAGTAATCATGAATTTACTTAGTTGGAATGTTAGGGGACTTAATAGTCCCTTGAAACATAGAGAGATCGAAAGATTTCTCTCTATAAATAAGATTGGACTGGCAGGATTACTAGAGACGAAACTCAGTGCTAAGAAGGTAGAGGAACTAATGAAGAAATGGAGCCATTATGAATATATTAGCAACCATCAACGGGAGGAGAAAGGCAGGATGTTACTAATATGGAGTAAAGGACTATATGTAATCAGCAATATTTAAGTGCGTAAACAATGGATACAATGTGCTGTCAAGATGGCAGGAACCAATAAAGAGTTTGATCTCATTCTTGTGTATGCAGAATGTCAACCTCAAGGAAGAATTGGTTTATGGCAAGACCTAATGACTCAGTTTCGACCAACAGCAAGGCCCTGGCTAATATTAGGTGATTTTAACTATATACTATCACCTGATAAAAAGCTGGGAAGAGTGAATAGCTGCAGCATGGGTTCAGATATATTCAGAACAGTAGTAGACAATTGTGAGTGGACAGAGATAAAAACTCAGGGAAGTAAATATACATGGTCGAACAAGCAAATGGGCAGTAACAGAGTGACATCAAAGCTGGACAGAGCTTTTGTTAACGAAGACTAGTTAGAAGCTTTCCCCGACGCTACTGTAACAATATTGACCCCAGGCCTCTCAGATCATAGCCTGATTCTCATCAGATGGGATACAACTGAAGCAACCAGGAAAGCATCGTTTAAGTTCTTCAATATGTGGTCACTTCATCCCAGGTTTAAAGAAGATGTAGCAAATTCATGGAGAGCTGAAGTTAAGGGAACTCATCAATACAGGATGGTTCAAAAACTTCATAGATTAAAAAGGGTTTTGAAAGATCTCAATAGAGAGCATTTAGTGATATAGAGTGCAGGGTACAACAACATAAAGAACAGCTAAAAAGCATTCAGAATAAGCTGGGATAAGCACCTCAGAATACAGAACTTCAGTCAATGGAAAAGGTTAAAACACAGGAATACTTAGAAGCATTTAAGCACTGATGAGCTATTGGAGGCAAAGAATCAAGAAAAAATGGGCACAAGAAGGAGACCTTAACACCAGTTACTTTCATGCCAGTCTATGATAAAAGAGATCACAAAATAGAATCTTATCGTATATCAACCAGCAAGGAGAACTTGATGAGCAATGGGAGAAGGTACAAAAACATTTCTTGGATTATTTTAAAATTGTATTAGGCACTTCTGTTAGTAGAACATCAGCTTTTAGTGAGGTTTTTGAATCAGTGATTAAACTGTCCGTAGATCGGCAGACTCTCCTGATTCAAAGCTTCACTAAAAATGATGTTAAACAGGCAATTTTTAGTATAGATAGCCAGAAAAGTGTTGGACCTGATGGGTATGGTAGCGGGTTTTTTAAAAGCTCTGGGAAATAGTTGGGGAGGATGTATGTAATGCTGTTCTAGAGTTCTTTAGAGAAGGGAAAATACTAAAACAGCTGAATTCTACGCTAATAACCCTAATCTCAAAAAACTCCAGCCCCAAAGATGCAACGGAATATCGACCAATAGCGTGTTGTAACACGGTGTATAAGGGAATCTCAAAAATGTTAAGCAATAGATTGGGGGAAGTCTCACCAGACTTAGTTTCCTTGAATCAGGGGGATTTCGTTAAGGGAAGGAGTATTTTGCATAACATTTTACTTACACAAGAGCTGATAAGGTTATAAAAAAGAAGTCGGTAAAACCTAGCTTCTTATTAAAAGTAGACCTCAAAAAGGCCTTTGATTCCATTCACTGGAATTTTATAGAAGAAATGTTGCTGAGCTATCATTTTCCTCCTGTATTTACTAAATGGGTGATGGAATGCATACCCTCTTATAGATACTCTTTAAACATGAATGGCAATAGCACTGGATTCTTCCAGGGGCATAGGGGTTTATGGCAGGAGGACCCACTGTCTCCATTGCTGTTTGTATTAGTCATAGAATATTTGAGTAGATCATTCCAAAAAGAATCTGAAAGTGGCTTTATAATTCATCAAAACTGTGAAAAGCTGAGGATCACCAACCTCAGTTCCGTCGATGACCTCATTATCCTGTGTGAAGCTGATATAGGCACAATTGAGAAAGTGAAGAAGATTTTGGATGATTTTGCTCAGACTACTGGCTTAACAGTCAATATTCAGAAATCCAGTGTCTATTTTGGAGGAGTATTGACAGAAAAGCAGCACGAGATATGTGACATCCTAGGGTTTCAAATCGGATCCTTTCCTATACGATATCTGGGTGTCCCAATCTCCCTTACAGCATGGACACAAGAGGACTTTCAAGGAATTATGGATAAAATCACTGGTAAAATTAGATGCTGGTCAACCAAACACCTTTCTTACGCAGGAAGGTTAGTGTTAATCAACCCAGTGTTGATGAATCTTCATTGTTATTGGTCTGGAATTTTCCTGCTGCCACAGGCTGTCATAAAGCAAATTGAAAGAAGGTGTAGAGAATTTTTATGGGGGCAAAAAAACTTAGGCAAATTGAAAGAAGGTACAGAGAATTTTTATGGGGGAAAAAAAACTCAGGCAGATACTGGTCACTTGTTGCTTGGGAGGAGATATGCAAGAAAAAGGTTGAAGGTGGGCTTCATATCAAAAAACCTGGTGAATGGAACAAAGCTCTAATTGGGAAGCAACTTTAGGGGATCATCAGCAACAAAGAAAGCCTATGGATCTAATGGATTCATAGCTACTACTTGAAAAAGAAGAATTTATGGGATTATGAACCTCCCCTAGACAATAGCTGGCATTGAAAGAAGCTCATGAAGGTGAAAAACGAGCTAAAAGCAGGGCAGAGCAATGGATTATGGACAGGTAATAATGGTAAGCCATATAATGCCAAATCTGGCTATCTCTAATTAACAGGAAACCAGCAAAAATTCCCAGCAGCCAAGCTTATATGGTGCCCTTATGCTGTGCCTAAACATAGTTTCATCTGTTGGTTAGCAATAAAAGGCTGGCTACTAACTCAAGACAGACTCAGAATGCTTGGATTATTGCAGGAACCAGAAACATGTGCACTGTGTTTGAGCAATGAAGAAAGTATCAGGCATCTCTACTTTCAATGCTCATACACTCAGGCTGTTATTGATCTGGTTAAGAGTTGGTTAAGGATTAATATCTCCTTTACCACATTTGGATTGAAAGGAACACAAGAAAATTCAAGCAGGAATCAAGGGATGTAATGACTGTCTTTAAGCAGCTGCAAATGGAGATTAGATGGAGATCACAATTTTTTTTGTAGAAAAGGTAGTAATGATGACATTAGGTACTTTCAAGCTATAAATGAATAGATTCTGAAATATAATAGAAGAGATAGGACTGTAAATATGGAAGATTGGAAGTCATATGTAATACAATTTGCCTTTTACCAAAAAAAAAAAAAAAGAGAAGCTAACTATCAGGTTATTCAACATCAATAAGAATAAAACATGTAAATATTCAGGTCGAGTTGACCATCAACTAATATAAGTCAACGAGAGAGCCAACCTATTAAAACAAATTGGAATTTTTCTTTCTTTTTTTAAGGAAAAAAATCAAAACATTTCGATAGAACCAAACATAAATATTTAGATTAAAAATTTGATTATCATTTTGAAATGAAATTAGAACTTGAATAAAGAAAATGAAAACTGTAGTGAAGGGGAAAAAATCGTCTAAGCATTCCGGTCGACTTTATTATCGACCTGTAAAAGTCGACGAAAGAAATGACGCACCTGTTTTAGGGGTTTTCCTCTTCTTTTTTTTTTTTTTAAAAAAATAATTTTAAAAGTCAACCATTTCAAATCAACTCTGACATAACTTTATATCAGAAAATTTTAATAATGTAGTTAAAATTTTGAAGGAAAATAAAATTTCAATAGAACGACGGAAGTCTTTGAGAAAAGAATAACATTTAGCATGTTTCTTGTCGATTTAATTGTCAACTTGTTAAAGTCAACGACAAAATTGGCGCAAAATATTTTGAATTTTACTTCTCTCTCTCTCTTTTTTTTTTTTTAAAAAAAACTTTTGATACATTGAAGAAGCTAATGCCTAGTGATCACATAGTTGTGATCCTGACAACCAGTGGTGGCTCTTCCATAAAGCAAGTGAGGCAATTGCTTTATTCCCCCAAGTTGAGAAGGGCCCCTTAAATTGTTAATAATACCTAATAATATTATATATATACCCTTCAAAAAATTATATTATATGCATGCATAAATAAAAAAAATCAGAAGCAAATAATACTTGCTTTCAAAGGAAAAATAAAAATTTTCATTTCTACTTCCAGCTCCACATATCTAAATATATGCAAAAAAAAAATATCAATCTTCAAAAATCCCACAATGAACTCCTAATTTTCAAAACCACTAAATCAATAAAATGACTCTTTTCTAGAAAGTATGAAAGTTATCAATTAGATTAGAAAGTTTCATCAAAGAATTTGTCCAAAAAAATAGAAAATTAACTTCATATAAAAATTTTGAAAGAGAAAAAAGTTTAAAAGATAAACTTAATCTTATTTTTTTTAAAAAAAGGAATCCCCTTATTATAGTTTCTTGTTTTATAGCAACCTGTCTCTTAAACGTAAATAAACGAAGAGCATACAACTTTGTTTCTAAACTAGTCATTCCAAGGTCATTGAATGATCCCTTGCTGACTGAAATTCTTGGATTAATCCATCTGATAAGGAAAGTCAACCTCAGCTTCTATACGCGACAAGAGGAACTTTAAAATGACACTAGCTTCTAAGTTACAATGAAAGGAATGCGGACACTATACTTGGAATTGCTCCAAGTAATTGACCCAATTGCGGATCCATACATGATCGAAGAATTGTGTCTAAAGGTCACTTCATAGCTCAGCTTCTTCGTGTTTTTCGTAAACTGCAACTTCCCAGGATTCACTCGGACTATCACGTTGTTGGTGAAACTCGTTTCGACGCTAGCTACGTAACTGGATTCTTCCTCCCCAACATTTGTCACCGTCCTCTTTACTTTCTTTTGTTGTCCCAATGCATTGAAGTTAGGCACAATTATGGATGGATAGTTCATGTCGGGGATTGATTCCTCGGTGGCATTACTTGGGCAAGAAAAGTTAGCCGGAAGCTTCGATGAGATGAGTTTGATTCTTGCCACGTCGTGGCCTTTGTTGCAGAGGAATAGTAAATAATCGGCTATTTCTGTCTCGTAAACTAACCCGGGTTGTAATGGACCTGTCACCGTTACTTCTCCAGCTCCAATGTAGTATGGGTCTCCTCCATCCCCAAAATGGGTTCCTATGGGTTTCTTCAAATTGTTATTCGGATTCGCTGCATATTGCGTATATGAAGTTAAACAACATAACATAGTTAATGTTAATGGAGATTGGGTGTAGCAAAGTTGGAAAAATTATGATCAATTAGCACTCTTTCTTCTACAGTATTACTCCGTCTGTCCCAAAATTATTGTCCAATTTGATTTTCAATTTTAGTTCAATTTGTACTATACCTGAAAGTTCAAATTACACAATAATTTCAGGAAGGAGGGAGTATTAGTTACCTGTAGTCATAATTGCTGATTTAATTGCAGAAGGATTCCAAGAGGGATATCGGGATTTGACTAGTGCTGCAACTCCGCTCACATGTGGGCAAGCCATTGAAGTACCTGAGAGTATATTGAAGGCTTCATTCGTTTCATTGGAAGGCCAAGCTGAAAGAATGTCAACTCCTGGTGCTACAATATCAGGCTGCAACATGTCCAAAAGATATTCAACATTTTCACTTTGACTACAATGGTATTGACAACAATGCGAAACGGATGTTTTTTTTTTTTTACCTTGATTAGGTAATCATTGTCATATATAGGGCCCTTCCCTGAGAAGTATGCTACAGTGGGAGCTGGTGTATGGTTTGCTACAACTTTTGTCGGTAAAATAGTCGCCACAGGCTTCCTTTAGAAACAAACCAATAATGCTATGAACACTAATTTTTCATTAATTTGAGTTGTACAAACGGCTCATTCATCTTTCCAGTTTCCATCTCTATTCTATTTTTTCACATTATTCAAACATTGTAAATGATGATATTAACCTGGTCCAGTTGATATAAGATGGAATCTGGTCTCCATCCTCCCAGCTGATTGGGATCCTGGGCATAGAATCAGAAACAGAATCGACTAATAGCACATAGTTGTCCTTATACAGCATTCCGATTCCCCCCAGAAATTTTATGTCTTCATACTGTCCAGCTGGTGAAGTGTCAAGACTGTCTTCACAAAGAACTATTTTCCCCTTCACTTTTTTCTCATGTAATGCATTTCTGTAACAATTCCTGTAACACAGAATTCAATTAGTTTTCGTCTCGTTTTTGTTTTTCTTCTTAAACTATGTGAAAAAAACAGCTTGTTTTACTCATTTCCAGTACATTGCTTCAGCAATATCAGCATCAGGTTTCATAGCTGAAGAGCCATCAGTCAATGGGTGGGATGGAGTTTTCCGAAGTTTAGCAGAATGAACACCCCCTCCCTGAATTTTAACTCATCAAAATCAAATAAAAAAAATTCAGAATTTTTTGCCATTTACTATATGATATCAAAAGGAGATCTGAGTAATTAAATTGACTTTTACCTTGATCACTTTGTTGTTTCCCAACACAACATCAGACTCAAAAAACCTGTCAATGGTAGTGGCACCGACGGTTAAAATCCAAGGAGCTACGTTCTGGATGGTTGGAGGCTCCGGGTCGGCGCCACCGTTCCCGGCAGAGCCGACGACGAGGATACCGTTCTCAACAGCATGAAATGCTCCAATAGAAATCGGATCATCGAGGAAGCTGTCCATAATGTATTGTCCAAAGGATAAATTGATAACATCAACTCCATCTGCTATGGCATCATCAAATGCTTTTAAAGTGGCAGAACCGGGGCAATCATATTCATCCTGACAAACACGGTACACGGCGATCCTAGCACCCGGAGCTCCGCCCTGTGCGGTTCCACGAGCCAGGCCGTGATAGGATGCTACGGCGACCGGCCTTCCGGCAGCGATTGCTGCAACGTGAGTACCATGACCATCGTGGTTCCTCGGTGAAGTAGACTTACCAAATGTAAAATAATTCCTTGCTCCAATCAATTTCCTAACGCCAAGTGAAACAGGGGATTTTATCTCCGGGGCTCAAAGAGTACTGCAAAATGCATTACATAAATCCTAAATCTCTTTATACCTGTTGCAGTTAAAAGGCTTAAAATCCCGGCCCGGAATGCATTTTCCCTTCCATTTCTTGGGGTTAGGACCCAAACCTGCGTCATTGAAACTCTTTGCTTCTAACCAAATCCCTAACATTAATCAGATGTAAATCCTAATTTATTAGAAGAAGTTCCTGGAACTAATCATTATGTAAATTATATAGACTACTGGCATGAACCTGTGTCAAATATGCCTATGATGACATCTTCACCAGAAACAGAGGAAGTACGATTTGATGGTTTGGCAACCTGAAGGCGGGGAGCTAATCCGACAACGCTCTGTTCCTTTAGAAAGTCCCAGGAACGTGTTGTGTGGAGATGGTGAACTGTATCAGGGAACACGGAAATAACTTCAGGCCTTTGGGCTATTAATTTGGCCTCTTCTTCCGATAATCTCACGGCAAATCCCGAAAACGCATGGCTGTACTTGTGTACTGTGTTACCCGAACTCTTCTATTTGGGGAGAATACCCGTGTCGTGTCGACACTGGTGTGGGTATGAGTGTCGGGCGTGGCATTTTAACCTAAAATGTCCAAGATTTCTAAAATATTGATGAGTCGGACACTCAGATCCCGCACCCGATACGACACCCGTATCCGAGTCCAGGTAACATAGCTTGTGTATGATCCTATCCTTCAAGCTAAAACGCAGTACACGATTACTTTAGACCAGTCTTAACATTTTTAGTTTTCTCTGGGAATAAATTTAATGAAAATATTAGAAACTAACAAGCTTCAAAAGAAGAAGGCAGCATTGCATATATATATATATATATATATATCAGACCTTTCAATGGAGGAGGAGCTCATAATATGATCAGAATTTGATGAGGAGGATGAAGGTGATCCTGTATACACGATGTATACTCCAGCGTTTTGTGTGTTTTCAGCTGCTTTTACTAACACCGCCAACTGGAATGAAGCCAGGAAGAGAGAAATGAAGCAGAACACAGGAAAAGCACTCATACTGTTCTCAGTTCTGTTCTCACACAAATCTCATAATATCAAAGGTTGGCTTTTTATAACTAAGGTGCAGTGGAGTGATCTGCTAGTAGTAATGTAGCATGTGAGTGTTCAAATGTGCCTGGATCTGATCAAATATTTAACATTAATAAAGACTTCAAAATTTTAGTCGTCCCATAACCAATAATTTTATTATACTTACTAGTTTAGTAGTTAAAATCTGAAATAAAATATGCTGGAATTGATAGAAAAGCTCTAATGGTAAAAAATGGCGTATTCATCATTCCTTTTCTCGAAAATCGTCCTATAGTACTCATTCATGTGCACATTTGCAAGTTGCAAGTTGGAAGTGCACATATACATCCCCGAAATCAAACAATAATTATATGCAGATGTTGTGTAATTACGACGTTTTTTTTATTTTTTTGGGGCAATCATTACTGAAGTCCATTGAATCATAAATGATTTCAGACAAACGCGCAGAAAAGAGATCATACGATCCCCAACAGACAAAGCAAGAATAGTGTTTGATAGTCGCACAGAAAAGACAGGATCCTTCGATTTCGATATAAGCCGAAGGAGGTTAATTCAAATCGACTAAAATGTCTAATTGATCCCTTACATTTAGACCTAATTGATTTTACGTTTCTAATATTAACATTTCAATATCGTAGTTCCAAACATTATGTTTTCAAACTTACTGTTTACACCACTTTTTCGTCCAGTTCGATGTTGACCTGCCGTTGACATGCCGAAATCAGGGTTATTCTTGTCTTTTCATTTCATTTGACCTTCCATTAAAATTTAAATCATTAAAAGTATTATAAAATTGACATTTTATTATTTAATTATTAAAATATTATTTATTAATTTAAAATATTACTATAAACCCTAATATTAATTTTTAAAATATTAATTTAAAATATTATTATTGATCAATTAACATCATCTCCGCCCTGCCTACTCAGCTGCTGAACATCGCCACCACCGCCGGGAACTTCAACCCCATCCCACCCACCACAAGAAGGGAATTGGAAGGGATGAACAAGAAGGGAATACAGGGGAATAGGAGTAAACCAGTTTAAATCAATAAAAGATTAGATCAGATTTTTTTTTTTGTAATTAAGATAAAGATTTTTTAATTTAGGGAAGTGATTGAAGTTTGGCTTTGTATTTTGCTTTAAACGAGGTCTATTAATTGAAGGATTAGATTTCTCTAATCAAGTCAAAGGAAACGGTAATTATGTGGTACTCCCTTGGGTCGACTGTAACTTAAGGTCAATGGTAAATAAAAAAAGTAATTTTAAAAATAATATAAATTTCAAAATTTATAATATATTTTAAATTAATAAATAATATTTTGACAATTAAACAATGAAATGTGAATTTTATAATATTTTTAATGATTAAATTTTAATGAGATCAAATTAAATGAAAATATAAAAATACCCTTGATTTCGGCATGTCAACGGTTGGTCAACATCGATATGGACGGAAAAGTGGTATAAACAGTAAAATAGGACTAAAAAAGCTTGAAAACGTAATGTTTAAGACTACGATATTGAAATGTTAATATTATGGATGTAAATCAAGCATGCCCAAATGTAAGAGACCATTTAGACATTTTAGTCATTCAAATCCAATGGCTTCAAGAGTCATAACTCATAAGAATGGAAAGCCTTCTATAAGAACCACTACGTACGGTGTATATGGTATGACATACAGATAGCATAAATTTTCAGGACGCCTACAGATTATTTATAAACTACCAAGCGGATCAAAACCATATCCGGTGATTTGCATTTGAGGAAGAAGTTTTTGCTCCAATGAAGAAGAAGAAGAAAAAACAGCGATAAGAATTTTTAAAAAGCTGCGGTTTTTTTTAACAGTCAATAGTCAAAAGCGGGAAATCGTTTATTTCCACTCAGACTAAAGAATCACGCCTTTGAAATGCTTGTTTCACAAAGGCGCAATCTTAAGCCCACAAATTAGGTGCCTTTCTGTGTTTTGTTTACATTTTTTTCGGATCAAAGGGGAACTCGTATATTGCTTCAAAATCAAACAACAACAAATTAGGCGCCTTTCTGTGTTGTGTATTGTTTACTTTGCTGACAAAGATTGTTCTGTTCTGGACCACAACTATTTTACCAAAATACACTTTAAGGCTATAAATATTAATAAATCCATAATTAACATGAATTTAATGATTGTTTATATAAGATTTTAGAAGTATTTTAAACTAATTGTGGCGTTTTATATGTAGTTTGATCTTGTGAAAACTTTGGATGATAAATGAAAGAAAAGATGAATTTTTCTACGATTTTGTCAGCAATAAACCATCAATGGCGAGTCGCGGACTTGTAGTAGCACGTGGTCATGTGATTGGAGGGAAAAAAAAATGGAAGAAGATGGCATTCATGGGCAGCAACGGACACATAATAGTACGTGATCATGTGACTCAATAAGAGAAGTTTTGAGTTTTATTAACTCACGTGAGATATCGCGTGATCACGCAAGTTGAAAATAAAAACTTTTTTAACCGAGATTATTCCTAAATCTTATTAAAGAGAATATTTCATTTTATTGTTTAGTCAAATCCTTCTGTTGAGGAGAGTTTAAATATTTTCTTGATTTCTTTTATTTGGATAGATTTGACTTTGACTTTTAATTTTACTTTTACTATAATAATCTCTATAAATAAGGATGGCCTTTATCACTGCAGAGGAACGCAGTTAGACATTCACTTTTTAGTTTTTAGACTTTTTTTCTCTTTTCTCTTTTGTTCTTCATTTTTCTACTCCAATTTGTAAAATCTTTTACTTTGTTCTTTAAAATGTTTAGTGGCTAAGTTTTCTTTTTCTAGTCAAGGAAATTATTGAAGTCTTATGTTCTTGCATATGTGAGATATTTTGCACTTTACTTTTATAGTTCAAGAAAAACATTTATTTTCTACTTTATATTTTGTGTTATAATTGTTAGTCATTGCATTGAAGCGCTGGTTAGCCTTTGATCTTCACAATACAATTAACATTTAATATAATTGTTAGCAGCTGAATTGGAGTGCTGGTTAGCCTTCATTCTCTGCCAAACGATGTACAGCTAATCAAGCTAGAGAAGGTTTTGTTAAGTTTGAGAGGGCATTCAATATAATTTATTTACTTAGTTAAGTACTTAAACTATATTTTGAAAATAAATAAACTACATGCATAAAACCTGTTTGGTGTTTAATGTTTTGTGTTAAATCTTTCTTTTTCGGTAACCATTAGAACTGTTAGTCCTGCGAGTTTTTGAGAATTTTTCTATTGGTTAAAAGTAATTTTTGAGGTTTTGATTATTACCTCGACAAAGAAAGATTGGTGATATAAAGGTTTGTATATTGCTATCTTCAGTTTATTCTTGAATGCTTATTTTTGTATCAATGATCATTGCAGAAAACTGGATTAAATTTCTTTGACTAGAGGTTACCTTAAACATTTCATTTATTTCAATCTATTTTTCTTATTTTTATAAGTTAGAATCAAATCCAAAACTCCCCATTTTGTTAATTATTTAAAAGAAACGAATCCACCATTCCCTGTGGAGACGACCTTGCTTTCCTATACTACGTTTGTTTGGAAAGTAAATTTTGAGGTCTTGATTATTATGTCGACAAAGAAAGATTGGTGATATAGAAGTTTGTACATTGCCATCTTCAGTTTATCTTGAATGCTTATTTTTGTATCAATGATCATTGCAGGAAACTGGATTAAATTTCTTTGACTAGAGGTTACCTTAAACATTTCATTTATTTCAATCTATTTTTCTTATTTTTATAAGTTAGAATCAAATCCAAAACTCCCCATTTTGTTAATTATTTAAAAGAAACGAATCCACCATTCCCTGTGGAGACGACCTTGCTTTCCTATACTACGTTTGTTTGGAAAGTAAATTTTGAGGTCTTGATTATTATGTCGACAAAGAAAGCTTGGTGATATAGAAGTTTGTACATTGCCATCTTCAGTTTATCTTGAATGCTTATTTTTGTATCAATGATCATTGCAGGAAACGGGTTTAGATTTCTTTGATTAAAGCTTACCTTAAACATTTCATTTATTTCAATCTATTTTTCTTATTTTTATAAGTTAGAATCAAATCCAAACCCCCCATTTTGTTAATTATTTAAAAGAAACGAATCCACTATTCCCTGTGGAGGTGACCTTACTTTCCTATACTACGTTTGTTTGGAAATAGGTTAATATTGTTTGTTGGTTTGACATCCCACCAAATATACATAATTATTGACCAATGGTAATAAAATACTAAATAATAAAGAACTTGAGAAGAACATATCATTAAAATAGTCCATAATATTTGGCAAAAAGATAAAAAGACATAATCTATATTTAGTTTTTTATTTTTTTATTTGAGGGTACAAAATCGTCAATCCTCCTTAATGGCCATAAACGTAAAATATATGTATAGAATTAATCCTTGACTAACGTAACTTTTACGTAAAAATTGTGCACTCGAAACCGTGGATAAAAGAGGAACAAGACTCACACAAAAGACAATTAAATCAGACGATTGTGGTTGAGTTCGGACCGAGCTCGGACTAGGATCGAGCACTCATGGTTATTCGCTTTAGTTTGAGACAGGTAGAAAATAGAAAAAAGTGGGAAAATGCCGAAGAGACGGCGTTTGATTCATAAAGTGGAAAATTCTAGCGCCGGCAAGTTATAGATGGTGCTGATAACGCTATTACATAGAAGATGAAGATAGGACGGACGTGCAGAGGGTAGTCCGGCATACATTAGTGTTAGAACACCTATTATAACATAACCAAATTCGTTGGAGGAGAAAACGGTGAATACCTACCAATTCTATATAGGAGAAAAAGGCAAACAACTCTATTGTTAAGCTAGGGGCTAAGCAAGAATGATAGAACGTGATGAACTACCATAAGAAAGGTAAAAACATGATAAACGGTACAAGAAAGAAATAAAGAACAAGGAAAATCAGTTTTATGGTTGATCGGTGATGATTTTCTCTTCATGGCTGCCTCTATTTAAGTGCTAGGACGAAACCCTTTCTGTCCTATGATTCGTTGGAAAAAAGATAGCTTAACATGGTCAATTTCCTTGAAAATAGGGTACTATTTCCGCAGCAGTCTCCCAATCGGTTGATAACTCTTCTCACAATCAGCTCTTAATTTGGTAATGGAATCATTTCCAGAATATATTTCTTTAATTACTGTTAATTTTCCTCTTTAAAATAAGCAAGAAATAATGAGGAATTTTCCTTAATTGCCAATTAATCACGCAACCGATTCTGGAACAATTCTATTCCCACTTGACTTCTACTTTTCTTCTCCAATTTTGAAACTGTTCGCATCCAACTAACCCATATTGATCCCAAACGTATTTTGGTCACTTTTGGACTATTTTAAGACCTTAAAACCTCAGCCATAATTATATAAATTCACTAAAACTTCTGGGCTAAGATTCACATCTTTCGTCGGCCCGGATAGCAAAAAACTAGCCAAACAGTAACATGATGAATTATACTAGGGAACCATTTTTATTTTATGAATTTAAATTTTATCCTTTACAGAAAATTATCTGTTGGATGCCTTGAAGCCGTTTATAGTAGCAGTAGTTGAAAACAATTGTCAAAACCCCAAAACAAAAGTATCAAAAAATTATAATAAAGTATTTTATTGCTTACTTACCCATCTTCAAAGTTCATATTCGGTTATAGTTAAAAAAATTTAAGCTTTTAATTAGGTCAGTTTAAGAATTAGGATCGATGCCAATTGGCAATGGGCACTCATTACTGACTAGCAGTCTAGCAGGAGCACTTACCTCAGGTTGAGGGGTCTCCAATTTTTAACCTGTTTTGTGGTCGAATTCAGGACGACCAAATGCAAAAAACATTCGGTCTCTTGTTTGCTAAGCGGGTACCATAAGCAAGGTTAAAAAAGAAAAGAAAAAGAAAAGGATTTTCATCATTTGAGTTTATAATTTATGAATAGAGTTTCACAGATAGCAAGCAGACCTTTTTAGAAGGGAATCAAAAAAAGTTACTATATATTATTCCTGTTTAGATTTAGACAATATAGGCTAGTGTCACGCTCCATATTTTGGTACGTAATAAAATATATTATATATAGAGTTACCGACAATCAAACGTTATAAAAATTCATTGTTCTGCAATTGCTTCTAAAAGGAAACAAAAGAAAAGCAACGAACAACATTCAGTAAAGTACTCACAATCATGTAGAAAATCAGATGATCAAAGATCACATGAATCCAATTTCCCGCATAAGTGGAAACCAAGGACCCCAATTAAAGTGTAGCTCCATAATATTTTCTGCTCTAAAAGTTGTACAAAGGAGAACGCAACAAGGAATCGATTTGCCAGGGAAAATAGTGTGTGGTTTTACTTTTTTTTTTTGTTTTTGTTTTAACTTAATAGAAAAAGGAGTACATTATTGCTGCTTTTAAAGGATGACATTTAGAAACATTATTTTCCCATTTTTGAGAAATTAAGTCATAGCCCCTTAAAACCGTAACTCCTGATTTGTCATTTGTTGAAAATACTTCTATACTCCTTTTAAAGGACGATTACATGGAACAATACCAAATGGAGTAGAGAGCACATAATTTATACTCCCTCCATCCCAAAATTATTATTCCGTTTGAGATTTCACTTTTAGTACAATTTAAACTAAAAATGAAAACCCAAACTGGACAATAATTATGAGACGGAGGGAGTAAATCATTTGCAAATGTAAGAAATTATAAAGGTCAATCCTAATAAATCCAAACACCGAAAAATTTAAAAACGTCCATTGTAGAAATTACTAAAATAGTAAGAATAAGGAGAAAAAAAAAAAGAAAAGGAAAAGTAAATAAAAACAACATTAACATTTAACAGCCGCACCATCTTCCCCCCAACCAACACCCAGAAATCCAGCTTCCAAACAAAATACAGAGTTATAAAAATGATTTAGTTAACAGTGATGATACTATCCTAGCAACGTTCTTGCATCAGAATATTGACTACACCGAAAGCATTTTCCATAGTTTTTCTTCCATTTTTATTTTTATTTTTTCGTTTTTTCCCTTTACAGACACACAGCTGCTGAGCTGCACCAGAAATTGTATGTTTCCGAAGCTTTTTTATTTTTTTTTGCTCCTTTTAGTTTTTTAAAATTTAATGCATAAAGTGCTGGAAAAAGAAATTTAATCCTCAGCCAAAGTTTTCTCCAGCCAAGCTGGTTTGCTGACGCCTGAAAATTCCAGATGTCTGACAAGCATCAATTCTAGCCGAAACACAGCGGCGGTCGTGTAATAGGATTTGTTAAATTTGTTTGCGACTCCTTTTAAACAATGCAGAGCCCAGAGGTTTTGCGTATACACAACTCCTCCATCATGGCCAAACACACCACCAGCGGCGGCCGTAGCAATAGAATATCAGGTCTTTTCTCCCACCGGGTTCTTTACGCCGGCGGGATTTCGGTTGCGATTGCGGTGGTTTGGGTTCTTTGGTCTTCCTTCACCCCGAAAGAAGTCGACCCGAATCACTCCATCGCCAGAGCACTTAATTCAGGAGCTGACCACGTGGCGGAAGCAATTAATTCGTGTGCGGGTCAAAACCCGGGTTACGGCCGGAGCTATGACCCGCCGGAGCGTACCTTCTACGATGACCCGGAATTGAGCTACACGATCGAGAAGACTATGAAGAATTGGGATGAGAAGAGAAGGGATTGGTTGAAAAAACACCCTGCTTTTGCCGCCGGAGCGGGTGATCGGATCCTCATGCTGACGGGTTCTCAGGCGACGCCGTGCAAGAACCCCATCGGAGACCATTTGCTCCTGAGGTTCTTCAAGAACAAAGTGGACTATTGCAGAATCCATGGTTACGATTTCTTCTACAACACAGTGTTGCTCCAGCCCAGGATGTTTTCGTTCTGGGCCAAGATGCCGGTCGTTAAAGCCGCCATGTTAGCCCACCCGGAAGCCGAGTGGATCTGGTGGGTGGATTCCGACGCCGCCTTCACCGACATGGACTTCAAGCTTCCCTTGGACAAATACAAGGCCCATAACTTCGTCGTCCACGGATGGCCTCACTTGATTTACGAGAAGAAAAGCTGGACAGGGCTCAACGCCGGCGTCTTCCTCATGAGGAACTGTCAGTGGTCTATGGATTTTATGGAGACTTGGGCTAATATGGGCCCACAGTCACCGGATTATGACAAATGGGGTGAAATTCAACGGAGCATATTCAAAGACAAGTCGTTTCCGGAATCAGATGATCAGACGGGTTTAGCTTATTTGTTGCTGAAAGAAAAGGAGAAATGGGGAGACAAAATCTACATGGAAGGAGAGTTTTACTTCCAAGGTTACTGGATGGAAATTGTTGGGAATTACAACAACATCACTGAAATGTACTCGGGAATTGAGAAAAGGGAGAAGAAATTAAGGAGAAGGCATGCTGAGAAAGTGAGTGAGAGTTATGGTAAGCTTTGGGAAGAGCACCTGAAGGATGCTGGATATGGAAGAGGGAGCTGGAGGCGTCCGTTTGTCACGCACTTCACCGGTTGCCAGCCGTGTAGCGGGGATCATAACCAGGAGTATTCCGGCCAGTCTTGCTGGGATGCGATGCAAGCTGCTCTGAACTTTGCTGATAATCAGGTGCTCAGGAAATATGGATTTGTCCATAAGAATTTGTTGGATACTGCTACTGTTGTGCCCCTGCCGTTTGATTATCCTGCCAATTCAGACGCAAAAGAGGCTCTGATGTAATGTTTGGTAGTAGACTAGTAGTTGTTGTAGTAGCATTTGCAAAATCCAGGGAAATTTCATGTTATAGCGTCTCTGGCTGGCCTAATTGAAGTTCTCATGGTGAATATGAAAAAGATGTGCATTTTCCTTCCAATTGTATTGAACTGGCTATGGTATTTCTTGTATAACTAAGGTATGACCACTTGCAACTAGTTTCAAGATTTTACCGTATAAAGGCCTATCATCTTTTCCTAAGAATTTCCAATTATACTCCCTCCGTCCCATAATTATTGTCCAGTTTAGATTTTCATTTCTAGTTCAAGTTATACTAAAACTGAAATCTCAAAGTGGACAATAATTTTGGGACAGAAGGAGTATATCTTTTAAAAGTTAGGATAGGACTTAATAAGTAGGTTAGCTCAAGATAACTGGTAATTCTCCAAAACTAAAATGACACTCAGCAATGCAACCTCTCTTCCTTAAAACTGCCAACCAACTTCATCAGAATCCATGATCCTGCTCCACACAATCACATTCGCAAAAAAAAAAAAAAAAAAAAAAAATCGCACAAAATGATGGAAAAGGCATCTCTCTTGCAAGTATTTGAATCCTATTGTGTCCTAGATTCTCCAGGGATTGCAATTGATTGATTATGTCCCTCATCGTCTACTAAAACAGCTAGTGCTACCCAAAAAAACAGAGTAGGCATACTGTGTATATGTGAACCTGGCCTGATTGAAGTTCTTGTGGGGATGAAAGAAAATTAAATGTAGATTTTCCCTTCCACATGGAAAGGATAACTATCACTCTGCCGAACAAAAAGGTTAAATTGGTCTGGTACAGTTTGGTTAGAACTGGTTTCCGAACGAACTGGCTTTGCCATATCTGTCTGATGAGGAATCAGCACCTGCAACCAATTTCAGGAGTTTTTATACACAAATAGCCAAGGAGTTTGCAGCAGCATCTTTTGTTAAACTTTCCAAGCAATCTATTTTGAAAGTAAGGATGCCTGCATATTGGTTTCTAACTATTATTAGATTTAAACCCGATCCAGTCCCCAGTAGGTTAGCTTCCAAAATACTACCTCCGCCCCATAATTATTGTCCAGTTTAATTTTTCATTTCTAGTTCAAATTGTATTGAAAGTGAAATCTCAAACTGAACAATAATTTTGGGACGGAAGGATTATCAGGCTGACATTGGCACTTCTCCTGAACTAAAATGATACTCTGCGAAACAATCTTCCTTAGACCGCCAATGATCTTGACCAGGCATCTTCATCGGACATCATCCTGGTTATTTCCAAAAGCTGAGTACTTTTCACTGGAGCCGGGTTCTCCGATTACTATAATTTTGTAACCGCAACCGGAATATTGTTAACCAGTTCAACAATTTTATCTTCGAATTGAAGAATATGGAGGTGCCATATTTTCTCCAAATCCAACTTCTTTTTATTTTTTATTTTTATGGTGATTCATATGAAGAAGAGATTTGATTCAGAATGTACATATCTAGTCGCTAGACTTTAGCCTCACTCAATCATTGAACCGAGAAAAGAAAGAAGTAGAACAGGGGGAGCAGGAAGGCGATTTGGATCATTGGAATTTTTAAAAGCTACTGTACGGGTTTTATTTAGCAGGGAATAGTCAAAGGCGGGAAACTTATTTTTTTTAGTCCAGTTAAAAGAACCACGCCTCTGACCGTCTGTGCTTTGTTTTCTACTTTTCTTAGTTGACTATCGGAGCGGTTGTGACTTGCCAACAATATTTTTTTTTTTACCCAAACATACTTTGAAATTCTTTTTGAGGAACACACTTTGATTTTGAATAGGAAGTTCCAATTGTACCAAAAAAAAAAAAAGAAGAAAATTTTAAACAAATTTAATTGGCAGAAAATGTTTCTCCCTATTCTCCAAAAAGAAAACCCTAACCCAGGAAGCTGTACGCTTGCTTTTCCCTTACAATCACTACTACAATGGCGTTGTGGCTGGAGTTCAAGGCTCCTTCTTTGTTACATGCTTTGAATTCTGTTATGCCATTTACACATGATACAACTCTTATTTGCTCAGCCAGTGGGTTGTCCTTGTACGCCGTCGGCGCCGCTCTCGCGGGGAGTGCTGTTATCAGATGTACTGGTTTTGACCCGGTTGGAGCGACGAGTGTGTTGGCATGCGGTTGAATCTCCCGGACGTAGAAAGGATGGCTCAGTTTTTTAGGTGGCGCGTCACGTCCGATGACAACCGCGCCACCGTCTCAATCGATGTCGACCGTGGGACCATCGGATTCAAGATTGATAACCCTGCCAAACCAGGCATATATCGATTACCGTTGCGAGATTGCTTACGTTGAAGTTGACGAGTATCCCGCTCTTGATGAGGAAGCAATAGCGGAATTCGATTATCATGCAGTTGTAACCATGTCTTTAGTTGACTTTTGTGTGATTTATTATGAACGTCAATGCATTGCGGATGGCATATCTAGCCCAAATCCCGCAGTTAAGATAAACGTCACCAAGGAAGGCATTGATTTTTCTGTAGTTGGTTCCGATACTCATCTTACTCCGTCGGATGGTTTTAGTGTCAAGACTGCCATCAGTTCCTTTAAGCAACCAGTGGCCTTGACTTATGATCTTCAACTTTTATACTACGTTGTTTTTCCTAGTGTCTATCACTCGGAACAAGTAACCATCCGTCTTCTTCCTAAGTCTCATTATCATTCTCAAGATTTAAGGATGTTCCATCTTGTAATGGAGGTTGACATTATAGATGATGTTAAAGTTAATCTCTTTGTGGCGGTGCTTGATGATGAAACATCCTCCGAGGTGAAGGACGAAGCAGCAAAGAAAGACAAGTCAAAGGAGAAGACGTGGCTTGATCGTGCAAGGGAGAAGGCAAGGCTTGATGATGAAGATCATGAGGCAAAGAAGAAGAAGAAAAAGAAAGAGACAACGGGGCTTAACATAACAAATGGTCATCTGGCGGGGCTTGATGGTGAAACATCCAAGGTGAAGGCGAATCTTGATGACAAAACAGCAAAGGAGAAGACAAGGCTTGATGATGAAGATCATGAGGCAAAGAAGAAGAAGAAGAAGAAAAAGACGACGGGGCTTGACATTACAGATGGTCATCTGACGGGGCTTGATGGTGAAACATCCAAGGTGAAGACGAATCTTGATGAAAAAGCAGCAAAGAAAGAGAAGTCCAAGGAGAAGATGGCGCTGCATAAATCATATAACAAGTCTGCCCCTAAAGTTGATGCTGCTGCTCCTGTTTCAGTAACCCCCTCTAAGCCATTGACAAAAGCTGAGGAGTTGCTCGAGAAGGAAGTGAATGTGAAAAGCACAAGAAAGGTGTTGTTGTGGAGGTCGTTGTCAAGAAGAAGGCTGAAGCAAAGATGAAGGTTGAAAGTAGCTCCTCTGATATTGCTGCGGAGAGAGGATCAAACACTTCCAGAAAGGAATTGGATCTCAAGGGAAAGCAACAGCTTTTGACCGTGGTTTTGATACAAATGCTGAGGAAAATGAGATTTAGGGTGCATTGAGATCTCATTTTGAGTCCTGTGGGGAGATAACCAGGATCTCTCTTCCAAGGGGGGATGAGGGTTTCAAAGGGATTGCTTTCATCGATTTTCGGAGCAGGGATTCCCTTGGCAAAGCTATCGAATTTGATTATCAACCACTTAATGATAATTATCTTACTGTTCAAGAGGCTAGAGACAATGCTGGGGGACGTTTTGGAAACAGTGATGACTGTCGTCAGGGTCGGTTTGGAAGTCGAGGACGCGACAGTCGCGGAGGTCGACGAGGTGGCCGAGGTGGAAATTACAAAAACAACTTTTGGAGACGACTGAGATGTCACAAGTGGATTTCACCTGTTCTTACCCGTTCCTTGCTTTGCTATAATTCCCCACCCTTTCTGTTTTTTAGCTATCTAAAGCTTAGTTTAAGAATTTTGGATGCTAGTATATTTTGCAGGTTCTTGATGATAGATCCGAAAAAACCTGCCTTACTATCGTATTACTCTAACTTTATTTGAATTGTTTGTAGAGGTTTTGAATGGGGGATAAAAAAAAAATTAATTACTATTGCATCACCAATAATCTATATCTATATACTATACTAAGACAAAAACCAGAGAGATAAAACTAAAGGCATGGAGGCATTTTCTTAATTTCTTAGACTTAAAAATACACAAAACAAAATAATAAAACAAAAAAAAAGCAACTAAAATAATTTTTTTTAAAAAAGCAAAATAATAAAAACCAAACCCTTATTTTCATGAACAAAATCCTAACACATAGATTGATTGGAGAGAGTACCAAATACTAACAAATTTTAGAGAGATTTGCATAAACCTTATCACCAGTAAATTTAAAATGTCATTTAAAAAAAACAAATTCCTGTAAATCCAGAGGTAATCATGTTTAAAACTGAAGTCATTACATATTTTATAAAAATACAAAATTTATGTAAAAATATCTAAATGTGTATGCCTTCCCCGTCCATCGGACGGGTCTAACACCTAGTAAAATAATAAGGGAAAGAAGTAGTGAAATAAAAAATTGAAACTAGTCCGTTACATATAGCAAAAGGAAAGAAAGGGCACAAATATACTAGATCTGGTTTTATTTGTTTATTTTTGGGTAGAAAGTCTCCTTAATCCCTCTCCTTAATAGCCATAAACTTTAACTAGATGCGTCCGCCTGGGCAGCCCCCGCTTATTAAATTGATAGGTAACTAAAAAATGTATACTATGCATAATGTTGAGATTTAAACCTTTCCTCAGAGGTGAAAATTTAATTAATCATGAATTTGATCTTATATGGTACAAAAAGATGATTAAATAGGGTATCTTGAATTTGATCATTTAGGGAGTCTGTATCCAGTATACCCGGGGGCATCGTGTCCCCTCCTATTTTTTTTATATTTTTAGCCCTTATTGTACTTTTTATCAATCTTTCTATATTTTACAAGTATAGTCCCTGTCATTTTTTCTCTCTCTTCTAAAAAAAATATCTCTAATCTTTCAACGAGCATATCTCCTAATCCGTGAAGAATTTGTAAACGAATTATATATGAAATTTATAGTACTCGTCGAGATCTATTCAACAAGATCCACATCCAATATTTTTTTCCAACTTAAAAATGATCAAATTTCTTTGGGCAGAATTAAGTTGGATATCCAGTACAAACAAGTTGGATAACCAACTTGTTCTAAATTGGTTATCCACCGTATTCACGCTGATTATCCAATCAGTTTGAACTGGTTATCCATTTTGTTTCTACTGCTTATCCATTTGGTTATCCAACTTCTTAATTCAAAATAAGTTGGTTATCCATCTTCTTAAACTGGATATCCAATGTGTTCATATTGATTATCCAATGCGCTAATCTTGGTTATCCAATGGACTTACATGCTTATCCAAATTATTTGTACTGGTTATTCCACGTGTTCATGCTGATTATCCAACTTGTTTGTACTGGATATCCATCCATTTGGTTTGTATGCATATCCAACTCTAATCTTTCAACGAGCATATCTCCCAATCCGTGAAGAATTTGTGAACGAATTATATATGAAATTTATAGTACTCGTCGAGATCTATCCAACGAAATCCACAGTGAACATTTTTTCGGGCTTAAAAATGACTTAATTCTGACGGACAGAATAGAATAGAGGTGGTTATCCATCTTTTTTTTTTTTTTGAAGAGTGAATGTCAAACATATGATTGGATAACAAGTACGAACATAATGGATAATCACTCCAAACCTGTTGGATAATCAGTAAGAACACAACGGATAACCATTTTTCAAAGAAAAACAAAAAACACGTTTCTTCATTTCTGCCCGTAAAATTTAAATGCATTTAAAGTTCAAAAAAATAATCAACATGGATCTTATCGGATAGATCTCGTCGAACACTATAAATTTCATATATAATTCGTGTTATAATTCTTTACGAATCAAAAGATACAAGGAACACAACGATATGAATGCGAAATAAGTTGGTTATCCATCTTCTCAAACTGGATATCCACTGTGTTCATGTTGATTATCCAATGCGCTAATACTGGTTATCCAATGAATTTACATGGTTATCCAAATTGTTTGAACCGGTTATCCAATATGTTCATATTGATTATCCAATGCGCTAATACTGGTTATCCACTGTATTCATGCTGATTATCCAACTTGTTTGTACTGGATATCCACTGTGTTCATGCATATCCAACTCTAATCTTTCAACGAGCATATCTCCCAATCCGTGAAAAATTTGTGAACGAATTATATATGAAATTTATAGTACTCGTCGAGATCTACCCAACGAAATCCACAGTGAACATTTTTTCGGACTTAAAAATGACTTAGTTCTGACAGGCAGAATAGAATAGAGGTGGATATCCATCTTTTTTTTTTTTTTTTGAAGAGTGAATGTCAAACATATGATTGGATAACAAGTACGAACATAATGGATAATTAGTCCAAACCGATTGGGTAACCATTTTTCAAAGAAAAATGAAAAACGCATTTCTTCATTTCTGCCCGTAAAATTTAAATGCATTTAAAGTTCAAAAAAAATTATTCAACATGGATCTTATCGGATAGATCTCGTCGAGTACTATAAATTTCATATATAATTCATGTTATAATTCCTTACGAATAATTAGATACAAGGAAAGGAATAATATGAATGTAAAATAAGTTGGTTATCCATCTTGATTATTTATGTTAATACTGTTTATCCAACTAATTAGTATTATTTATCCAACCTGGTTTTTCTTTTTATTATTTTTAAAAAATAATAAACTAAGTTGGTTATCCAACTCGTTTGTATTGGTTATCCAATCATTGGTTTGTACTGGATTATCCAATGCGCTAATGCTGGTTATCCAATGAATTTACATGGTTATCCAAATTGTTTGAACTGGTTATCCACTGTGTTCATACTGGTTATCCAACTCGTGCATACTGGTTATCCATCTTACTGGATATCCAACTTATTCTGCCCATCAAAATTTAGTCATTTTTAAACTCAAAAAAATATTCGAAATGGATTTCATTGGATAGATCACGACGAGTACTATAAATTTCATGTATAATTCGTTCACAAATTCTTCACGGATTGGGAGATATGCTCGTTGAAAGATTAGAGCTGTTTTTTTTGGAAGAGAAGGAAAAAAGTCACAGGGACTATCCTTGCAAATCATAGAAAGATTGATAAAAAAGGTACAATAAAGACTACCCGTACAAAAAATAGGAGGGGGGCACGGTGCCCCCGGGTATACTGGATAATTTGCCCATTTAGGCGTCTGATTTGGAGTAATGGATCCTCTCAATAGGAGGAACTTTCCTAAAACCAAATTCTAATTCCATCACAGGTTTATAGTTACTTCAGTTACATTTATGGCAATACATATATCTTTCAATTCATTGTTTTTACCTTAGACTAATACACAACACATTTAAATCTAATCATTCAAGATGGTTGTTAATCACACTTGCCTTTATATAATTAGTAATCGTCAACCGCATTTGTCACTTAAGAGTATCAAAAAAAATCTGGAAAGGAAAGTGAAAAAAATGAACACTCTTTTGCAACAAACAGAATCCATCACTAAACAAAACTAAAAATAAAACCCAAAAAAGTTCAACATTCCTAAACACACTTAACTGAACAATTATTTGATTCTCAACTAGTAACCATCGGAAGGTGTACCATCATTAACCAGAAACGTCATGTAGTATCCCGACGATGCAACATTGCTCGTCAGAGGTGCAAACAACGTCACCTTAAACGAATTCAATGACAACTACTGCAACCCAACATTTTTCAACACTAACAACCTTTAATTGAAGTTGTTTTATATGTTACAGTTCCTATTTCTTAGTACAATGTTATACACTCTAAGCTTAGTGGCTGGACTACTATAATGAGACTTGTACAATGGCCCGTTAATACCCAGTCCAAATTATTCTCCAACATGAAACAATCTTTTATGCACTTCAACCCTAAAGGAACAAAATCAACTAACCTGGATAAGTGCTGCCATGTAAGTATATACTGTAGAGAAGTATCAAAGCACCGTCTATGCTCTGTAAAGCTAGTGCCAAAGCTTAGCCTCGTAACTAAATAACGAAGCTTAATAGGAACTTTTACATTTGTGCATTGTGACCCCCTGCACTTTGAATACTCTTCTTTGGTCAAGTTTGTCATCTACGAAGGTACACTATATCAACAGCAACTTAACACTATATTTCTAAAATTAACAGGTTCAGTTGTGGTAAACAGATTAGCAGGAAAACACTGACAACCTGCTTGAGATCTTCTTCATAATCACTGACGTGAAAATAATATCTGCCTCAAGTCCACGAAAATTGATAGCATCACGATCATATGCTCTAGGAAAAGTATTAAGATTTTTATACGATTTTTACAACATGAATAATGGCAAGTAAGCACTTGAACTTTGAAACTATCATCAATCTCAGAAAACCACCAAATAAATGTCAAAGCACTTAAACTTTGCCGGACTCTGCATTTTGCTTTTGTGAATACTTCAATAACTACATGAGGATTAACATAGACTGATGTAGAACGGAGAAAATGCATTCATGAACTTATTTTAAAACTGAATATCTTTCTTGTAAAAATTTTCCTTTTTACCAATGTAAAAGTTTCCTGTCCCCAATGTAAAAGTTTCAAGAGATATAGATCAAAGCAAAGATTTGATAGAAACTGCGTTAACAGTTCCTTAGTCAATGAGGAAACGTTAAAGAATAAAGAAAAAAAAGCATACAACACTATCTAACTTCATATCTATCGAATTTATGATCCATAAACTAAATCCGAGACAAAACATCTAAACATAACATTCCCATGGTGGTTGGACATAATTCAACTTCGCGCATAGCGAATTAAAGGGAGAAAAGAAAATGAACCATTTAGGGTAATTTCAATCTTTTCATAGTATTCTTCTTTCTAAACAAATGTTGTTTCCAAGATCTCAGAACTATCTTTAAACTAATTTTTTTTTGCAAAATCTTCTAATTAAAAATCAACAGAACCTTTATCATGTTGACATTGAAATTGTACATTGTTGACAGTATCACCTCTAACAATGGAGGCATTATAAACAATAACATCCACATGATGTAAATGCCCTATCGAAATATTGATGCAGAAGAATTTTTTTTTTTAAAAAAAGTTTTAGTGGCATTTCTAATACCAAATCTTACTTCAGTATCTTCTGATCCTAATATTGCAAAGATGGCAACACAATATTTTCTGTATCTGTTTTATAACAAATCAAATAATCAAACCCAGCAAAAGAATTACCTTGAAAATCTTCACAGATGCTACCCATTGCCCAATTTCGAATCTGCAATCGATGTAGCTTGTCCCTTGATTAAATATGCCATCTTGCAATTTTCTACTCCAACTCAATAATTTCAACAGGGCTGAGAAGTCGATCTTAAACGATTTGGATGCATGATTGCAGATGAAAGAGAGACTATATGAAAGGACATTAGATCTTTTGGTTCGTCTATGCCGTTTGAGGTTTTTTGCATCCACTGAAGTCAACAGAAACGATGGAAAGTTATACACATATAACCAGATGGAAAGTTAAATGATGGAAAGGTTGTAGTAGAACGTTTTAGGATCCTGATCTTAATCAGGCATAAAATGGCATCAGGGAACTGATATTATCCATGTGGCATGTTTGCTGCATTATGATCTCCCAAAGGACATCAAGCAACCATTTGTTGCACCAAGCTCCTATTTCTTAAGAAATCCATAAATAAACAAAAGAGGGCAGTATGATCAATGTTCTAAATCACTGAATTGAGCAGGTACATAAATCAATTGAAAAAGGACTTTTAAGTTTAACTTTGAAAGCCATATGAAAGTTCAAGACAGTTACATGAAAATACTTCTTTCATTAAGTAAAAGGGATTATTACTTCAGTTTCAGCACATTATCATTGAGCCAAGTTCACTTCAGCTAGCTCCATGGAATGCTGGATGATTAGATCCTTCATTAAGTATTCCTGAAATCAAGAAAGTGTATGTAATTTAACAAAGCATGAATTTAAGGAGCCCTTAAGCGAAACTGAGTGTAAAGAGCATGAAGAAAGTGTGCATCTTTGTGTACATAAAATAGTGACAAACACCAACAATTCCATATCCTCATAGGGGATTATATCCCAGTACTCAAAACCACAGCCGAAACTGACTACCTCCACACAAAAAATAAGAATATGTAGGATGAAAGAGAATTAGGAGCAGAATCAAACCTCTACGTTCTTTGATTTTTCCAGCCATACATAGATGGGGAATGAAACAAACTGGGAGTAGTTCTTCTCCAAATTCTGAATTCTTGTACTGGGAGCAAAACAAAAAAAGAAATTAGGTTTATCAAGATCCTTTTATCCCTCTATTCTTATAAGAAATTAAGTTTATAAAGTTGATATTATCCCTCTATCCTACACAACCTTCTCCTTAGATCAAACCAAATATTCATCCGATTTAACGGCAAAGGAAAACAAAAAAATCAACTTGAATCCATACGTGCCCTGAATGTTAAAGTGATTCCTTTAACTGAAACTAATAATTAATTCATGAAACCAAAATCGTGCCAAAAAAAAAAAGAAAGCCAAAGTTGAATGAATAGATTCATTAGCAAAACTCAAGATAATATTTAACTAAACCCGAGGACCAAAATAATTGTAAAAGAACTATATTTGAAATTAATTGATTAACAACTAATGACCCAGTTTTTTTTTTTTGTTTTCTTACGGATCTCAGACTTACAATCATTAACATGCCGGTGTAGCCTCTCCGTAACCTTCCACTGCGACCGTCGCTGCTGCGCTCCTCCCACGGCTGGCTTGTCATCCTCGAAGACTCCCATTCTTTTCTCATCTTCAATCTCCTCACCGAATCCAAACTCAGCCTCCTGATTAATGAATACTTCACCCCCTCCTCGTTCTCAATCTGAAGTTGAGAGGATGAATCAGGAAAAAGAGAGGTGACAATGATTTTTCTTTCTGGCCTTTTTTTTGAAAATTGAAAGTGATTAGAAAGATTGGATTTTGATGCGATTGATTCAATCTTGATGAATAAATTAGAATAAATCAAAACTTAAAGCGAGATGAATAAATCAGAAAGGGGAATAGGGGATTATACGGGAAGAAATTTCTCATCAACTCACTAACTGAACCTCTTGCGGAGCAGCCTGAACCTCCACCGCTATTTCCTTGGAGCTTGGGGTTGAAAGAGAGAACAACATCGTGTGGGGAAGGGGGAGTCATGTTCCTCATTCTCATCTTCTCTGGTGCGGTCGGATGGATTTGTTTTGTTTTTCTGGAATTCCAATTGGCAGAGAGAGGATAACGGAATCGATTTGATCCTTTACAATTGAAATCGAAATATTGTGATTGATGGAAGATACTTTTAGGATTAGCCCGCATTGATTTTCAGCAATGAACTTGTAGAAAATTAGGGATTCTATTGCAGTTAATTTTTCCGGTTTCCTTGCTGAAAAGACTTATTTTCTGGAAATGGACAAGAACAAATTTTTAACATAAATTACAGAGACAATGAATTTATAGAGACTTTTATTTTCCCAGCGTATGAAATTAGTTTCCTCCCTCAATTGAGGGATTTTAAATTTTAAAACTTTCATTAAAATTTGCTATTGCTATAACTAATCTCAGTGATAAAATTTCCTGCAAATATAAGAAGCCACATGGCGTATTCGCCTTCATTCGGTTTTGTACTGAGAAGCGCTGAGAAGCTTTAGAGGGAAGCCATGTATCCTAAGTGTTTGCTGTTTTAAGTAAGTACTATAGATACAAAATGGTCATATTAACTTGCTCTCATCTATTTATCAGACCTAGCTATAATGAATTAGTCTCCACAACTCTTTTTTGAAAAAACTGAAGTTTTATTTTATTTGTTTTATGTACACTAATCAATAATATCCTTTGTTAATATCAGATGATGCCAGGAAGCCGTATTGCCGTTTCTAGCAGTAGAGAACAATTGTTAAAAACAAGTATAAAAAAGAAAAAAGTATCAAATGGTTCACCAAGTATTTCCTTGTACATATGCCGATAAGCCAATTCTTTTTCTTGTTTGCACCGACGTACGCTTTCCATTTCCTCGTGATTGATCTTTGATAGACTCAGAACATGTAATATGCCTCTCATAAAAATTCTTATTCGATAAAACATTAAATATAAAAGTTAAAGATTTTGAGCTTTAATTAGGTTAGTCTAAAATTCCAATCGGCAATTTTGTGATCGATGCTGCCGACATGCAGATTTCGATTTTGACATTGACGAAAAGAACACATTATTTGTCAACCGATGCTAATGTCACATTCTGGCGGAGTGAATATTTTGGTGGACCGTCTCCGTATGTGAAATTGCGAGTTACATTATCTTTGTAATATAATACTATGAAATTGTTGTATATATAATTGGTTCAAGAATTTGCCCGTTTCTTGGTAATAAAGAAAAAAAGATCATGCAAACATGCAGATATTAATATATATACCGAGTCATCATCCATTTGTGCATTCTTCTCTAAACCATGCAAAAAGTTGATTTTTTGATGATATCAAATAGATTCAAATACCACATCAAGAAACCCTATTTCCATTATTTCCAGGAACTCCAGAAAACATCAATGGAGTTTTCATCGCAGGGATTATTTCTCTTCTTATCTTTGATGATTTCAGCTCTATGTGCTTCCCTGTTTAAAATAACTATGATGAAGACGAAATGGAGTCAGCTTGACTTAGGCGAACGTCGAGAAGATCAAAGGGTTTTGCCATTGCCAGGGACAACAGGATGGCCTATCATTGGAGAAAGTTTGGATTATTTCTCCAAGATCAAGAACGGAAACCTCGAGAAATTTGTAGCTGATCGGATGGCGAAATATTCCTCAAAAATCTTTGGGACTTCATTGTTAGGGCATTCTATGGTGGTATTCTGTACTCCAGAAGGCAACAAGTTCCTGTTTTCGAACGAGAGGAAATTAGTCCAAGTATGGTGGCCGAGTACGGTGAACAAAATCTTCCCCAAGACGGATAATAAGCCAAGCCACGAACACTCGAACAAGCTTCGCAACATGTTACAGGTGATCTTCAAAATTGATGTACTCAAGACTTACATTGGCACAATGGATGATGTAATGAAACAACATTTGGAAAAGCATTGGGATTCGAAAGAAGTAATTGTCGTAGGTCATATGGTAAAGAAGTTCTTATTCACATTGGCTTGCAATGTATTCTTTGGCATTGATGATGCTGAGAAAGTTGACATGTTTGCAAGAGGGATGGAAAATGTGGAGGCTGGAATCGTCGCGCTACCTTTTAATTTGCCTGGAACTGCTTTCCGTCGCGCTGTTAAATCATCCAAAGTTCTTCTTAAAGAGGTCGAATCGACTGTAAAGCTAAGAAGAATCGTAATGGATGCTAATTCGGGGCAGTACAGTAACCCTGGAGGGAAAGTGAAGGACTTCATGTCCTATTTGATTATGGAAAGAAATGATGATGGGAAACCCTTTAAGGATGAAGATATTGCTAGCCATTTAGTAGGTTTGTTGTTGGCTAGTTTTACTACTATGCACAGCACCATGACCAACCTCATGAAGTATCTCTCTGAATTTCCTCATATCTATGATTCCGTCCTCCGAGGTAATTAATTCACAAAAGTCATATTTGTTGAATAAAACAGTATAATAAACGTGATCCTGTATTTTTCTTTCTTTTCCTATATATATATATATATATATATATTCACCTTCTATATATGTTGGGAACAGAACAAAACGAAATTCTAACAGCAAAGGGAGGAGAAGATAAGGAACTATGTTGGGAAGATTTAAGGAAGATGAAATACAGTTGGAGTGTAGTGTCTGAAGTTTTAAGAGTGTTGTCACCAAGCACCGGAAGCTTTAGGGAGGCCATTACAGATTTTACTTATGAAGGATACACAATTCCAAAAGGTACAAAGGTAAGCAATCATTATTCTATTTTTTTGACTCTTTTTTTTTTTTTCCCGTATGGTTGAAGTGTGACCAACAATATTAATTTTAAAAAATTCTATATACATACATTGCAGATTCATTGGATATTTCATGCAACCCACAAAAACCCGAAATACTTTCCGGAACCAAATAAATTTGACCCGTCAAGATTTCAGGGGGACAATCCTCCAAGTCCTTATACATTTGTTCCCTTCGGAGGTGGACCTCGGATGTGCCCCGGAACTGAGTATGCTCGGTTGGTGATACTAGTTTTTATGCACAATGTGGTGACGAAATTTAGATGGGAAAAGAAGTGCCCTAATGAGGGAATGATATATATTCCTACTCCAAGACCAATGCATGAACTTCCTGTCTGCCTTCATCCTCACAATTAATTCCTAGGTTTTTCCAAACTAATGGTAATTTTCATAATATTTTGTTTTACACCATGTTTTGGTTTTCCAGATTATTGGTTGTATCATGTACGCCGTAGATTCTGGTCGGATGTACAAAAAGGACCATCACGTTATTTTATGATTTATGTTCATGACACAAACTATGAATAATTCTTCATTCGATTCTATTTATGATACAGAAATTAAATCTAGTCGTGTAAATGGGGTCATAAGCAGTGCTACATTTTATTTTATTTTAAAAACAATGAGAATTTCGATTCTGCTGTAGATGCAGAACCATCATGAAGTCAATTGTTAGAAACCAAAATATAAACTACATAAACATAAATTAGAATGAAGTTTAATTTTTATTTTTGTCTTATGTTTAGGACAGAGGCACGTACAGTATTTTCTCGGTTACGACATTTCATTCCTTGTATTTGGCAACTGTCTCCACTGGCTTTCTATATAAATCAACTTCTGTTAAAAAAGAATGCTTAATTACTGTGTAATTTGCAACTATCCTTCGTCTCCGAAATGATCTTACATTGACTTTGAAATGGAAAAGAAAAAAAACGCATAATCACATACGTCATCATGTGTTTATAGAACGAAGAAAAATCTCACCATGTGAAAATTCTTACACATTCAAAAATTAAAAATTGTTTCAATAAACTAGTTGAACTTTTCAACACTTTAATTTACTTATGATTGACGTCCCATTTAAATGTTTTATTTTTTATTATATTATTTTATTACAACAAACATAATTATTGAAATTGAACGGAGAATTTTAAAACATGTCTCCTATTCCAAATTTCGTGTTGTACCTCAAAATAAGAAAAAATTAAAATCAAAATCACCTGATGACTGGTAATTGTACTTCAACTCATGGTAATTAAGTAGAATTTTTTGAAGGAAAAAAAGTTTTTTTTTCTGTTTTTGGACATTAGATTTTTTTAAGCCACTCTTATTGAACTAAATTCATATTCAATAAATACTGTAGTCATTGTTACGTGTAATGTCAAAGCTCCACCTTGTCCTGATCAAGACAATATTTTCGTTGAGTGCAAGCCAATCCTCAAAGGGAAAAATCCATTCCCTTCTGACTTCAAACGAATGGACTATCTAAAATCAAGTCATGAGTTGTGTCCTGAATTATGTTATTATCGTTTCCAAAATGATTATTCGGTTCGAAGCTATGTTTTCAAAACTGAACCGGCCCGTGCGGTCGAATCTGTTAGCCCGGGAACCGTAAGTTTCAACGGTCCTGTTTCTATAAAAAAATCGAATTTTGTAAAATCCGATCAAATTCGGACAAAATCGCGGTTTGACTGGAAACCAGTACCAGTTAAACCGGTTTTTACATAAATTTTTTTAAAAATTAATTTTTAAATGTTTTTTAATATTATTTTGACCGATTTTCACCGATTTCGAGAAACGAATTAATCAGTTAACCCGGTGAACCCACCAACTCGGTCACGCTAACGGTTTACCTTCCGGTCCGGTTTTCAAAATATAGGTTCGAAGTTTCATTTTCAATACATGAGATAGAGGGAGCAACATAAATTTATACTAGTTAGAGCCATTTTCTTTTCTTTTGAGAAAAAAACTATGTTCTCCCTAGCAGTTAATTATACCCTTCAAAAAAAAAAAAGTAGTTAATTATAAAGCTTCCACAAAATGGGTTAAAGTCAAATAGTATTTGTTTGGAGCTTTTAATTGTTTTGAGTAGTTGTCAATAATTATATAGTCTTTGTTCCATAAAAATGTTTGGTTGTTTTAATGATGGACGAAGTATCATGAATCTTGTTACAACAATATAAAAATATTAAGACAGTCAATTCAATTCTGGCATATATTATTGAGAATAGACCGTACACGTCCTTGCTGACAGTTTATACAAAATCTTAGTAGCCTTTAAATTCTGCATCAAGATGATGCATTTCCTGTATCCACATTCCTGTTTCAAACTAAAATTTAGTCCAGAATGATGGAATCGTCCTCTATTCTTGTTGTTCTGTTGTTCATACTTCCGCTAGTATACTTGTATTTTCATAAAATCAGGCTGAGCTGTAAGTCCAAAAGACTTCCTCCTGGAAGAACAGGATGGCCAATTCTAGGCGAAAGTTTGGAGTACTTGTCCAAAATCCAACAAGGTATCCCGTATGAATTCGCCAAGGAACGAATGAACAAGTATTCTTCCACGGTTTTCAGGACATCATTGATTGGACAGAATATGGTGATGTTCTGTGGTGCTGAGGGGAACAAATTCCTGTTTTCCAATGAGAAAAAGCTGGTTCAGGTTTGGTGGCCGTGCACGATGGACATGATATTTCCCAAGTCGGATAACAGGCCTAGTAGCGAGCATTCGAAAAAGTTAAGAAAGATGCTTCCGGTTATTCTCAGGACAGATGTACTCAGAGAATTTGTTGGTACTATGGATGCAATAATGAAAGATCATCTGCAGAAGTACTGGAATCGCAAAAATGTCAATGTTAGCGATTTGGCGAAAAAATACCTGTTAACTTTGGCATGTAGTACTTTTTTAGGCATTGATGATGAAAGGAAGGTTGATGAACTTGCGAAAGGAACAGAGGACATTGGAAGTGGTATTCATTCCATGCCCTTCAATCTGCCAGGAACGGCTTTAAATCGAGCTATCAAAGCTTCCAAGATTATGCGTAAAGAAGTTGAGGCGATGATTCACCAAAGAAGAATTGATCTGTCGGAAAACAATAGTCCTTCGCCTTCTCCAAAAGATTTCATGTCTCATATCCTTCTGGAGAAAGATGATAATGGTCAGTTCTTAAGTGATGGAGACATTGCCAGCCATTTGATAGGTTTGGTTCAGGCGGGGTATACAACGGTACATAGCACAATTATTATCATGATGAAGTATCTTGCTGAGCTTCCAGATGTGTATAATCAAGTCCTGTTAGGTAATCTTTTAAGGAAACAAATTTGTCAAGAAGATTGATTTAGTTTTTTGTCCTCCTCTAACATGTGTTCATGTTGCAATGCAGTTATGCAGATGGGATTTTTCCAAGATACCTTAATTAATTATTTCTGGTTCCTAGTGAAAGTAAATAACCTGGTTTCTATAGTTTTTCTCTTACTTAGTAGAAGCATGCCTAATAACACTGCCATAGTTTTTTTCTGCATTAAGTGATTCAAATTAATGGATGCACTGAGGATTCAGTGCTAACAAGAAAGACAGATTCTGTTTTTTACTTTTCTTAACATTCAAGCTCATTTTCCATCAGTACGAAAGAATATTGCTGATAAATTATCAAACTTCTGTTTCCGGTGAAAAGAACAAGAAGAAGTCTCGAATTCAAAGAAACCAAACGACAGACTTAGCTGGGAAGATTTATGGAAGATGAAGTATTCTTGGAATGTTGCGCTTGAGGTGTTGAGGGTATACACACCAGGAACCGGAAGTTTCAGGGAGGCTATAACAGACTTAGTGTACGATGGATATACAATTCCAAGAGGTTCCAAGGTAATAAATTTCAGAGTGCTTGTCCTTAATCTCTCAAAGGTACACTCATGGTTAATTCCCAAGAAAACTAGCTTTTAGCCTAGACATTTTCCCTTTTGCAGATCCACTGGATTTTCGACGCCACACACAAGAACCCTGAATGTTTTCGCGATCCTGAAATCTTCAATCCTTCAAGGTTTCAAGGAGACAACATTGCTCCTTACACATTTGTGCCGTTTGGAGGAGGATCGCGAATGTGTCCTGGAAATGAATACGCGAGGCTGGCGATCCTTGTATTTCTACACAATGTGGTGAAGAAATTCAGATGGGAGAAATTATATCCTGGTGAAGAAGTTGTTCATTATCCAGTTCCTAGGCCAGCTCATGGACTTCCAGTTCACCTGATTCCCCACAAGCCTTGAAATCTGAATGACAGAGAATCAAGTCTTATATAATTGTTGCTTTGTCAGAACTGATAGCTTTAGTGACTAAGTCTTGATGATCATGGATTAAAGAAGTACTTTCCAGCAATTAAATTATTATGGAGATGTGCCCCAATCTGAATATTTTACTTTTCTCTTTCCCTTGACTTCATTTTTAGCTTATTTCATACCAGTTTTTCATTCCCAAAATCCCAGATGAACCAGTTTTTCGAATATGAAAACCATAACGATTTTGATCTAAGATCTGTTTCCCTTGTTAAAGCTAAAACAGGATAACGATTTTGATAACTCCAGATTATGGAGCTATCACTTGCTGCTTTCCTTCTTGTCACTCTATTTCTTTTGCCATTTGTATTGGTCCACAAAATCAGCTATGGAAGAAACTCTCGGTTACTTCCTCCTGGAAGCTCAGGCTGGCCTTTTCTAGGGGAAACTTTAGATTATTACTTCAAGATTCAATCTGGTGGTCTTGGACAGTTTATCACATCTCGGAAGACTAAGTATTCCTCTAAAATTTTTAGGACATCATTGATGGGACAGCCAATGGCAGTATTCTGCGATGCGGAAGGGAATAAATTTCTGTTCTCCAATGAGAATAAGTACTTCAAGCACTGGTGGCCTAGCACAGTCGACAAACTGTTCCCCAAGTCGAACAAAAAGCCTAACACCGAGCACACGAAATTGTTGCGCAAGCTCCTGACTTTCGTGCTTAAGAGAGACGTGCTGAGGGAATACATCAGTACTATGGATGCAGTGATGAAACAGCATTTGCATACATATTTCAACTGCCAGGAATTGAAGATTGATGATGTTGCAAAGAGGTATGTATTTAAATTAGCATGTACATCATTTTTAGGCCTCCATGATCAGTGGAAAATTGAAGACCTTGAAAAAGGAATTCAGGATATAGGCATGGGTCTTAGTTCGATGCCCTTAGATTTTCCGGGAACCGCACTACACCACGCCATCAGAACATCGAATCTGATGCGCGCACAGTTTGAGAAAATGGTTAGGCAAAGGAAACAGGAACTCTCAGATCACTGCTCATTCTCAGGCAAGGACTTCATCTCACACATGCTCCAAACTGTGGATGAAGATGGTCAGTTTATCACAGAAGCAGACATGGCCTGTCTTTTAGTTGGTTTACTACAAGGTTCCTATACTAATGTTCACAGTACAATTACCAACACAATGATGTATCTTTCGGAGAATCCTGAAATTTATGACTCGGTACTAAGAGGTAAGATCACAAGTTAGCCCCATGATTAAAAAACCCGTGTATTTTGTTGAACATCTGTGTGAATCTGGTGTATATCTGTCAAAACTAATCATGCAAGTATCAAACTCGAGAGAGCATTTTACAAAAGCTTAGAAAGGAACTTGATAAGTGTTAATATTTGACCTCACATATTTGGGTTTATGATGGTGGCAGAACAAAAGCAGATTGCAGATCAAAAGGATCCAAATGACTGCCTCAATGCAGAGGATTTGGGAAAGATGAAGTATTCATGGAATGTGGTGTGCGAAGTGTTGAGACTAAAACCACCAGTACATGGGTCATTTAAAGAAGCCAAAACAGATTTCAACTACTCCGGGTATACTGTACCAAAAGGTTGGAAGGTAAGCTCTATTTAACATCCTGAATTTTAATGTCAGTCATTTTGAACACAACTCTCTAATGAATACTGGCTGTCTTGATCACATCTAATACAGATTCACTGGATCGCACATGCCACACACATGAATCCAGAGTATTTTCCGAATCCTGAGAAGTTTGATCCATCGCGGTTCCAAGGGGAAGGTCCAGCTTCTTATACATTTATGCCATTCGGCGCTGGAGCCCATATGTGCCCAGGAAATGAGTATGCGCGACTAGCAATACTCGTGTTTCTACACAACGTGGCGACTAGATTTAGGTGGGAAAAGACAATTCGTGATGAAAAAGTCTTACACTATCCATTTCCCAGACCAGCTTGTGGACTTCCTGTTAAACTCTATCCTCATGATCCTTAAGACTTTTATGTAGGTCTTTCAATCCGTTATGAGCATATCCACTGCAAGACTGAAATTGTCTTGGACCATTTCTGTGTACTGCTATACTGATCTGCCTGAATCGAGAAAATTCGCAGAAATTGTTTTGTGTATTTTACCTTTATTAAGTAACAAAATAGGGACAATTAGTTTGTTTTGTGTGTGAAACTTTTAAACTGATGAGAATTGATGATATCAGAAATAAGACATGATGGTCAAATATACTGCATTCTTCCTATATTCCCCACTCAGATAAACTTTGCCTCCTTAAGCAGCCCAGGGCCAAACAAAAATGACAAATCCTGTCCTAAATCCATTGCCTCAATTTTATCTCATATCATCTTGGTTGTAACCAACATCAGATTTCATTCTGTTTTTTGTACATAGTTCAATCAGTTGCAAGTTGTTGCAATCTCTAACAACTCAAAGAAACAGTATATATTCCACAAAGCAGTTGCAATTTATTCAATCAGAAACTTAAAACCTCATAAATCAGCAGAGTTGCTTCAGTCTACAAGTTTGTTTCCCGCTGATATATATACTTCTTTATCCTCAGCAACAATAGCTCCAACTATGATAAACGAACTGTTTCACATTTCAATTCTTCTTTCTACTGTAATTATCTTTTCTAGTTTGTGCTTTCGCAAGCGCAAACCAAGGGAAAAATCCCCAGTTGCAACCAACAATTATGATTCTAAAGGAAAAATTCTTCCTCCAGGTGGGACTGGATGGCCGCTTATTGGTGAAACTTTGGATTATTTCTCTAAAGTTAAACAAGGGATCCCTCAGAAATTCGTGATGGATCGAATGAACAAATATTCATCCAAGGTTTTCAGGACTTCTTTGATTGGTGAGTCAGTAGCAATATTGGGTAATAATGCAGAGGGAAACAAATTTCTGTTCTCAAATGAGAAAAAACTGGTTCAGGTTTGGTGGCCTAGTTCAGTTGAGAAGATTTTTGCCACCTCCGAGAATAATAAGTCCACAAATGAGTACCTGAAAGGGATGCGAAAACTCTTTCCATTGATCCTAAAACCAGATGTTTTAGTAGAACACATTGGGAAAATGGATGATGTGGTGAAACAACATTTTCAGACATATTGGAAGTGCAAAGAAGCTGTGATCAATGTAGGTGAAATGTCGAAAAAGTGTATCTTTTCAGTGGCTTGCAACCTTTTTCTGGGTATCAATGATGCAGCAAAAATCGACCAACTCGAAAAGATTGTAGATGAAGTAGCTACTGGTCTTCATTCAATGCCTATAGATCTGCCCGGAACAGCATTGAATCGTGGGATCAAAGCATCCAAGCACATGCGAAAAATAGTTGAAACAATGGTTAGACAAAGAAAACATGATTATTTCTCTGCACGGCAGAAAATTTCTGTTTCAGAAGTGGACTTCATGTCACGATTGATTCAAGCAAGAGATGAAAATGGTGAAAATTTGAAGGAAGAAGATATAATCAGCGTTTTGGTTGGTTTAATGGAGGGTGGCTATGCAACTCTTCACAACACAATCACAGTGATCATGTATCAGCTTGCAGAGTTTCCTGATGTATACAATTTAGTCTTGACAGGTAACTTATCAAGCATCCTATACCTATGTACATTATCATTGATTTTTAGTTTATTATTTTGGGATGATGTTTATATCATAATCTGTCTGGGGATTTATTAGAACAAAAGGAGATTGCCAAGTCAAAAGAAACAGGAGAAAAACTCAGTTGGGAGGATTTAAGGAAGATGAAGTATTCATGGAATGTTGTGTGTGAAGTATTGAGAATTCTGCCCCCCGGAATTGGGAGCTTTAAGGAGGCTATCACCGATTTCTCCTATGAAGGCTACACAATTCCAAAGGGTTGGAAGGTACATCTAGATTTGGAATGTTAGAAGCAAAAGTTTTAACTTTCATCATCATCACAAATTCACAATAACAATTATTCATTTACAACTCTCTTTACAGATTCACTGGATTTTTCACAGCACGCATAAGAATCCGGAATACTTTCCAAATCCAGAGAGTTTTGATCCTTCAAGGTTCCAAGGAGATGGTCCGATTCCATACACATTTGTTCCGTTTGGAGGAGGATCTCGAATGTGCCCTGGGAATGAATACGCCCGAGTAGCCATGCTTATTTTCATGCATAATGCGGTGACCAAATTCAGATGGGAAAAATTTATTCCAAGTGAGGGAATTATTTACTACCCTTATCCCAGACCAGCTCAAGGACTCCCAATCCGCCTTCATCCTCACAATCTGTGAAGAAGATTTATGATATTGTTGGAAGTTACTTGGAAGTTGAATCCAGGACGACCCTTTGCCAGTTGCCACGAATAAAGACGATGCCGAGCTGTTATTGAAAGTCTTCGCCCTTTATCAAACCATTATAGGTTGAGCGATGGAAGTTTGACGTTATTTTGATACTTCTACTGAAACTGAAGATCATTAAATCAGTGCATTCAGAATAAAATGTGATCCCATAATAACTTTTGCTATTATTCATTTGGTCTTGAACTGAATTATTCCTTCCTGTCTCAACTTTAAACCTTACGTAGTAACAAAATCCAATAGTTTAAACAATGAACAATCAGGATTTCTAGAGATAAAAGGGTGAGTTTGAACCCGGTAATATTACCATTCTTATCATTTGATACTTTGATAGTAGGTTACTGTTAGTAGCAATAGGTTGCCACAGGGATTCAATCATCGAGCGCCCTTCGTTTAACTTAGCTGACTTTCAATGTCTTCTGACTTACATTTCTTGGTGAATTTTCAGTTTTCATTGAAGGTAAGAAAGTGTACTAAGAATGTTAAACATATATTAGATAATTAGGGGTGAAATGGACTCGGTTAAGCTCAGCCATCGGGATGACTATCGTCTTCAATGAAGCATATAGTGCATTTTCTATTGAATGGTTCTACATACCAAACGGTCAACCCTTAAGCTAAGAAGTCTACCATCTGAAATTTGCTCTCCACAATCGCTATCAAAGGTGTCCCATTCTCCAACAACAGGGGTAAAGAAAACTGAAAGAAAAGGCAGAAACAAACAAAGCAGGCACACAAATACAATACAAATCATCAAATTAGTAATCAAATAATTAGGTGACTAGTGTGCAGTATGTGAATCTATTCTCATTTACAAGGCCCTAGCTCCTTGCGAGTTACTAGTCTCTAGCATCCAGTGTATAATGTACAGAATTTTCTACAGCATAATATGTATCAAGCACTAGGATTGAAACCAAGAAAGGTAGGCTTTGGTTGGCTACTAAAACCTGAATTGTTTGAGATGGATTGGGGCATACGAACATGTTGTGGCTGCTGATGACTGGACGGGCTATTTCCAAAGCTACTGAAGGTCTGAGTTTGGGGAGGAAATTGCGGCGGCAGTCCTCTGTTAAAATTGTTAACATTGCCAGTTGGTATTTGACCAGCCATAATCTTGAGTCGCTGCACTTCTTCTCTCAATGCCTCGTTCAATGCTGAAATGATGTGAAGTATTAGTGATCCATGCAAAATGATAAAAAGATTAAACAAGACGAAGCTTTTATGCAAGAATGCTCCCTCAGCGGCTCAGTGCCTTTGAGATGCTAACAATTAAGCTTGATTACAAAAACCTTCAGTTTCTCAATTTCACACAACTTCAAAAAGATAGCCATCAGATTCCTATATTTTAGATTAGTAACTTAATAGCACACAAATCTGTATAGTACGATTTCCCAACTTTACAAAGAATCAGAGACCCAGAAAATGCCTAAAATAAAGGCACACACGAAACATATTAAGCTAGTTTTCTGGGAAATTAAATACTATGGAATCTTGACCAAGTATGAATCTATTCCTTCCCTGAATGACCTTCGTCATATGCCCTCCGCCTTTTGCCTACATGATCGGCAAGTGGCAACATTACAAGGATAAATAAGCCTAACATGAAGGTCAATTCCGTTGGTTGTCTGAAGAGAAATAACAACTATGATGTGAGGGAAAGGAAAAGAGCGTTGCTAATAAGAAATCAGATCGCACATAGATAGGTTGTGGACTGGCATGGTTATCAGGGGAGGCAACACCAGACAAAAATCACTGTCAAAAGGTAGCTTAAGATTCCAAACTCCTTGCTGAACTAATCTCTTCACATTCCCATCAAAGGTGAAACTTTGAACAATTATTTGAGCTGAACCAGAAGAAGATTTTAGCCTTTTACAAGGTGGACAAAACCATTAGCAGCTCAAGGGCATCGGGTTCAAGATTCAAATACTAGTGCATGATTATATTTCACTTTGCCCAAAAAGCTAAAAAGTGTAGGCATGATTATAGTAAAGATGAGAAAGTGAAAATTTTCATGAATTCCTATAGTGACGGATGTGAAAGCAACATGCCTGAACAAAACTGAATAACCGGAGTGATCATTGTTCAATGGCATTCGACATGCAGATGCAGTTTCAGTCATTGGAATGATGTTGATAATTTTTACCGAGCATAGCATTGCACTCAATCAAGCATTTGTTTGTACTACAGTCGTGTCATTAGAAAATTACAGGGATGAACAGCGCAGATGCCGTTGACAATGCATAAGAAAATGGAAAGGCATAAATGTCTACATTATATCTAAAAATGAGAAGAGAATGTAATGATACATACCATCCCTAAGATGAGCTTGCTGTTCCATAGCCTCTAACCGCAATTTGAGCTCCTTGTTCTCATTGGTCAGCCCCGTAGTGTCTCTCTGCACAACATGAAATCAAATTTAACTTCAGAAATTTTCATACTTCAAACTTTGTGTAAGTCATGTTCATTTATTACTGCATCAGAATGTGTAGAGTTGAGCATCGGTGAAATTTAGAACATGCAAATTTGGGAGCTTGGTAAACACTGTCAAGGTTTCATTTCTGACCTCCATTAGGCAAAACAAGAAATTCCATTAGAAACAAGAGAGAGGCCTGGTTGTTTAACCATAAAATTTCAAATCTGTAAATAGAATAATTGCAGAAAGCAGCTAAGGGAGAATGTTGGGTCGTCGTTATTCCTTTCCTATAACAATGCTTTCCAGACTGCAAACGAAGAACATGAGCTGTAAAATTCTGCTAAATTCATTTTTTCCCACTATTTTTTGTTTAAGCATTCATACATGCAGAAATTTGAAAGCTTTTACATAGGAGATCAAGGAAGTGATATGAAACTAATGGCAATCTAGTTTTAAAAACTTGATTTGATGTTAATGCAACTTCCTTCAAAATTTGGTGCCAATCCCTTTTATGTATAGAGAGAAACTAAATTTTCTTAAATTATCTTCCATGCCAAAGGCATTCTAGGTTCCTTGCGCCCGTTTACTACTTTTAGAGTGTTTCCTTGTTGAGTATAGTATACAAACCATATGTTTTCTCTTTTCTTGTGAGGTATATGTAACATGTTTCTCTGTATGATAACCCACAGGTTTCGCTCAAAGAAAGCTCACTTGTACGGCTGGAAACACTATAAACTAAGATCAAAGTCTTGTATATTTGTCAGCTGGAGGATGAGAGCTTCTTCAGAAAACTGCAGACATCCATCTGCTAGCTTCTCTTTTAAACTGCTCATTTCCTGTGGGCTGCATTTTCACAGATTCAAATACTCCATTCTAGTTCATCTCTTTTCCCGAATGATAAGGAAAGACCTCAAGAATGGAACTAAGATTTGCCTTCTATTTTAATTTAAGCAGCAAGGAAGGAAGTGCAATGAGCTGGCTACTTTTTTATCATTCTTTTGCTACAGTATAGCATGGAAAAGACTAAAAGATATTTATGAACAAATGAATGACCTTCAAATACACAATTCAGATAAGTGCTAAAGATCAAAACCATGGTTCGCTAATGCAGGCAAATTTACTTGGGCTCCCTCAACTGAAATAATGTACTCCGTAAGTGTTAATTTCAAACTTTATGTAAAAGAAATGGCAGAATTATGAAAATTTAATATCAGCATAGATGGTAAGCAAACTAAACATTTAGAATACACATTGACGAAAAATGACAAACTTATGTATGGAAGGATTCAATTTATGTGTCATAATATATCAAAAACACCAAAAACAATAAAATATCACAGACCTGCAGCATTGTCACTTGTGCAGACAAGGTTGTTGCTTCCGTCTGTAATGTTTGTACTTTTCTCTCCAGCTCGCTAGTATAGCGTATTTTCCTTTCCTTTGAACGAGCTGCAGATTGCCTATTTGCAAGAATCCTAGAATTTACAAACAAGAGAAACACTATAGTTAATTAAACTAGCCATCTGACAACTAAACTTTTACCATCACTCACGTAGGTAGCAGAATTGATTGACTCAAGGATATAAAGAGTGAAAGGTATTTGGGAAGAACAGATAAAAAGTTTGGACAATCAGAACACAGAGAAAGTGTAAGGAGTTGGAGAAAGAAAAAAAGGAAAACTAAAAATGGACGATAATGCAGTTCTTCAGTTCAGAACAATTTGAGGATTGGTCAATTGTAATTCTTAGACAACTAATTCCTGTCTTGATCCCAATGAAGCAACTGAAAAAATGACATATGGCCAATTTTCAACCTCTTTCTTCAAGTTTAAGCACACATTATTCCGGGCAAACCAAATAATTAAAAACCAAACTATTATGAGTGAAATGCGACCAAAACACAATTTTTAGTTAAAAAATTAACTGATTTCGTAACCACATCCATATGATTCAGAAGGAAGAAGAACAAGCAAAGCAATGACCTAGAACAATATACAGAACCCACTAATGAAAGGCTAAGTTTGGAGATCCAAAGGCATGAAATTTTCAAAAAGTAAAAAATGAATCATAGCTATTAGAAACATATTGTTAAAGGAACTATGAAGAAAAAGAAGAAGAAAACAAGTACTAATAGACTTTAAATCATGTAAGATGAAAAGGAGGAGAAGGAAAAAAAAAAAGTTTGAACCTTTTAGCTCTTTTGGGATCGATCAAAGCGAGCTCATGAAGCTTCTCGGCGTTGGAACTCTTCTTTTCAGTGTCCACCATCAGAGCTTCAAAAGAGGTAGCCATGGCCGAATCCATTGAGTTGGTACGCGCGTGACCAACCAATCCCCCAGCCGCAGAGAAAGCACCTCCGCCGCCGCCATCAGCGGAGGAGGACGAAGACGGACCGAAATTCAACCCCTCGAAGAAATCAGCATCGACGGAGAGGCTCCTGAGATGGGCCCTCTCACTAAGCTTGACAGGCTGAGCTTGGAGCTGACCGCGGCCCGATTCGTGATTATTAATACTATTATTAGGCAACGATTGGGGCTGAAACGGGACGGATTCGGAGGAGAGTGAAGGAGCCGGAGGAAGGTCGAAAACGACATCGTCTAAGAGGATGTCATCGTCGAGCTCAGGGAAACGGAAGAACGTCTCGGATTGGGTCCGGCGGTGGTGGCCACCGCGGTTGGGCGTGTCCGGCATTTGGTCAAGGTCAACAAAGTCCGCCCGCCCTCCGCCTCTTCCGATCAAGTGTTGAGGTGTTATTGGCTTGCCGGAGAACTTTGGGTCCATCATTTCTGAGTTAACCAATGGAATAGACTGGGCGGTGGTTGTGGGTGGCGCAGGGTGATTTGAGTGGGTGGTGAAATTATTGGAGTCAAAGTTTATGGGTAAACTGTATAATACTAATAGATGGTTTTCTGTTTTAAGTTTTAACCACTGTGCAGTAGACAGTTGGATAACTCAACAGTCAACCAAACCATTAGCCCGGAGTTGACTAATTGCACATTTCAAATCACTAATCCCTTCTTCATTACAAGGTTGTCGCTTTAACGTATAATTTACTTCGTTGTATTATTATTCTAGTTTGATTTTTATGAATGATTACTTTAAACATAATTTTATTTATAAAAATTTCCATCGTATCATTCCAGCATTAAACTAACCGATTAGATCACAAAAAATTGAATCATACGAAAATGTCGCTTTACGAAAAATTGAATCCATAAAAAAGTTTTTCCTTCGACTGAAAAGGCAAAACTCTTCGAATGGGTGCCTAAGCTCAAAAAAACATATTTACTGGACTTAAATGATTTATGTTTAATATTGAACTCTGCTTTAATCGCTTACGAGTAAATATAACACGTACTATGTAACTGCATAAGTTTAGAAGTAGATATTATATTCAAGGTGTTTGCGTGTCTTTTGTTATCAAAGCGAGTAAAAATTTAGAAAATTCATTAATGTTATTTTGGTGAATGGATTTTGAAAAAGTGTTTAATTGGAAAGGTTATTTACACATAAAAGAGTTTTCCATTTTAAGTTAAAATGAAATGTTCTACAGGTAATTCAAGGTATTTGTGTCTTAATTAAGTTTTTTCATCTATTTATGGGGGAAAAGAAAAATCTTATCCCAGGCCCAAAGTTAAGGAAATCTTAATGGCCTGCCCACGGCCTTTGAGCAATAAAACAGATTCGAATGCCTAAGAATCACTCACTACTAATTAAAATGGGCCAATATTAGTTTTGGGCATTCTGGCCTGTTTGTTTTGGATGTAGATATGGAAGAAGACTTTTTTTTATTTTATCCTTCATTTTGTTATTATTTTTCATAGTAATTTTCTTTTTGGGACAGATTTTTCACAGTATAAATCATAGTAGAAAAGATAGTAGAGAGTGTGCATTTATTTTTATTGTTACAAGTATTTTAGAACAAACAATAGGATGACGGGACTAGATTTGGTTATTGGCTGGGCTGTGGGCCTTCTGGCTGTCATATGTTTGACAAATTCGATCCATTATCAGTACCAGACTAGAAAAGTAAACAAACACGTAGTCACCGACTTTCATAAATGTCATAAACAGAAACGAAATAAATATTGTTTGATTATTATTACTCAAAAAACCAAAAATTACAAATATAAAGTACATAAAACTATGGTCATGATTTGGTATAGACTCGTCACTCCGGTGTTTAAAATCATTGTCCTGGTTAATATGGATTAGAGTTAAATAGATTTTTCTTAGAGAGTAAAACTGTCTTTACAAGTATAGTTATGCTCGATTTTAATCTGAATCATAAAATATTTTTTTTCGGGTACAAAAACCCAGATCAAGCGGATATGTTTTCTAAATATAAAATATCTCCGTGCTGAGAAATCTCCATACGTTATGTGTACAAATGCTCATCATAGCTCAAAAGATGAATTATAGATAGACGCCTTTAATCACTATAACCATTCATGTGCAAAGGAAATACTAAGCGTAACGTGCGTCATTTAAAACTTGAGATGGATAATCATGGATTCATGATGTTCGACATATTTCTTCCCAATTTAATGCACGTGTAGTTCCAATCCCAAATTCATTAATGTCAATGATATCTTATTTTTGCACAGCTGAACACCGGATTTAATATTGAGGATCCAAATTCCAAATCTAAACCTCTAACGCCATGCAAACGAACGGAGCCCAAAAATATATGAATGCCGACAGATTCTGTCGTACATCTTGAAATCCTCCCTCAAAATTACTACCAATTTTGTGGTGACTAATGCAACAAAATATACTAATTAAATCACCGTCAAGAGGTATACTAAACAAATAAACTTGGACTAATCTGAGAGTGAATCAATCTATCAGAAAAGTACTCCTAGAAAAGGAGGAATCATTAATCCATCCCCTTTTTCTATTTGCGCTTGTAGACAAATTGTCAGAAACTCAGAACTGATTCCTCACAATTTTTTTTTTCTCCATCTCTTCAACCGAAAAAATGGCAAAAAATTAGAACCCACTTTAAAGCTTTTAGTTATTTAAGGAAAAGTAAAAGGCAGAGGAAATTGATATAGTGAGCGCGTTTTCTCCAATTCAGTTCCTGCTGACTCGAAACTCCGGGGGGAAGAAGTTCACTTCACAACAGTTCACACTGTATACTTTTTTGCAAGCTAGCTGGCTCATATGAAAAGAATATGAATCAGTGATTTTCATGTTCATTAAGGCCCCATGATATTGGTATATATCAATACATCCTTTTTGCTTCATTTTATTTAATTTTTTCCCATTAAGAAGGAAAACATCCTCCGTTAACTTGCACAGATTGAGGTATAAAGTCTGTGATTTGTTGAAATTTTTTGCTAGTAGCAGATTCTAGTTTCTTTTTGTTAATTTGCTCGAACCCTGTTTTTTTTCTTTTGTTTTTAAGATCAGATTTGGTAACAACTTTCCAAGAAGGCTCATTTCTGACCATTTCTTTCTCCCTTTTTCTCTAACAGCACGTTACGTTGTGAATAGCAATCCGACAAAAAGAGAGAAGGAAAAGAAAATATTAGTGGCAACTTTTTTCTTTTTTGGGTTTTTCCTTTTGATGTTCACATTTACACTTTCATGGAGGAAACTTCAGCTTAGCTTCTGTGTTCTTGATTAGGCCGGCCCAAAATTGTTTCTTTTTCTATTGTTGATCTTATCTGAGATTGATATTTTGTGTACCCTTTTTTGTGATCTGAAAGAAACTTAACAACCCTGTGAAATTTTTCACTGATATGCTCAGGTACAGGACAAAGTGGTGATGGAGAAACCAAGGAAATTCCCATTACTATTGCGGATGGTGGTCTTACTTCTCAGCATGGTTTCTGGAGTTTACATCTTTTCAATTTGTATGGAGCCCATGACTTATTTCAGGAGTAGTGATCTGTTGCGAACCAGAATGGTTCTGAATTCATGCCCAAATACTAAAATTCACTCAAGTGAAATTCCTTACATTCATTTTCCTTCTCCCAGAAACTACAGCAGGTAAACTAACACACATGAACTCTCTCACTTTGGTCATTGTTATAAGTGAAGAAGAATGAATTTTTTTTAATTTTTTTTTTTCTGGATTGATTTGTTTGTAGGCAGGAATGCGCTTGTAATCCAGTGAGGTTGTTTGCTATTATATCGATGCAGAGATCCGGCAGTGGATGGTTTGAGACGTTGTTGAATAGCCATGAAAATGTCAGCTCCAATGGTGAAATATTTGGGGCAAGAGATAGAAGGGTTAATATTTCTGCCATTTATAACATATTGGATCAAGTCTACAATCTGGATTGGTATAGCAGTTCATCAAAGAATGAGTGCTCTGCTGCTGTTGGGTTTAAATGGATGCTTAATCAGGTCAGTAATTGGCCACTGAAAAGTTCAGATTGACATAATCATACATAAATCACTATGCAGTAAGGAACAAGATCTTTTTTGGCTATCTCTGATTATCTAGTTCTGGCAGAGTATTGTATTTGTGGTGTGTGTGTGTGTGTGTGTGTGAGTCTGCTAAGTTACCAATGATTTCAGTGTGCTTTTGGCGGAACTTCTACATTAACTAACTCAATTTACTGGTAACCACACTACTGCAACAACATAGTAGTGATTACTCTTACATTTATGATGTTAATTATATGCCGTAATCTTTCTCCAGGGCACGCCTGAATACTTATATGGTCATTATACTGTATTATTCATATTCAGATCATCAGATGTGACTTTTTCAGGCCCGTCATTTTGGTCAACTTCTTGCATTCATATCTATAATGGAAATGCAAGTTCATTTACGCCATCTTGTGTTCAATGTTTCTGTAATTGGAAGTAATGTTCTATCACTTAGGTAATTGCTTAAATGCAAGTCAGCATTTATTTCCCTAAAAAGTAAAAAGTGTTAGTACATATAGCAACATGCATATGTACAAACTGGACAAGAAAAGATTAGATTGGTGGGGAAATAACAGACTAGTAAACTTTTCCTTTAGAAAAATTTACCAATTGTATGATAACCTTGTGAAGGGATTGACAGAATATCATGAAGGGATAGCAAAATACTTCAGAAAAAGAGGCGTCCATGCAATATATCTCTTCAGAAGAAATCATCTGCGCAGAATGATATCCTTGCTCGCAAATGCATATGACAAAGAGACTAAGCCTCTAAACGGGACGCACAAATCACATGTCTATTCGCCACGGGAGGTCTGGTTCTCTTCATTTTTGGCCGTTTCTTTAAGTACGCTTATTTTCACTTCTTTACTTTCTGATCTTTGCCTTGTCTAATCTTTCAGATATTCTGCATTTGCAACAGGCTCACGTGCTCGCAAGATACAAGCCTTCGCTAAATGCAACACGATTAGTGCGAGAATTAATGAAAGCCGAACAGAAGACTGCCAGAGCACTAGAATACTTCAAAAGCTCTAGAAGCATTGTTGTTTACTATGAAGATATCGTCAGGAATCGCACAGTAAGATACCCAAAGAGCTACTCTTTTGAGGTATTTCGAGCACTCATTAGCTTTTGAAACTTAACCCTGATAGCCTTGTTTCTTACATGTTACAGAAATTGATTGAAGTTCTAGACTTCTTGAAGCTGCCACACAGAAAACTTAGAAGCAACCAAGTGAAAATCCATACTGGATCGTTATTGACACAGATTGAAAATGCTGCCGATGTGGAAAGAGCATTAAAAGGAACAACCTACGAAAGATACCTCCATTCAGACTACCAATAACAGTTCTTTTTGTAGATATACCTGTGAAAGGCTGAAACAAAAGTTTGCCTACACACACAAGTTAAAATCTCCATGTCATTGTCACTACTTGCAAATTGAAATAGACCTTCAAGTTGTACTATAGGCATGATTGAAAGTATATACAGGAAGGAGATACATTGTGGGTATCAACTGTTTTCTGTTATTGAAATAAATATTTTTCAGTTATAAATCTCCATTCGCTCCACTAGAATACATTAAGAAGAATAGACTAGATGATCTTATATTTGATGGAAAAACAAAATTCGCACCAGGTATATGCTAATGAGACTTAAAAATAACCACATAATAATGCAATCAAAAAATAAAATAAAATCATAGCATGTACCAAAAAAATAATAATAATAAAATAAAAGAAATTGGTAGCAGAATGAAGAAATTTACAAAATTAAAAGGAAATGTGTAACTATAAGATGCCCATTAATAAAAATTTGATCAATCGCAACACACAACAAAGCTGTCACTCTGTGAATTTGTTGTGAGAGCGGTTATGGAAAAGTATCAATACTAAACAGAACAGAAACAGAACACCTTACCATTTTTCCCATTCGCTCTGTTTTTTCCCTCCGTTTCTCTAGTCGTCTTCCTCCTCCTTACTCTGTATTTCATCTTCTCCGTGAGATCTAAGTTTACTGTTTTCATTTGGGTTTTCTTTTACGCTTCAAGGATAAGGGGGAAAAAGACAATGGTCGAAAAGAGGAAAACCCCGAAGCCAGAAGAACAGGGCGTAGCAGGCTCTGCGGTTTTGCAAGGTTCATCCAGCAGCAATCCTTCAGTTCATGGTGATGAAAAAGCTTCGAAGGAAGTGGGAAAGTCTGATGAGGGGAAGGGATTAAAGAAATATGAAGCAGCGGCAGCAAAAGCATTAATGGGATTGCATGATTCTTCCGTCAAAAAATGCCCAGTTCTTGATCCCAAAGACGACCTAGAAACTCATCCTAATATTCATAAAGCCTCGAAGTACTACTCCTCAACAGAGTTCCCTTCTGATTGGTATGTTTACGACTCAGGAAATCCGAAGGATGATGATGTAAAATTTGAGCCATTGTTTGAAAAAGATGCTTCCGGCAAGCTTGTCATAACAGGAATACGGAGGATTCAGTCCCAATCGTCGGCCAAAATTGAGACGATGGATCCAAGAAAGAATGACGGTAACTAATTTTTGAAGCATTTCTTTTATTATCAGGTAGTTAATTTGATAGAATCCCCAGTAATTTTTGTTGAAATTTGATTCCATCAAAGTCCATTTCATTGATTTTTCCCCCCCTGGTCATGGTTTCTTGATATAATTTAGATCCATATGGGTATAGTGATGGTGATGAATTCGTTGCTAAAGAACAGGGATCAACCTTTCGATCATATGGCTAAATAGTACATCTTTTAATCTTGTTATGAATTAGAACAATAAAGTTGTGATTTATTGATTGTCACAGGTCCAAATCTCAGCATCCCAAAATTTGGTAATCAACCTGATGAGTCTCCAGCTTCGGAATCTTCGGATTTGAAGGAAAAAGGTACTGATTTTGCTCTATACTACATCAATGGACTAATTGTGGTTCGGGTTTTTTTTTTTTTTTTTAATCTTCATTAGTAGACCTTAGTAATTGATTGGGATTTTTTCCATTTGATTCTTCACAAATCACAGGTACCAGCAATTCTGATGATCCACTTAAGGAAGATTCTCACGAAGGAAGGAAGGAGGATACTGCGTCTGTGGCTTCAACCGAAGGGAAGAAGAAGAAGAAGAAGAAGAAGAAGAAGAAAAAGGAGACTCTGACCAACCCGGTAGAGGATGAAGGAGACGAGCCAAATGGGACTAAATGCGTGATTTGTGAAGAGAAAAAACCTGCTGAAGACATGAAGAGAGCTGCTAAATGCGGACACTATTTCTGTGCTGATTGTATTCAGGGCTATGTTTTGGAGAAGAAGCAGGAGAAGGAAGATGGACTTGTTACTGTGGGTTGCCCAGGGAAGAACTGCAGGCAGACTTTGAGTGATGAAGAGATCTTCGGTTCTCTTCCTGTTGGTGACAGATTTGATTGGCTTAGGATTAAAATCCATTTCAGAACCTCGCAGCTTCAAGCCAAATTCACTGCCCTCAAGAATGTTGCTCGAGATTTCTTGACGAAGCTTAGTGAAATTGATTGATCACAGAGATGATCAGAGCCAGACCCATTTCTCTGAAAGAAGATTCCAGTTAAAATGTTGGAGAAATTAGTGTACTTTTGGGTTCGATTTCATTGTTGGTTTTTGAAAATGATTTCATTGTTGGTAGATTCTTCTTAGTTTGGATTATTAAAGACGGATGAGTATCACAGAAAAGAAACCTAAAAAGTTTGCTAGTGTTTTGTTCTGAATGAATAATCCAGTTTCCAACTATTTTATGTAAGCTGTCATGTCCACAAAATTCAAAATTTGCAAAGAATTCACCAAAACATTATCAATCTATTCTCAATTTTCTTCTTTATGTTCTTATGGGCGTATTTCCTCGTTATTATTCTCCCCATTTTCTTGAACCAAAATGTTGAATTCTTAAAGCGGTTTGGACTCCCTACTTGAAATTAGTGATGAATTGTTTCTCACGAAGATGATGGAAACTCCAGAGAAGGATGAAGATGCGAGAAATTAATTCGCGGTGACAATTCCAGTAAAATCTCCATAAATTAATGTTTTATTAATTAATAAATTCTATTAAATAATATTTTTCTATTGTCCCAACTCGGGACCAGTACAAAAAATGAAATAACTCGATTAATTTATAAGATAATAATTTTTTCAAGAATCTCCTATGTAAATATATGTCCCCATAATTTCATAAATTAACAAATATGTAAGATAATAAACTATTTTAAACATCAACTTAGATTTTAACTTGAGTATTTATGTTTATGTTTGCAATTATCATGTTTTTGTTTCATTAAAAATATTATAATGTTATGACTAGAGTTGTAACGGACTTTTCTTGATAAAAATATGATAAATTTTTGTAGTTTCTTACTTATTGGATTGAGAAAACTCTTTAAATTGAAAAAATATTAATTTATTAATAAATTAATAAATCTATAAATTAATAAAATTTTTGGAGGCCCAAACGTATTAATTTAAAGAGGTTTGAATGTAGTTACAAATCACTACAATTCAGATTATAATAGTAATTATTTGACAAATTAGTACGTCATTTTTATAGGTACGAGAGTGAAATTTTAAATACTGAGTAAATTAAGAAAAAAAATTAAACTTTGCGCACCAATTCTTAATGAAATGAATTTCCGTTACTGTATCAAGGTTTTAATTTAATTAAGATATACTTAAATTGAATTTTTTCCATAATAACAAATTTTAAGATCAAATAATCACGTGAGTCTCATTACTAGGTAAAAGTAATTCTTTACCTTTTATTTTTCTTGGAACATTATAATAATCGGAAACATAATCAGATTATCATTACCTTTATTTTCTTTACCGTCAAAAGAACACAACCTAAAACTTCTATCCATGAAATGTTATTATCTTCTCCATGAATAATGTAAGCATGCATGTAGTATCTTACACTATTCTACTTTTGGGACGAACGTAATATACCTGTTTAACATTATCATTGTAACTACGTCAACGGACCTAGTGGATCAATAACCAAACTGGAAATCCAACGACGAGTTGCCAATTTTATTAAGCTGTTTTATGATTTTACTGAAAGGGCCAACGTGGGTATTTTAACCACTGGTTTTGTTACAAGCAGTTTATTGGTAGCGAGAGAAAGTCAAGGAAAGCTGATTAGGCGTTGACTACCGTTGTATAACTCACTATCAAAATTTGTTGCTGTAGTTCTGAAATTTTGGTTACAGATTTATTCCGCTTCATCCACTCTGCAGCCTACCGAATTCACTGCAAGTTTTGCCCAGTCCGTTCCCTTTTGATTTCTTCAACATTTTGCATTTGTAGCCAAATCATAGACTATGAGGAAGAACTTAAAAAAACCTTTCGTGGATTCATTTCCTATAAAAAAAAAAAAAAAGTGGCTTCATTTCCGCTACTCAACTCTACATTATAATGACTGCTGAAGAAGTTGATGAGATGATAACAGAAAGCTAACGTTGATGGTAATGGTCAAATTAATTATAAGGACTAAGGGTTTTGCTAAGAAGATCTCTGCTATGCAATTGTTTTCTGATGTTCATTCATATTCACGGGTGTAGGATTCGTAGTTCAATTCATTCATATGTGTAATCAGATTCTTTGATGGTTTTCTATGATTTTGGCGCATCGCCAAAAAATAGTTTCATTTCGAAATTAAACTAAAATATTGTTAGCCTTCCATAGTAAATCTATTTTGCCTCTAATAGCGCTACTTTGGCAACCATAGACAAAAGAAAAAAAAAGAAAAAAAAAAAAGGTGTGCTTTGAATGGGTGAAAAACGGACTGATGCCATCCTTCTTTTTGGTGGGTGAAATTGTTTTTTTTTTTTGTTTTTTTTCTTTCCATCATTTAATTCTTCCTTTGGCATTTTTACGCTTTATTAGTTCTCCTTTACCCTTAATACTTTTGTTAACTTGATTAATAATAAATGTGATCAGGGAGGAACTAGCCTTTGACACATGAGTGCTCAACTCTATAAAAGAAGGAGTGGTCGAGAAAAAAGTTTGGACAGAGTTTTTAAGAGAAAAAAGTTAAATTGTATGATTTTGTTTTAATATATATATTTAGATTGTGTCAAAGAAAATTTTGTAGAGGGTATCTTTTTTAAATTTTTATTTTCATTATTGTTATAACGTTGTTTTTGGTTTTAGAAAGATAAACTAAACACCAATTAAGAATGAGCCGCTATGTAGAGTTTAGACTTAGACCATATCTATGCCATTTTAAATAAATTCAAAATTTTTTAATTTTTTTTTAATTTAATCACCTAACCTAACTAAAAACATTTAAAACCCAGCCCAATATTCTTTATCTCTCTCATTTCAACATTTTCCAAGCCTCTATGTAATTCCGCCCATGAATGTGATTTATGGTTAAAATTTTAAAATTTGATAACAAAGAAAAGAAAATAGCTAGCTTTTTATGTTAAACTATATTCATCAGTTTTCATTTTATTCGTATATCAGAAAGGCTAAATAAGCATTTCAGATAACACAGCTGAATTATCGCTACTAAAATTGTCGATTTCTCATACAAATCGTATGATGACAATTTTTTTATAGTAGTCATTGGGTGTTTGAACTTTTTTTTTAATTTTAATTTTTTAAATTGGTACATTTATTAGTTTGGCTTTAGTGTGTTAGACATGACTAATGAAATGAAATGCCCATAAAAATATATGTACTTCTATTCAAGAAAGGAAGCTTCAGTTTTATGTGTACACTTATCAATTAGAAGTTTAGAACTTACCAAAGGTTTTAAGTTCTTTGATTATAAGGATCAAAGTGGCTTCATTTCCTGATCTGCTTATCTCTGCGATATAATGAAAAAGCTTTGGGCGATCACTACTGAAGAATTAATTAAGTTGATCAGATGAAGAAGGAAGCCAATGTGTGGATGGTAATTGTCTAATCAATTATTGAGATTAGAAAGTTAATAGTGTTGTTGCAACTTTTCCATGTTGAGAATTCGCGGGTTTAGTTTCTTTTGTTAGGGTTTATGGATAGTGTTTTATCCTTTGCAAATCTTAATATAGGAAAACATAAATCACTTTAATAAGTAAAGTGTACTCATAATCACTTTAATAATAGGACCTAAGTTCGATTTCAAGTCGTTAATTAGTTTGAATATATTAGGTTTGCATTTTATAGTGCAATTCCCGTGCTATGCATTGCCCGTGGTACGCACAGTTTCGTATTGCTCAGATAATTTTTACTCTCTACGTCCTATAATTATTGTTCAATTTGGATTTTCATTCATAGTTCAAATTATACTAACAGTGAAATTTCAAACTGGACAATAATTATAGGACAGAAGGAGTATAAGATAAAATGAACACTAGAATATGCCCAAAACTTGCACAATCTTCTTTGTCAACAACTTGCTCAGAGCAACCAAAGCTGCCAATTACCCAATAATGTCTTAGATAAATTCTGATTGAGCAACACTTCCATGAAAGAACTGAAACTCATAAAAAGTTTAACCAATTTGCGCATTGTACAAACCAAGACATTACGAATTTGCATCTAACACTAAAAATCAAGAGCAATGATAGAGACAGTAACAAATTATAGCGAAATGAAATAGTGGCTAATAAAAAGACAAATATACCATCGTCACTAAATATGTATACTTATTAATTAGAGAAAAAATGTAATTTTCCAAAAATGATAAAATTTTAACCGAAAAATGACAAAAAACTAGGGGTCAAAAATACTCCACATGAGTCACTATCTTTTTTCACTATTTCTTTTTTCACTGTGCATATCATTTTTCAAAAATAAATTGCTTCTAATATTGTTGCCTACTACTAATACACGCGTACTCCTGACATGTAGAATGAGTGCATAAATTACTCGCCACTAAAAAATCTTGTTGTCCCTAATTTTGGGATTTGATCTTTTCTTTCATGAAAGGTTTTGGGAGTATTTTGCCTCTCGAAATGAAGAAAACACAAAAGAAGAAGAAAAAGAAAAGTTGCTTGTATCACATTCGTGACTTAAAAAAAAAAAGGAGATAAAGAGAAAATTAAACATTCAAGAAAAGTAAGCTAAGATTTCACGTTGGAATCTGGGAATCCCAATACACATCTTCACGAGGAAAAACAAAATCAAACATTCGAATAAATAAACAAAGCTATTTTATTCTTTTAGGGGAAAGAAAATTCATGGACGCCGTCAAAAAAGATCAGCTGACGGAATTGAACAACAAGATAGCTACTCAACTCGATCTACATAATTCATCACCATGCATGTCATCCACAAAAGCAACACAAGGAATCACGAAATCGTAAAAAAAAAAATAAAAAAAATCTATGAATAAGACTGAAATGGAAAGAACGAGAGCTAAAAAATCATCAGATTAATTACTTTCAAGTCCACATTGATCAGGCCGTGTAGGATCAAGGCTGACCTGAAAATGGCGGTCGGCGGCAAAAGAGTGGAGAAGGGAAGTGGTCGAGGAGGGTTTTAACGTCTACGTGTATATATATGTGGGAGCTTGAAGGCTGTAAATTTTGGAGAAATTACACGATGCAGGCAGACACGCCAGAAACATTAAGGACAAAGAACACTATCTCGGGCTTTATTACAATTTGATTTTTTTTTTCCTGAACTTTTCTCATTTCTTCTTTATTGGAACAAAGAATCCCACATCGATGTCTGAAGGATCTGTCACCTGTTATAAGCTCCAAAGGCCACCCCACTCATTGTTAATTGGTTTTACGATGGGAGCCGAATATGACTTTAACATTCTTC